GAACTCCAGTGCTCTCAAGGGGATCTCCTAGGTCCTTGACAGTACTTGGGGACAAGAAGGGCAGATCAAGGTGGGGACGAAAGCAGGGAGGGATACGAGGGCTCCTGGAAAGGTGTCATCATGTAGAGTGGGGGCACGTGGGGCTTGTTTTCCACCAGTTTTAGTGGCACCTCCTCCATCCATCTCAATTATGAAAATTTTCCATCCTGAACTGCTCTGCCAGGCTTATGATAAGACTGGTGTGTGTGTGTACGTGTGTGTGTGTGTGTGTGTGTGTGTATGTTTCTTCTTTCTGCATTGGAAAAACTCAGATATTCCAGGCAGATTTGTCAGCAATTTTTTTTCCTCAGCCAGAGGGAAGGCTCCAAGCCATAGCCACTTGCATTCCAGCACTAAGCCAACTCAGCCCACTGTGGTGGTAGGAAGTCGTGGACTGGGTTACAACAGACCAGTGAGAGCAGGGTGGCCTGGGTGACCTCACAGACTCTCCCTGCCCCACCCCAGCCCCCACCTGTCTCCTCCTCTGTGCTCTGTGTCTCCCTGTCTTGCCTCTCCTTTCTGCTCCCTCTCCCCGTGCCCTGCTCATCCACTCTCCCTCTCCCTCTCCATCCATCTTCATCTCCCCCTCCCTCTCTCCTTTCTCACTCCCACCTCTTATCTCACCCCTCCTCCTCTGTCTCTGGTGAAGAATGAAGAGAAGGGCGCCACACTGCTCCAGTGGCAGCCATTCTGAGCTCCCAAGGAACAGAAACTGAAGCTATTTCAGGTCAGCCTGGCTCATTCCTTAACATTTCCCATTGGGGTTGCCTGATTAAGGATCCTTTGTGAGATGGGGGAAAAGAAGCCAGAACTCCACCCTTTAAAAAATCATCGAAGCATGGTTGGGCCTGGTGACTCACGCCTGTCATCCCAGCACTTTGGGAAGTCGAGGTGGGCAGATCACCTGAGGTCAGAAGTTTGAGACCAGCCTGGCCAAACATGGCGAAAACCCCATCTCTACTAAAAATACAAAACTTAGCCAGGCATGGTAGCAGGCACCTGTAGACCCAGCTACTAGGGAGGCTGAGTCAGGAGAATGGCTGGAACCTGGGAGGTGGTTGCAGTGAGCCGAGATTGCACCACTGCACTCCAGCCTGGGGGATAGAGTGACATTCTGTCTCAAATAAATAAATAAATAAATAAATAAATAAATAAATAAATAATAATGCAGGCTGAGCGCGGTGGCTCACGCCTGTAATCTCAGCACTTTCGGAGGCTAAGGCGGGCTGATCACGAGATTGGGAGATCAAGACCATCCTCACCAACGCGGTGAAACCCTGTCTCTACTAAAAATACAAAAATTAGCTGGGCGTGGTGGCACGTGCCTGTAGTACCAGCTACTTGGGAGGCTGAGGCAAGAGAATTACTTAAACCAGGAAGTTGGAGTTTGCAGTGAGCCAGGATTGCGCCACTGCACTCCAGCTGGGTGACAGAGCAAGACTCTGTCCTAAATAAATATATAAACATAAATAAAAAAAAACAGTGAAGCAGTTTGGAAGTGAACCCAAAATGACCAGTTGCAGCAATCCTTTGAGGATAGTGAAGCAAAGCGGCTCCGTGAAAGCAAACTGTGGTTCCAGTAGGAGGGTGGCCTAGCCATGGTTGAGATCCATCCTGTCCTTAGACTGGCTGCCCTGGCCTCAGCTCTCAGGGTGGGTATGGGGTGGGGTGCCTGGTCCAGTGTACCATGCACTGCCAATTGGCCTCTGTTGGGCCATTCACATGGCCTCTGCGGGATCTTTGTAAACTCTGCCTCAGCGTTCTCAAACCTGAGCTGGTGTGAGAATTACCAGGGAAGCTCATCAATAATACAGATTCCTGGGCCACACCCTTACCGATTGGATTCAGGAGCTGAGTGGGGTCCCAAAATATGTGTTTTGAAACCAGGACAGCAGTCTCAAGAGAGGAAACTGTGGATTCTGGGAGAGAAATAGAGACATAGCTCTGCAGCACCATGCCCTCCAGAGCTGACTGTACTTCCAGCCTGGGTACCAGGGACAGGCCCCCTCATCCTTCCAGTTAGGCCCCCTTTGAGCTTGGGTCAGCCTGTTTTAAGAGTCTGCTAGCCATGAATCTGAATGCCACATGGAATCTTCCCAGATATCTGTGATGGATCTGAGCCCCTGACTCAGCCCATCTGAGACAAGACCTTCTGTTTCCTCTACCTACCCTGTGCAGGGGCTCATAGCTGAATGAGGTGGGGAGGGGATGAGGAAGGTGAGCAGAGTATGCAGAAAACTATTGTGTTAATAATATTGTGTTTTGGGCCGGTGCAGTGGCTCACGCCTGTAATCCTAGCCCTTTGGGAGGCCGAAGTGGGTGGATCACCTGAGATCGGGAGTTTGAGACCAGCCTGACCAACATAGAGAAACCCCGTCTCTACCAAAAATACAAAATTAGCCGGGCATGGTGGCACACGCCTGTAATCCCAGCTACTCAGGAGGCTGAGGCGGGAGAATAGCTTGAACCTGGGAGGCGGAGGTTGCGGTGAGCTGAGATCGCGCCATTGCACTCCAGCCTGGCAACAACAGCGAAACTCCGTCTCAAAAAATAATAATATTAATAACATTGTGTTTTAGGCACTTTATGCACATAGCTAATCTATTCCTACCCATAACTTTCCACTCACCGCACATGCACTAGAGAGTAGTATTTTTAAAATACCAGTTGGACTGGACCTAAAATCTGTCTGTGGTCACTGGGGTAAAGCCCAAGTTCCTCAGTGTGGCCTGCAAGGACCTTTTGGACTGGCTCCTCCCTTTCCACAATACCAGCTTCCAACTTTAACCCACTCTCCAGTCATACAGAAATACTTGTAGCTCTTCCCATGCCTGTGCGGCTGCTGCTCCCACGGCCAGGAGTGCCTCCCACGCCTTCTTTGCTAGGTATCACCTGTTCACCTGCTAAGACTCCTCTTTGGAGTCACCTGCTCTCAAAGTCATTCCCTGACACTTAGGAGGGTTCCCAGCCTGACCTAAGCACCCTCCCTTGTGAAGATGGTGACTCAGGACCACACTGGAGATTTGCATTCCTAGCGCAGCACCTCCTCCGTGATGGGAAGCTATCTGTGGCATGCCTGTCTTCCCCCACAGAGGTGAACTCACTATGAGCCAGAAAGGTGGCTTAGTCACCTCTGTAGTTCCAGCATCCCATGGGCCTGGTGCATTGTGAGGGCTTAGTTCTTGTCTGGTGAACTGAATGGGCTCTTTTTATTTTAAGTGTTATGTTAGGAATCACTGCAGAGAATGGAGAGGTACATTAAAGAGGTCTTCAGACACCTGAGGATCTTTTGGGTTGTTCTGGGTCTTGGTCCAGTTCCTCGTTTTCTACTGAGATGGAATCAGCAGCTCTGCAGAACCTCAGATCTGGGGAGGCACTGATGTCAGCAGCTCTGCCTGGCATGGAAACGAACTGAAGCTGCTGGGCGTGGTGGCTCATGCCTGTAATCCTAACACTTTGGGAGGCCAAGGAAGGAGGGTTGCTTGAGCTCAAGAGTTCAAGATCAGCTTGTGCAACACAGTGAGACCTCATCTCTACAAAAAATATAAAATTAGCTGGGTGTGGCGGTGCACGCCTGTAGTCCCAGCTACTTGGGAGGCTGAGGCAGGCGGATTGCTTGGTCCTACAGTGAGTAGTAGTGGTGATCGCTTGATCACTACAGTGAGTCAAGGCTGTAGTGAGCCAAGATTGTACCATTCCACTGCAATCTGGGCAACAGAGCAAAACCCTGCCCCAAAAAAAAGACAAACAAACTGAACTGAAGCCTTTGAGTGAGTTTGTCCACCACATCTCATGGGCTTTGCTCATGAGATCATAGAGCCTGGATCATATCATCTCCCAAAAATCTGCATTTGGCGTTCAGGGATCCCCTGGCTCTTCACTGAGCTCCACCAAGCACATGGGGTCCAGAGCAGCTGCTGCTGCCAGGGAAAACCCATTGTGGGACTTCCCTGAAGGGTCACTCATAGGCCGGAAGTGTTGGCCAGAAATTCAGGCCAGGAGAGTGGACGAGAAGTGGTCTAGTACCCAGAAACATCAAGGCAGCAGCTGGTCTCTGAGGCCCCAGGACTTGAACCCCTGGGCTTAAGTGACTCCACGGGCTTGAGGCCCAAATAGCAAACACAAAGCCAGTTGGGCCTGATGCAAGGAAATAACCTCCAGCCACCTTCCCCCGGGCCTTTAGAATGCTGATCTTTCCACAGAGAAGAAGCACAAAGGACAGCAGCCTCCAGGACTCACCCTTCCCCACTTCTGGCCCTGCCAGGTCAGTAGAGTGGCCTCAGGATGTGGGGGCTCCCATGAAGATGGGCAGGAAGGATCTCTGGGGTCATTTCCAGTCAAGCATAATGTGTCTTCATGCCTCAAAGCACAGTGGGGGTTCCCACTCATCTCTCTCTCCTACTGGGGCTACCTTACTGCATTTCCCCTTCCCTCTCCTTCACCCACCCAGGTAGGTGGGTAGTCCGGCTCTGGTTTATGGGAAGGCTGGAGGTAAATTTGCAAGCAGTTTGCAAAAGTCAGAATGCCTTGCCCAGGCACCACTCTAGATTCTAGACAAAATGAAGGAATGCTTAAAATAACCCATACTACTATTCAAACCCACTATTTAGGACATAGCCTAGGTTTTGAACAGTGGTGGAGATGGGAAAAAAGCAGTAGCCACTTAGATGGTGGGTTTGAAGAAAAAAAAAAGAATACCTTTCTCCCTAAGTTCCAGGCCCTTTGCATAGCTTTCCAAATGATGGGGGGCAAGGGAACGCAAGGAATGGGAAGGCACCCCTTGGGTTCTTCCTTGAAATTAGGGCCCATTTAGGGGAAAGGCAGAAATCAGGACATGACCGATTCCCACCCCCATTTCCCAGCACTTCTCACAGATCCCCGCCCAGACCCGACTTGGTTGCCAAGCACACCCAGCTGAGAGCCTTCCCTGCCTCACAGACACAGGCCAGGGAGAGCCACCAGAAACAGAAATGAAGGCCACATTTATTCCACTTCTTGAAGGTGCAGGCCTTGGACCTGCCCAGACTCACAGGCCTGGCTGCATGTCCCAGGACCAGCCGGAGCCTCAGAGAGTGAGGGAGAGGCAAAGGGGCCCCAAGACACTGGCACTGGCCTTGGCTACCCATTTTCTCAACTTTAGGCTCAGTCAGACCAAGCATAGAAAGAACAGGAGGCTCTACGTTGCCTGGGGCTGAGAGTGATGGCCCTTAGAAATCACAGGGGAGCAGAGACAGCTGGGTTCCACATGAAATGCTTGAAGAGGAAGGAAGACTGTGATGAGGTCGTTTGACCTAGTCCGCTGGGGAAACCCCAGGAGGCCTCCTCTCCTGTTGGCTAGGGAGTGAAGTCCTGTAAACCAGAGGGAGTGGGAGGGCATATGTAAGCCTCTTCTCCCCACGGCCCAGCCAGGGGCACGGAGGAGCAGTACCTGAGCCTGGAGAAGATGGAAAGGTCAGCCCAGGCAGTGGCTGCCACACTCTTTCCTGTGGGTCCCAACAGAAGTGGCCTGGTGCCCAGGCTCAGCTGTGCTGCTTCCCAAGGAGAAAGGCAGTGGAAGGTAATGCTGGCGACATCCCGGCCAGCAGCCAGGAGGGAGGTAGGCTGATGTGATGGGATGGGATCTTGCCCTGGGTTGGTCTCACGGTGCAGGAGAGCAGTGTTGGAATCATTCTAATGCTTCAGGATGCTTCACGCGCCCCATGGAGCTCAGACATCAGGAGGTGCCGGGACTCTATTTAGCCTACAAGAAAAGGTACAGGCTAGCACTGCCCACCTGTTGGAGGGGCCTGCAGACCACACTTCAGGGCCCAGCACAATTAGCTTTCAAGAACACTGAGCCATTCAAGTCCTCAGCTCTCCTCTTGTAGCAGCCTCACTCCCTGACAAGAACCCACTGGCTCTCACCTCTGACTATATGTTGGAATCACTTGGAAAGCTTATACAAATCCTAACCCCAAGCTGCACCCAGAGTCTCTGGGGCAAGACCCAGGCGTCTGTACTTTTAAAAGATCCCCTGGTGATTCCAATGTGCAGCCAAGGTTTAGGAGGAGGAGAAAGGAGTTTAAACTGGTTCGTTTGGCTCTTTGGCTACAGCTCTGAATAAGGAAGTGAAAATTCACTAAAATAAAGTTTTGAGCTATCTGCAAATAGATCACATATCACAGCAAGAGCGATTTATGTTGTCACTAAAATGAGAACTTCCTGACCAAGAGGGCTGTTTTGGAAAATCCTTCCAAGAAGCTGTCAAATGTCCTCTTTGTGGGTGTTTAAGAGGACGAGTTCTCCTGCTGGAACAGGACAGGGAGGAGATTCCTCCCTTACCCAAGGACCCCCTGAAACTCTGGGGACAAACCACAAGCTCTGCTCCTGGTGTCCCTACCTCCTGGCCCCAATTCTAGGGTCAGACCGGAGTGGCCTCTGGGGAAGAAGTCACATTTAGTGAGCCCTTCCCTCCATAGCCCCTACCCCCAAGCACCTCGAATATCTCGTTTTATTTAATCCCTATGTCAATAGCATGAGGTAGAAATTATTACTCCTGTCTCACAGGAGAGGGAAGGGAAGCACAAAGCTGAACACACCTCCCAGGATCACGCAGTTGGTGAGAAGCAGGGTCAGAACTGAAATCCTGTAGGAATCTCTGCTGACTCTACCCTGCTGTTGGTTCCCAGACAGGAAAATGACAGACACGAGGATGACAGGCAGGAGTGGGAGATGCGTGCACGTGTGTATATGTATATAAACAGGGCTGCTGGCCTTCAGGGCAAGCAAGGACCATCCTTTATCCTGAGGTTATCTCTCTTTGGTGATAACATGTGTTTTATAAAGTGGGGTTACTCGATGGCAGGGCTGTTTTTTTTTTCACTTCAAATGTGCTTACTTGGTTATGTGAGCAGCTGGTAACTCTGTTGGTCTTGAGTTTTCTTTTAGAACTTTTACTGGTACATAGCCAGGCGTGGTGGCTCATGTCTGTAATCCCAGCACTTTGGGAGGTCAAGGCAGGTGGATCACCAGAGGTCAGGAGTTCAAGACCAGCCTGGCCAACATGGTGAAACCCCATCTCTACTAAAAATATAAAAAAATAGCTGGGTGTGGTGGTGGGTGCCTGTAATCCCAGCTAATTGGGAGGCTGAGGCATGAGAATTGCTTGAACCCAGGACATGGAGGTTGCAGTGAGCCGACACAGTACCACTGCACTCCAGCCTGGGTGACAAAGTGAGACTCCCTCTCAAAAAAAGAAAAAGAAAGAAAAAGAACTTTTACTGGTACACAAAATCTCAATCTCGAGTCGGAGCCCTGCTGCGTTCCCACACCAACCTCTCACGACCCCTCAGTGCCCCGAGGAGGGGAGTTGAATCAGGAGATGATCCTGCAGCCCCGGGCTGGCCCATGAGCATTGGCAGGAGGGACAGGAGCCCCACAAGGCCAGAGAAACACCGGCCTTGGACATCGTACCCAAGCTGTGTGTGCTGTGGCTTCCTGGGGTAGCACATGGGGATGAAAACAGCATCTATCCTGAGGATGGCTGTGATTGAAGGAGGCGGTCTGGGGCAGCTTGGGCACAGAGTACATATGGAGCGTAGAGCTGGACACAGGCGCAAACTCCCTGCCACCAGGCCCCCACCTCCCTAACAGCATGGGGGCTCACATTTTAAAGGCTATAATTGAATCCTACACCTCCTGAGGATGTCAACTCATTTGTGGAAAACGCCTAATCTTCAACAGGGCTGCTTGGAAAATGGACACGTGTCATCAAACCTGCATGGGCAGGCTTGGGGACTCTTCGCTGCCCCCAGGCAAGGGTAGCTTGAAGATCCAGCCCTGACCCACACAAGGTGAAAGCTCCTTACCGTTCAATGATGCGGTTGTTATCCAGGAGGTCAGACGCCAGCAGCTTCATCCCCTCGCAGAGCTCTTGCATGCTGCCCAAGGCAGAGGCAGGAGAAGTGGCTGAGGCTGGAAGTTGCCCTGCCCAGACCCCTTTCCTGGGAGGCCCACCCTCCTCTGCAGCCCCACCAAAGAAGCCTCTTTGTTCTTTTTTGTTTGCTTATTTGAGGCGGAGTCTTGCTCCCTTGCCCAGGCTGGAGTGCAGTGGCACTATGTTGGCTCGCTGCAACCTCTGCCTCCCGGATTCAAGGAATTCTTGTGCCTCAGCCTCTGGAGTAGCTGAGATTACAGGTGCATGCCACCACACCCGGCTAAATTTTGTATTTTTACTAGAGTTGGGGTTTCACCATGTTTGCCAGGTTGGTCTTGAACTTCTGGCCTCAAGTTGATCCACCCACCTTGGCCTCCCAGAGTGCTGGGATCACAGGCGTGAGCCACTGCACCCAGCCAGTCTCTTTAATCTTGCCTCCTAGGCCTGGCATGAGGCCAAACTCCTCAAGGTCTAACCTCAGCACGCTCCCCACAACTCCCTTCCACACAGATGCACACCCCCTTTCTCCCCAGCACTTACTGGAGAAGCAGGTCCTTTGGTGTAGGGCTGGGGTAAGGAGCTATGGGAGGCGGGGAGGCCTGAGCCCCCTTTGCTCGGTCCTGAAGGAGCTGGTGAGATAGCTCTTCCAGGATCTGCAGGGAAGCCATACTTTGGTCAGCACTTAGTAGCCAGCTTATGTGTGGCTGGGTAAGGGCAGTACTTGAGGAGGTGAAGACATGGGTAACAAGAGCCCCAGCCTGCATCCCCAGAGCACCTAGAATTCCTCTGCCATGCCCACCTTGCTGAGACTCTCCTGGACCCCCTGGGCTTCTGTGTTACAGGCGGCCACAGAACAGCCGACCAGGCGCAGGTGGTTCCTGGTCTCGTGCACCACCCTCAAGAGAACAGACAGAGACTTAGAATTAGAGCAGGACTCAGCCCACTCACCAGGGCTCGCCTAGCTGCCATCGGGTCTGCACATGGACACAGGTGGGTCCTGGGTATTTGCCTCCCTCGCTGCCTCTGCCCTGCCAGCTGTGCCCTCCACGCTTGCCCGCCCCACTGCAATAATGCAGATGCACACAGCTGGCTGAGGCTGGGAGGGCCCCTTCAGAGCTGCAGTGGGGAGCACCAACAACATGCGTGTGGCTGGGGCTGGGTGACACATGCCAGCTATGGTGAGTGTGGCACCAGTCAGGCTGCAGAGAGGCAGAGGATAGCCCACGCTAGGGCTCTCGGTGTGGGGAACTGCCCACACGCTCATTTCCAGAGTGAATTCTCTTCTGCCTCTAAGTGGAGAGAAGGAGCAGGAACATTTTCCCCAAGGCCCAGAGCCGTGAAATCAGGGGTTGGTGCTCAGCCCTGGCCACACATTAGAATCACCTGGAGAAGCTGTGCTACACTGCTATCCAAGCCCTGCTCCAGAGCCATTACACCAGCATGTGCGGTGGGTTGGAGTCGGAGAAGCAGGCGTTGGCATTCTGATATGAGGACAGGTGAGTGCCCAGGTCTCAGCCCCGTAACAAGGTGAGGTCCCACAGGCCTCAGAACGTGGCAGCACGCGGGAAATTGTCCTCTCTTCTCTGGAGGGGCCAACTTTCACACAGGCAGGGGAACGGAGAGTGGGCCTGATCTGAGAAGGCGGAACCCAAAACTCCTGAAGGGGACGGCGTGACAGAGGATTCTCCTTAACGGCCACTGCCACTGTCCTTATCCCAGGGGGATCTAGTGTTCTCCTAAAGGACATTTCTCAATACAACCAGGTGGAACGGTAGAAAGAACTCAGATTTGATTTGATTTGACCCTCAAAAGCCCAGATTGTAGAGGCAGACAGAGTCACATATGGGTCTTGGGTCTGCCACTTACTAGCCATGTGATGTGCAGAGGATGCCTGTTCTCAGAGCCTCAGTTTCCTCGTCTAGGAAATAGGGTGATGATATCTGCCATATCAGGCAGGTGTCGTGAGATTAAATAAGGCAAGCTATAGAAATCTCCCAGCCGACTGCCTGGGCCACCCAGAGACACAAAACCACTCATCTGCTCACACTCCTTCACTCGCTCCTCCCTCTCCCTCAGGGCTCCACAAAGCCCTGGGTCCTCTGAAGTCTAGAAGGGCCAGGCCAGGCCCTGGGCTCCATGAGCTCAGGAAGGGCTGTTACCTCATCCTCTTGCCGTGCGTGACTAGGGATGCTTGATACTTCTGCACGCACTCTTCCTGGAACACCTGCAGGAGCCTTTTGGCTAAATGGCTGAAATTCATCCTAGAATGACAGGGAACCAAGGCACAGATGAGCCACCAGAACCACTGTGCACAAGCCCACCATCCCTCAGTCTCCGTCGCCACCTTGTCATAAGTGCCTAAGCCCTGCGACCACAGCAGGGCTATGTCTCTGGGAAAGGAGGAAGGACGGTCACACACTTGGATTGTGAAGGCTGCGGTGACCAGCAAAACCCACATCAACAGGGAGACATGGGAGACGCACAGCGGGTCCTCGGGGAACACACACGTGCTCAAGCTTAGTCCTCAAGAAAGGGAAGGGAAAGTGAGGCAGTCGTGGAAAGAAGGTGTGTGTGTCCGTCTGCGGGGGGTCGGGGTGCTTGTAGAACTGGGGGAATGAGTTCCCAGATAACCATTAAATCAGGGAGGGCCTCCTGGACATGAGTGTGTCCAGGAAACATGGGAGACAGAGGAGCAGGGGGAGGCAGGGAAGGTTCAGGCAGAGGGCAGAAGCAGGAAGTGGTAAGGGGTCCCTCAGTGAGGACGACTAGAGAGAAAAAAAAAAGCCTGTAAACAGTCTTGTCTGTACCAGAAGTAAATCCAGTCACATCAAGATTGCATCTGAGAAGCCTCCCTCCAACTAAGCTATGCACACTCCCTCCCCTGGCCCCAGATAACCTGTTACCCCAACTGCTCAGCTGCAGCCCCGGGCAGGGCCCTTCACGGCCTCTCCTCTGGCGTTGAGGATCGCTCTGCCCTGAGGACACCCACCCTCCTGCCCAACCGCCTGCAGGCAGACAGGCCACTCACTTATCCAGCTTGTGAATCTGTTCCTCATTGTAGCCAAGCCCTGGAGGAAACAGACAGGACAGATGTCACCTATTCAATCAGTCAACCAAACAGAGTGCAGCAAGGGTCGGGAGACAGTTACGAAGACGAAGACGGCCCAGCCCATGCTGCTTCACGGGAACTCACGGCCCAGCAGAATAGGAAGGGCAAAGGAGTGAAGCCAGCACCCAAGTAGCTGATTAGGACAAAGCTGGGGCCTCAAGAAGCCATGGGGAAGTTGTGTGAGGGCCCCAGGGGAAGGCAGCCCAAAGTGCAGGGCCAGGGTGGGGACGTGGGGGATGCTTCGGGTGGGAGGTGGGGGATGAATGGGCTTGGAAGGAGGCTCATTCAGCCATAGCCCCTTATCCAGCACCCTCCCAGAGTGACTGATGCCTGCAGCTGGATGGTCTCATCCCTGAATGTTCATGGGCTCTGCCTGTAATGAGCTAGAGAAACCAGGCCACCACCTTCTACCTCCCCGCTCTGCCCAGCCACTTTTGCCACAAAGGCTGAAGCTTTCATGGCCTTGGCTGCCTCCTGAAGGGCCCTAAGGCTCATATACTAGGGATATGCTGCCCCCTGCTGCTCTCCGCAGGAATGGGCCTCCAGGGTGGCGGCAGCCACAAGATGAAATGATGATGGAGGTTCTCTTGGTGGGCCTCCCCATCCCGCTCCTCCAATAGCAGAGTCCCCCTCCTGGGCCCTGCACTTGGCCAGCTGAGAGCATGTGTGCAGTCCAAGAGACCTGGGACAAACCTCAGCCCTTTCTCCTGTTGGCAGGCGGCTCTAGGCGAGTGATTTCACTTCGCTGAGCCTGTCTCCTCCTCCATCACAGGTTCCACACGGGACTCCCGTGAGGCTCAAGCGAGAGTGCCCTGAAGACCACTGGGCATTTTAAAAAAATGGTATCTTTCAACACGCTGGGTTTTAACAGTTAGATGTTCATTTTTAATTTTAATAAAGGACTCCTAAAGACCAATAGAAGTAAAACTGCTCTGAGGCTGTGACACGGGATGGTTAAAAGCAGTTGGGCCTAGATTACTTGGGCTGCTTAACCTTTCTGTGCCTTGGTTTTCTCATCTATAAAATGGGGAAGGTAATGATGTCTAGAGGTTTTATTATTGTTGTTGATGTTTGAGACAGCTCGCTCTTGCCCTGGCTGGAGTGCTGCAGTGGTGTGATCTCAGCTCATTGCAGCCTCCAACTCCCAGCTCCCAGGCTCAGGTGATCCTCCCACCTCAGCCTCCCAAGTAGTTAGGACTATAGGCACATGCCCATGTCCAGCTAGTTCTGTTTACTTTTTGTAGAGATGGGGTCTTACTATGTTGCCCAGGCTGGTCTTGAACTCCTGGGCCCAAGTGATCCTCCTGCTTCAACTTTCCAAAGTGCTGAGATTACAGGCATGAGCCACCGCACCCAGCTCCCTGTATGTGTGTGTGTGTGTATATATACACACACATACACACACATATAAAATTTAGTTTCCCAACAGAGATGTGTTATAAATGTAATATATATATATGTGAATAACATATATATGTGAAATATAAAACCGTAAAGTGATGGGAAAGCATCCTGTAGTCCCAGTCAGTCAGGAGGCTGAAGTGGGAGGATGGCTTGAGCCCAGGAGGTTGAGGCGACAGTGGGCAGTGATCATGCCATTGTACTCCTGCCTAGGTGACAGAGAATCTCAAATATATATATTAGCATGTAATCAATATAAACAGAATTGCTAAGGAAATAAGTTATGTATTTATGTGATAGCACAAAAGAATATAAGGTATTTCTTTAGTGATTTTGTTTATATTGATTACACGCTAAAATGACACAGGATATATTGGTTTGAATAACACATTAAAATTAATTTCACTTGTTTCTACTTTTTAAAAATTGGCTACTAGAAGACTTAGAATTACACATGTGTCTGGCATTACATTTCTATTGGACAGTGGTTTTTAGATAATCCCAAGGATAGAAGATAATTTGGCAATCAAGCCCAAGACCTTCAGTCTACAGATTAGGAAATGCCTGGGACCTGGGAGGGGAGGAGGAGGTTTGGTTCCTGGTGTGTTAACTGGAGTGTCAACTGGAGCCTCCGCAGGCTCCCTCCAACCCCCTCACCAGCCCTCCCTCGGTCCCCCCTTGCACTACCCCACGACGGCAGTCACTTTGGACACGCAGCTTCCCACCCCCAAGCCTGTGAATGGGCCGCGCCTGCCACAACGTCCTTGTGAGGATTTATGGATCATGCAGCCAAAATGCCTGACTCAGTGACTCAAAATGGGACTTCTCCTGATCCCCCCTTTTCTGGAAAACCTGACTATCTCAGTGCCCCAAGGACACAATGGACAGTGACATTTTATACTTTAAAATGCTCTGCCAAGGTGAGGGATCTCTTTCCAGGACCACCTCTCTTAGAGCAGCCAGGCTCTAGGAGCCTGGTGGATCCCCCACTGGATCCCCCAACCACGTGATCCAAGTCTCTCATGTGGCAACAGGCAGGCCTGTAAAGGTTTCGCATCCCCCACCGGCCTGCAAGCAGCTTGCAGACAGGGGCCCTGCCCTAGAGCAGCTGCACAGAACCATCCACTTAGTGGGCCTCCAAGACCACTAGCTGGAGGTTAGTGGCCACTTAGCTGGAGGTTATGGCCACTGGTAGCAATGACTCACCAGAGAAAAGGAAGAAAGAAGGGAGACAGAGGAGAGAGAAGGGGCTTCTGCCCTCCCCGGACTCACCTGGCCTCATCCTAGACTTCTTGAACTGTTTGTAGATGAAGTTCATCTTGTCCAAACAGCACTGAATCTGCTGGATGCTGTGGGCAGATGACAGGGACCAGGTGTTGGAAGAATCTAACGGCACAGAGCAAAGAGGAGGGAGGCGAAGGGTGGCAGTGGAATAGGGGAGGAGCCTCACTGCCACAGTTTTGGGGGATCAATTTGGGAGTGGAGGTGACTGTCTCCAGGCTTATCTGAGACCCCATACAGTCAGCCAGCCCTCTCTCATTCTCATGGCTTATTCTTCCTCTCTCTCACATACATGCACTCACAGCATGAGTTGAGTAGGAGACAAGAGAGACAGGAAGCCAAGCAGGACAGGCAACAGGAACGTGGCCTTTCCTACATGAGAAGTTGTGGGACTAGGCCCTGGGAAGAAGCCTAGGCCCCTGAAACCTAGGAGCGTGTCTGGCAGTGACCGCTGGGGATGGAGGGGAGCTAAAATCTCTCTCTGGTCGACTGGAAAAGGCAGAAGAGTATAGCTTCTTGGTTTACCCAACGCGTGGCACACAGCAGAAACTTCACATAAATAATGAATCAATAATCCTCGTTGAAAACAAGAATGAATCAACAGGCCTTGGTCCTGCCTGGAGGTGGAGGAACTGGGGAGATGATCTCCTGAGGACCTTCTTGGTCTGGGGTTGAAGGTCATTATTATTTCTTCCTTCCCCTTTTCAGGCTGGATACAAACACTTTGTTTGAGAAGTCGGGAGTGTGTGGGGAAAGTTCTTCCTCACCCTCAGGACTATGTGGCTCCACTCCCTCCCTGCAGCACCTCCGAGCGACCCCATCTCTGCTATTTCTGGAGCTGGACTCTGAACAGAGCACGGGCTTGTTCCAGGGCTCTGCCAGCCGAAGGAGCCTGCCCCGCCAGGAATATGCAGGTGGAAGACGAAGTAGCTGGGACAGGCCTCAGATCCACAGCCTTCATCCAAAAGACAGGGCCTCGATCCTCAGCCTTCATCCAAAAGACAGGGCCTCAATCCTCAGCCTTCATCCAAAAGACAGAGCCTCGATCCTCAGCCTTCATCCAAAAGACAGGGCCTGGGATCCACAGCCTTCATCCAAAAGACAGGGCTTCGATCCTCAACCTTCATCCAAAAGACAGGGTCTGGGATCCACAGCCTTCATCCAAAAGACAGGGCCTGGGATCCACAGCCTTCATCCAAAAGACAGGGCCTCAATCCTCAGCCTTCATCCAACAAAAGACAGGCCTCAATCCTCAGCTCATCCAAAAGACAGGGCCTCGATCCTCAGCCTTCATCCAAAAGACAGGGCCTCAATCCTCAGCCTTCATCCAAAAGATAAAGGCCTCAATCTCAGCCTTCATCCAAAAGACAGGGCCTGGATCCACAGCCTTCATCCAAAGACAGGCCTGGGATCCACAGCCTTCATCCAAAAGATAGCCTGGATCCACAGCCTTCATCCAAAAGACAGGTCCTGGGATCCACAGCTCTATCCAAAAGACAGGCCTGGGATCCACAGCCTTCATCCAAAAGACAGGCCTCGATCCTCAGCCTTCATCCAAAAGACAGGGCCTCAATCCTCAGCCTTCATCCAAAAGACAGGCCTGGATCCACAGCCTTCATCCAAAGATAGGCCTGGGATCCACAGCTCTATCCAAAAGACAGGGCCTGGGATCCACAGCTCTATCCAAGACAGGGCCTGGGATCCACACCATCCAGTAAGACAGGGCCTCGATCCGCAGCCTTCATCCAAAAGACAGGGCCTCGATCCTCAGCCTTCATCCAAAAGACAGGGCCTGGGATCCACAGCCTTCATCCAAAAGGACGGGGCCTCGATCCTCAGCCTTCATCCAAAAGACAGGGCCTGGGATCCACAGCCTTCATCCAAAAGGACGGGGCCTCAATCCTCAGCCTTCATCTGAAAGGACAGGCCTCAGATCTGCAGCCTTCATCCAAAAGGCTCGGGGCCAAATGTGCTCTGAATTCAGAATTGTCTTCTGATATCGGAAAGGCAATTTGGTGCCCACACAGTGTATTGTGGAACGGCCTGAGCAGGGCATCAACTCCTAATCAAACACATTCACATCTCCAAAGAACCACAAGAACATTCACCCCAAGTGGGATAAAGTCTGTAAAGAGCCTCATTCGGTTTAGGTCAGGTTTTATGGCCAAAACAGTTAAGAAAACCTCCTGTGGTGTTCAGAGCTGTTTGAATTTAGAATTGAGGGCATGGGATGATGGATGGGGATAGGCCCAGATTACAGTAGGCACCAAAGAGAATGGGGAGGAGGTCTGCACTGGGCACCGCCCACCCCCTGGTCAGAGGCGGCAAGGTAGGCAGCGGCTCCACACAGTCAGCTGGGGCTGGGGGAAGGGGGTATTTCTATATCTGTTGAAAGGGAGAGTCGTGCTTTAAAGCTTGTAAACCCCTGCCTGGCATAGGCCAAGAACATAGGCTTTGGAGGTGGACAGATCCGACCTGAAGCCACCTCTGTCATTTGTCATTTACTGGCTGTGACTTGGGATAAGTTAACCTCACTGACCGAGCTTCTACAAAAAGGGCATTATCGTAGCATCATTATTGTTTTCAGGATTCAATGAGATGCTGTATGTGAGAGGACCTGCCCAAGGGCCTGACACGAGAAAGGGAACTAAAGTCTTCTTTTATTCAGAATTATTGCACCTGCTAAGATTCCCAAGGTGTTCCTCAAACTCCCAGATGGGAGCAGGACCCCAGATCGTTTTCTCCTCCCAGCTGGTGTCTGGGGCAGTGCAGGGCGGGGGGTTCTTGTTCATTGCTGGATCTCCTCCACTCCCCCAGGCTCTAGCACCCTTGCCCAGAGAAAGGGGAATGCAAGCTGACGTCTGTAAAGGCTAAAGGCTACTGGACCTTTGGTGCTGCCCACTCCCCCACTCCCACCCCACAAAGAAGGAAAATCCCACAGACCTTCTGTCCTCATGTACCTGATCCCGGCTCTTCACCAGCTCCTGGCTCAGGCTGCTCAGGCTCTCCTGGGTCTCCGTGATATTTTGGGAGCATCTGGAGAGGACCTCAGCTAGCTGTGGGGCAAGAAGGCAGACCCCCGTGGGGTCTTCAGCCTGGGCACTGGTGGGCAGGCTGGCTGGACCATGGGCCCCCAGCTCTGATCCTGCTAAGCCCTTGCCCTCCAGCCTCACTCACAGTCCGCAGCCTGGACCTCAGTTCTGCGGCCACCTTCAGTTCCTGGATCTCAGGCATTCCAGCCACGCTGCTGGACCTTGAGGGAGGCAAGGAGAAAGGCCACATTTGGGGGCTTGGGAGCAGCCAAGGTGGGAGGCAGAGAGCTCTGTGGGCACATGCTGGGCATAGCATTTTGGGACAGCCTTGGTGGCTCTCCGGGTCTCTGGGGAGTTTTGTGTTTGGGACAGAGGCACCATCCTGAAGAGGGTCCTACTCACCCAAGTTGTGACATTGTTGAGTATTGCAAAGAATAAAGGTTGAGACAGACTGTAACACCTTGAGTCTATGAAAATCCATGGGCCCGTGATGCAAGGCTGCTATTAATGATCTCCTTACCAGGAAACTTTGTAACTAAAGAGAAAGAATTAAGTTCCTGTCCAGTAGAAACTGTATTTCTTGATAACCAACAGCTTTCTGATGAGGGAAAAGCTGTATTTTGTAGACTACTAGGCAATGATGTATCAGAAGTTTGAACATTATCATCTTGCTGCCCAGTGAAATTGTTATCTGAGGCATAGCGTTACAAGTAATGATGGATGATAAAGGGGTGAGCATTTGCACGGTGACAAGGTCACACCACTCTGCTTCTTTCTTCTACAGGGAAAATGTAACATTACAGTAGAGGAATCAGGCTGTCACCAGCCAATGGTATATCGACATACAATACCAGGCATCATCAATAATGTATTCTAGCAAAAAATGTTCAACTGGAATCCATCTAGCCTTATGCACTCCCAGTTTAGGCCTGGCACAGTGGTTCATGCCTGTAATCCCAGCACTTTGGGAGACAGAAGTGGGAGGATTGCTTGAGGCCAGGAGTTTGAGATCAGCCTGGGCAACATAGTGAGGCCCTGTCTCTACAAAAATAAAAATAAAATAAAATAAAACAAAATAAAAAACAAAATAAAAGCCAGGCATGGTGGCTCACACCAGTAATCCCAGCACTTTGGGAGGCCAAGGTGGGAGGCTCGCTTAAGGCCAGGAGTTGAAGACCAGTCTGGCCAACATAGTGAGACTCTGCCTTGAAAAAAAAAAGAAATGAAAATAGATAAAATAAAATACTAAAAAATTTTTAAAAACTTCCCAGTTTACAGGAAATGCTGAGAAAGAAGGACAAGACAAACAACTTCAAGGGGAAACTCTAGATGAGTCCAGAAGGTGGGACCGTGGACGTGATCCCAAAAACAGGTTATAAAATGGCAAATACACCATCATTTCATGTTGGTTAATGTTTACGCGTAGTAGAATAATATCTAGAAGGATGTGTCCTTCTAAGGTGTGATAACCTATCTCTAGATAGTAGGATACGGGATTTTAATTTTCTTATTTTTGCTTATTTCTGTTTTCTAACTTTCTACTATTAGTATATACATTTTAGTAATAATCATGATTTTAAAAAGTATCCTGTGTATTTTGGCTTGGGAATGGAGAATTAGGGGAGGAAAGGGGAGCTGAGCAAAGAGAGAATCAGGAAGGAACTGCAGGCTCTTTGAAGATAGGGGTGCCGTTGCTCTGCTCCTCATATGGCTCCAGTGCCTAGCAATGTGTTCAGCACACAGTAGTCCGTCAGTGCATGGATGTTGAAGGCATTACTGAGAGCACATACGGATGAAGGTTTGGGATATTTGATGGCAGAAGAGGGTGAGGCTGGACCCAATCCATCTCCACAGGGAGTCAGGAGACATGGGTTCGAGTCTTAGTCCTGGCAGTCACATTTGCTATCTGCATGACCTTGGGTTAGTACTTTAGCAATCCAGTCCTCAGGCTCTTCGTCTATAAAACGAGGAGACAAATTTCCTTCCTGCGACCTACTAAGGTGTTCACAGGGATCCAAAGGGACCTCAGAGATGAAGTCTTGTCTGGAAAGTCTTGCCTGGTGGTGGGGCTGGGGGAAGCCCTAGGATTCCCAAAGCCCATCCTGGCTGCCTGAGCAGTGCCTCCAGATGACAGCAGCTGCCCAGGAGGGCCAGGAAGCTTTAGGACAAAGGCAAGGTTGCTCTGCCAGAGGAGCTGTCCTGGGGAACCTGAGGCAGGAGGAGCACACTCGGGAAGGGGCGAGTCACCAGGCTGGGCAAAGGTGGGCCACTTGGCATGAGGTGCTGGGTTCCTCCAGTGTGACATTCGGCTCATGAAAATACCTGGTTCCACCTGCGGGTGGAGCTAGTGTTTTCAGACCTTAGGAGAATCTACAGGTCTGGGGATGTTCAGGCAAGAATGGGCTTGCAACATGTGGGAGCTGGGAGGCCGCAGAGATCATCCAACCCTCTCATTTTGGAAATGAGGACACAGAGGCCCAGGTAGGGGAAGGTGACAACAGGCTGGAGTCACACCCAGACTAAGAGAAGAGGCTGCACCTGGCCCTCTGGCTCCCTGCTCACAACTGTTTTTGCTCCCCATCTTCCTCCTTGATGGGAGGCTGAAATAGGCTTCAAAGCAGGCACTTGCCTGACCCGAGCTCTCTAGACATACCACGGAGGCCGCCTTGCAGGAGGCTGCAGAGCCATAACAGGGGAACAGCAGCCGCTGGACGCCAGGATGCCAGGACGCCAGATCTAGGCCAGCGTGCCACTCGCCCCCAGCCCCTGTCCATCCAGGGCAAGTAGGCAGACAGACACCCAAAAAGCTTTCCCAAACACATCTTCCCAGGTCAAGAATCTACAATGGCTCCCGGCTGGTTGTTTTACTGGGGTCCAACCTCCCTCTAGCTAGACCCTCCAGGGCCCTATGCATTCTTTCCTCCCCTCCTCACCCACCTCTGTCTGCCTCTGGCTTAGCTCTGGGCTACCTGCTGTCATGACTGTGGCTTCCGTAAGCCTCCCCAGCACCCCCTCGTTCCCCCTGAACAGGGCCCTTTTCTTCTCTGTCTCTGCACAGACCTTCCTGCCTGAGGTATTCTCCTTCCTTCTGGCCTTAAAAGCCTCATCTTTCAGGAAGGCCTCCGTGGTTGCCTCTACCCATCTCAAGTCTCCTCTTACCCAACAATCCCATCAACCCTCACATGTCCAGGAAGGGCTAGCTACTCCGCAGGAAGCATGGGCCTCTCTGAATGACAGAAGGCCACATCTACCCGGAGCCCCCTCTGTGTCCTGGACAGAGCTCTGCTCAAAGGAGATTCACTCGCAGTTCTGCTGACTGAACCCCACTCTCTGTCACCGTTTGAGAGGGGCTCAGTCTGGATGGAGACTCCATCCCTGTTATCTGGAGATGCTCCTCTTCCTCCTCCCTGCTCCTCCACCTCCCAGCTGCCCCATCATCTGTGTTGCTGCTGCCAAGCAGGAGGCACGCGGGGCTGCATGAGTCAGCCCACAGCTGGGAAACTCCCTGGAGCTCCCTGGAGACAAGGGCTGGGGGGTGGCGAGAGAGGAGGAGGGCCTTCAGGCATCTGCGCAGTCTCTGATCTTCTGTCCCCAAAGACTCCCGCCACCAGTGGCATCCTTAGGCTGCAGAGCTCCCACCCTCACCCGTACCATGGCCTCGTGCCTTCCAGGATTTGGGGTGCTGTGCCCACTTCTCAATCGTGTTCTGACCAATGAGGTATTCCCACGTTCTCCATCTCCAGGCCCTTCCCCCTGACTTCCTCCTCCCCAGTCTCTCTCTGTTTCCAACTCATCCCCGCTAATTAGCCCGAGACACGGGAGTGGAGGGAGTCAGGTTCCAAGGATTGGGGCAGGGAACCCAAGGAAGGCAAGGATAAGCTGAAGAGTCAGAGAAAGCAGGAGATGAGGCGTGGAGAACGAGACCACTGGGATGTTGTTCTGTGTGTGGGTGTGAGTCCTCCCCCTAGAGTTCTGCTGGCATTTGGCATAGCGTGAACATTCTAAATCATTCAGAGAAGGACTTGGCAGGACACAAGCCCCTTCCTGGGATAGGGAGGCCACCTTGGTACCTGGAGAGTCTGTGCCCCCATGGGCCCCTTCCCCTGCAGGTGAGGGACTGGGTTTGGGGGGAGCCATTGCAGTTATTTGGTGAGGTGGGGATAAGGGATAGGGTGGGGGTGCCTCTATTCTAGGAGGGCAGGGAAGGCAGGAGCCCTGGGTTGGGGAGGAGAGGTGCATTGTTGGAGGTATTAAGGGTGAGGAGCAGACAGAGCAGGGCTGAGAGGTCCCAGCGGCCTGGGGCGAACACCCACCTCTCGGTCCCCAGGCTGCTGCTGAGGTAGAGGAGGGATGTCCTCGCCACCTCCAGAGTCCGTCTGCATGTGGCCTGGAGCACCTCCCTGTCCAAGGGGAGACTGAGTCAGAGCTGCCTTGATCAGGGGACTCAGCACTGTGCATGCAGACAGCATCCCAGGGTGCTGGCCTCCGCCTCCTGCCGGCCTCCCCTCCTGCCCGCCTCCCCCTCCTGCTGGTCTTCCCCTCTCTGCCCGCCTCCCTCTCCTGCCCACCCCCCCTCCTGCCCACCTCCCGCTCCTGCCTGCCTCCCCCTTTGTGCCCAGCCCTCATGGCTACTCACATGACCCAGTGCAGCCCCCGTAACATTAGCTCCTGCCCATCCAGCAGGACCCGCGCCAGCCGCAGGGCCTGGTAGCCAGCGCCCAACACACCCTGAAACACAGAGGTGCACAGGGCCAGGTCCCACACCTCCTACCCTTGGGCCATGCCCCTTCCTGCCACCTGGGGGTTGCCCCTCACCTTAGCCGTGTTGTAATCCGCCTGCAGATCCACTTTGGGGACGAACTTGGGGACGTCCAGAGCAGCTGCAGACAAAGACCCTGTCTGAGGGGCCTGCCTATATGGTGCTGGGTCGGCTCATCTTTCATTAAGTCCAGCGCACACTCACCCCTTATTGCCAATCTCCCACCTCAGGCTTTGCAACTCACCCTGAGCCCCCCACCTTGCCAGTCTTAGCCGCACTTAAAGTTGTGATCCCTCACTGCCACCTTGTGGCCACTTTTGAGAACTACATGCTCATGCCCAAGGGCCGAAAATGGACTAAATCACCTTCTTGCCCACAGGTTTTGAGGTGAATACCCCTTCCTAGCCTCAGAGAAGGAGGATAAAACTGGCGTTATTCAAGTGAGAAGAAAGGAAACTTTTGCTAGGATTTGGAGAAAGGCTCAAGCTCTGGACCCCTGACCCCCTTCCCTTCTTTCCAGGAGCTCAGACTTGGGCTTCTTCCAACACAAACTGTCTGAGGCTTCCCCACAAATCAGAGATGATGGAAACTGCATTAAATCCAGATCTCTCTGTTTCCACTGGAGCTCTTTCCACAGCTCTGAGGATGCTGGGAAGCCCCCGGGAGGTCAAGCCACCAGCCCACATCATGTGGCATCTCAGAGGCATCTGCAGAATTAGAACCCGCATCTGTAGAATTAAAACCCACATCTGCCTCTGGCTCCCTGTGGCCCCAAAGAAACACCCACAAAGGAAAGTAACCAATGGCCTGGATTGCAAACTCCTGTCTCACAGGAAATGTGGGGAGGAGAAAGATCCAGCCCAGGTGGCTCTACTCACGGTCCCTGAAGGCCAGCCCCTTGGGGATGGCTGTGCTGAAGAGGGTCAGGGGGCTGCTTGCTGTCGTGTGGGCGATGTGCTGTGCTGAGATGCTGGGCTCAAGGACACAGAGGTGACCCTCAAAGAGGTACTCCTGGTGTCGGGGGGCCACACTGGTCTGCTTATGCACGGCTTCCTGGAAAATGGCTATCCTAGACATAGCCATGGTAGGGGGCAGAGGGCAGGGGGTGTCAGTAGGCAGGGCAGGGGGCCAGGGACTCCTAAGCCCCAGCTAAGCATTGCCCATAGGCAGGGCTCTGTTTTGCAGAGGGAGGGACGGGGGTGGTTTTCTCTGTCATCAAGGGTGGAGAGGCCAAGGGGAGAGTTCACATCTTATAGTGATGCAGACAGAGTGGGAACAGGCCCCAGGAGTCCCAATACCCAGTCTCTGACTCTGCACCTCTTCCTGTCACACTGCCATTACATTTACCTGGTTCTATACAATTATCCAGGAATCAAGGGTTCTATGAGCCGTACATTTAGGAAATGTGCAGCCAACATACACGCACACACTTCTCAGATGTATAATGCATATTAGCATTAGAAAAGGTACTGACTCTCTGAAGTACATGCAAGAAAACCTGTTTAGCTTTAACTTTGTAGATCTAGTCTTTTTCCAAACTATGTTTGGACCCAGAAGCGGTCCTACGTATACACTCTTCAGAACGTACTGTGGGAGATGCCGCTTTGGACAGGCACCGCTGCTTGAGTACAGAAGATTCTCACTGCTTCCCTCCCTTGTCCCCACTTACGTGTTGTGGGCATGGATGTAGACGTGGTGCAGGACTGCCTGGGACAGGGAGAAGACATGGATGACAACTCGCTGCAGGATGTCACTGGTCTCCGCAAAGAACTGGTCGAAGCCCCAGCACTTGGCCTGCTCCACCTCCAGGATGTTGGCCAGGATGGGCACCAGCTGGCTCTGCAGCCCCCTGCCCTCCCAGGACATGGAGACTGTCAGGGGCGGGGGCCCAGACCTGTCCTCCTTAAGCAGGCAACAGGGGCATGTCCTGAAGAGCTAGGACCAAGGTGGTGGGGCCGGGTGGGTTGGGGAGGAAGAGCTGGAGGAACTCGTTCCAGCGTCCAGGTGGGAAAGTGGTGTGCCCAAGCCTGCAGCATGCCCGGAACCTGCTGGAACAGGCCTCAGAAGTCTTGACTCAGCAGAGAGAAGTGATACCCAGCTCAGACTCCAGCATCACCCACCCAGCAGGGTTCCACTCACAGTGACAACTGGCAGGTGATGGGGAGGGTGTAGCTCCACTCCAGGGGCCCATTCTCCCGCCTCTGGGCACCTGCAATGGCCCCAGTTGGCTTCTCCGTGGTGATCCGGTACCTAGCGGGAGCAAGACCAGGTCAGCGGGATCCCCAGCCGTCACATTGCGAGGCAACGACACACTCAGCACAAAGGGCTCCGAGCACAGGTTCAAGTCACCCAGCCACCCAAAGGTAGCCTGAGCGATGGAATGTGAGAGACCTGGCTCTCAGCTGTGAGAGCACCTTGCCTCAGCACTCCTCCTGGAGCCCTTTGCTTCAGATAGAGACACCTTTGCTCTGTCCACTGCCTCCCTCCCATCTACACTTCCCTCAGCCTGGCCAGCCTCCTCCACACCTTTGCCCATGCTATGCATGGCCCCAGTATCCTCTCGTCCTCTTTCTCTCCCTTCAGAGTCTAGCCTTCCCTGACAACCCCTGTCCACGCGGGTCTCCTGTCCCTCTCACGGTCCTGATATAGGTTCCACACAGCTGGACCCCCGGGCTGAGGCGAGTGCAGCAACCTTCCCGCTAAGCAGCTGACGTCTCTGCTCCAGGTGGTGCACTCAGAGGGAGCCGCTGCTGTCTCCAGCCACTTACTACTTCCCTGTCCGATGGCACAAAACCATGGAAAGACCTTGGACCTGGGAACAAGAAGCTGCCACCTTTGCCCCTGGCGAGTTCTGCCACCTTGGGCAAGTCACTCTTTGAGCTTCGGTTAAGACAAGGAGAGCAGTAAGGGAGCGGAGGGCTAGAGTGAAGCACCGAACTAACACAGGGTGTATTCACAGACACCCGTCAGCCCCGGGCAGAGCTCAGCTGCTTGTTTGATCCGATTAACAAAAAGAGGTCTACAAAGAGCCTGGGTGGGGGGTGGACCAAAGGAGTGTGAGGGGACCAGGAGACACAGCAGGGTCTGGTGGGAGAAGGGCCAGGGGACCACCAGTCTGCCCCATTCCCTGCCCTGTGGCCCACCGTACATGATCTCCTTGTTCCGCCGTGGCCCACCAAAGGGGATGAAGGGCAGGCTGCCGGTGGCTGCATGGTACAAGGTCACTCCAATGCTCCAGAGATCCACAGTCACCCCGAACGCTTTTTGCTGGGGCTTTCGAAGCACCGCCCGCTCATACATGTCGGGGTGCTGCCGGAGAGAACCAGAACGCGGCCATGGAGCGGGAGGGCTGGCAAGGGCCTGAGACCTGTCAGACTCCCTTCCACTGCCTGCAGGTGAAAACAGAACTGTTCAAATCCTTCTCCTTTGTCATCTTAAAAACGGGTGTCACATTCGCCCTACCCAGAGCGTTTCCGTCGGGCCATGCTGTGCCCTGGGGACCTGTACGTCCCATCCTCCCGAGAGCCCCGGCAAGGAGTTAACTGCACAAGGCCGGGTGGCCTGGCCAGGCTGCAGCCTCACCTTTTCTGTCTTAGAGAACAGAATGCATTCTTCTGGTTGGGGTACAGGGGAGAGACATAACCCTGTCGGAAGCAGAAGGTGGGCCACACCCGCTATGGGGGCTCTGAGGGGCTCAAAAGGGGGGGCAGCGGGTCCCCAGCAGCTCACCCACCAGGTACTCCTCAGTCCCGTAGACTGAGACAAACTTCTCGTCATCATCCAGCTCCCGGGCAGCCCCGAAGTCTGTCAGCTTGTAGATGCTCTGCCCCTCCTCCCCCACGAGGCGCATGATGTTCCCGGGCTTGATGTCGCGATGCACGATGCCGTTCTCCCGCAGGTGGTTCATGCCGGCCACTGGGGACAGACAGGGAAGCCGCTAGCTGGCTCTGGCCAGGGAAAGTCTAGTGTCTGAGGCTCATCTTGGTGGGCAGGCTGTCCTTGGACCCAGAGACACAGGAGTTCCCATGGGCTGACAGAGCCATGGGACAGGCAGAAGGCCAGAGACACACATGGGGCTGAGGAGGGCATCTCAAGGACACTAGGGTATGGAGGTGCCATCTGGATTCTCTAGGAAACCGAGAGGGGTGGTGGCTCTGTCTCCCTAAGGGCGGCACCCCTCTTTGTATTACTTCTTTTGATTAGCTGTTCAATTGTGATAAAATATCCATAACAAAATTTCCCATTTTAACCAATTTTAAGTGTACAATTCATTGGCACTAAGCACACCCATGCCACTGTGCCACCATCACACCATCCATCTTAGAACTTTTCTCATTGTCCACTTTTTTTTTTTTTTTTTTTTTGAGACAGAGTCTCACTCTGACACCTTGGCTGGAGTGCAACAGCTCAATATCGGCTCAGTGCAACCTCTGCCTCCCGGGTTCAATCAATTCTCATGCCTCCGCCTCCCATGTAGCTGGAACTACAGGCGCACGCCACCATGCCCAGCTAATTTTTGTATTTTTTTTAGTAGAGACAGGGTTTCACTGTGTTTGCCCGACTGGTCTCAAACCCCCAGTCTCAAATAATCCGCCCACCTGGGCCTTGCAAAGTGCTGAGATTACAGGCATAAGTCACTGCACCCAGCCTCATTTTCAAAATTGAAACTGCACTCATTAAACAACTCCCCATTCTCCTCTGCCCCCAGACCCTGACATCCACCATGGTACTTTCTGTCTCTATGAAGGTATGAGTGGAATCATACAGGATTTGCCCTTCTGTGTCTGGCTTTTTTCACTTAGCATAATGTCACCAAGGTCCATCCATGTTGTAGCAGGTGTCAGAATTTCTTTCCTTTTAAGACTGAATAATAATCTATTTTAGGTACCGCCCACATTTTGTTTTCACAGTTAGGCTGTTTCCAACTTTTGGCTATTGTAAATAATGCTGCTAAGAACGTTGGTGTACAATCTTTTTTAGGTTTAATTTTTAAGTTGGAATTTTAAATGGAATGATTAGCAGGAGTCAGACGCCTGGGTCCTGCCCGTCAGCGTCTGTGCCAGGCCTGCTGCTGGTCTGAGGGTGGAGGCAGGGACAGGGAGGGGCTCACCCACACAGCGCAGCACCACCAGGAACTCATCCTCTGGCAGCCCAAAGGCGTTCTCGGGGCTCTCCAGCACGCTCAGCAGGCTCCCACTGGAGCAGTACTCCATCACCAGTACCTTCTGCCGGCTGCCCCCCTACAGGTGGGACAGAGAGGGGCTCCTGAGGACAGTACTTCTCCTCCCCACCCACTAGGAAGAAGTGGCTCCGAGCCATGGGGCAGGCAGAAGGCCAGAGACACACATGGGGCTGAGGAGGGCGTCTCAAGGACACTAGGGTATGGAGGTGCCATCTGGATTCTCTAGGAAACCGAGAGGGGTGGTGGCTCTGTCTCCCTAAGGGCGGCACCCCTCTTTGTATTACTTCTTTTGATTAGGTGTTCAATTGTGGTAAAATATCCATAACAAAATTTCCCATTTTAACTACTTTTAAGTGTACACTTCATTGGCACTAAGCACACCCATGCCACTGTGCCACCATCACACCATCCATCTTAGTGGGGATGGAGCCCAGAGTCCCCATTCTCCAGGTCTCAGCTTCCGGCCTAGCCTTCCCTCCTTGTCCTCACACTGATCTCAAACCCTGGAATCCAAAGTCACCTATTCCAGGAAGCCCTCTCTGCTTAGGTACTGATTCTGTCCATCGTTCGTTTCCCGTGCACTGCTCCCACCCCCTTGCACCCTTTGCCCCCTTCTGCAATTTGCCTGCTCTGTCTGACCTGCTGATGAGCATGGGACCAAGTCTCTGTTGTTGTGTGGCCTGCTCTCCCCAGACGACAAGGGTCCAGGACAAGACCATCCTCTGACCAAGCACCAGACCCACCGTCTCCTCCACGGCAAAGAGCTTGATGATGTTCTGGTGGTTCAGCTTCCGCAGGACCTCAAACTCCCTCACCTGCACCTCACGGGGCCGCAGGTAGCTGGTGGTGTTGAAGACCTTCACAGCAACCAGCTCCCCGGATTTCTGCCATTGGGGAGGGAGCAGTGGGAGACAGCATGGGGATTAGCACACGTCCCACTCCCACCACCCTCTCCTGGGCCTCCATTCAGCCTCTTCCGATAGCCCAACCCAGAGATGAGCCTGGTTGGATGGGGGCTCCCAGCCACACCTCCTTTTCCTCTCAAGGGGTAGACAGTCCCGCACTGGGAGGTGACAAGAGCCTGAAATTCTGATCTCCTGCAGGGGATGGCTTGTGTTATTATTACAATTGCCATTGACAATCACCACAGGGCAGCTAACACTTCCTGGGGTTAGCAGCAGGGAAGGGACTGGAACCTGGACTGGCTGGCTCCAATTCCTTTTTTTTTTTTTTTTTTTTTTTTTTAAGACGGAGTCTCGCTCTGTCCCCAGGCTGGAGTGCAGTGTCAAGATCTCGCTCACTGGAATCTCCGCCTCCCGGGTTCAAGCAATTCTCTGCCTCAGCCTCCTGAGTAGCTGGGATTACAGGCGCCCGCCACCACGACCAGCTAATTTTTGTATTTTTAGTAGAGTTTCAAGATGGGGTTTCACCATCTTGACCAGGATGGTCTTGATCTCCTGACCTCGTGATCCGCCCACCTCGGCCTCCCAAAGCGCTGGGATTACAGGCGTGAGCCACTGCGCCCAGCCGGCTACCACTCTTAAGTAAGCAGAGTGGATATCATCTCGTATATTCTTGCAGGATAAATCCAAACAAGGCCTAATTCCTGCCTCTGCTCTTCCTAGATCCCATTTGCTGCTACCTTCCCCGGATGTTTGCCTTGTGACTTCATAGTTCTCTTGCCCAACTCGTGCCTGACGGAGGCATCCTCTCAAGGAGCCATTTTCAGCTCCCTATCCCTCTGCTCAAACCCACGGTGTGAGTGTGCTGCACAACGTCCCGAGATCCCTGTCCCACCGCCCTCAGTGCCCTCTGGGGGCTGACTGGGCCAGCTTGCAAGGCATGAGGAGGCCAAGGCTGGGCTGGCCAGAGGCCTGGCCAGGGTTGCTTCCTACCTTGTTGCGGGCCTTGTACACACTGGCAGTGGCCCCCTGCCCCAGCAGGTCGTCTGTGTGCCACAGGTAATTGGTTGTGCTCTGCATCTCCTGCCCTGAGCTGGCTGGTCACCTGCTGCCTAGAAAAAGAGCATGCTGGGGGCCCAGGATTCCATTCCTGGCATGGGGTGGCCACTGGTGGCCTGACCTGTAACTGTGCCCCAAGGCTACCCTAAGAAGGGCTCCATGTGGGCATTCCATAAGCAAGGGAGTGGGGGAAGTATGAAGCACAGAAAGGTTAAGTAACTTCCCCAAAAGGACGCACAGCACAACAGGAGGGCCCCCACTGAGCCCTAAGCCCACAGCCGGCACCTGTTCCACCTAAGAGGCCTGGCCTTCTGCCTGTCCTGGCTCCCCAAGTCCCCTTGAAGCCCCTCCCCAGGCAGGTCATTCAACAGAGACAAACCTCTTGTCTCTATCACCTCTCCCCAGCACTGAAGATTCTGGGTTTTGGCATCCAGGCTTGAGACTGTCCCAGGAAGCAGAAACAGTATAGGAGGAAGGGCCTGGGGTCAGGCAGCATCTCCCACACTACCACAAATCTCCAGGATTGCAACATGAGCCTGGAGCCACTCCCCCAGCCCCCGCTGCCCTGCCTGCCAGGCCCACCACTTCCTGCTGCTATGAGCTGACAGCTGGGTCAGTGCTGCTCCAAGAGAGACGGGGCTGCTTCAGAGTGTGTGTGTGTGTGTGAGAGAGTGTGTGTGTGAGTGTGTGTGTGTGTGTGAGAGAGTGTGTGTGTGTGAGAGTGTGTGTGTGTGTGTGTGAGTGTGTGTGTGTGAGAGAGTGTGTGTGTGTGAGAGTGTGTGTGTGTGAGTGTGTGTGAGAGTATTTGTGTAGGGGGTTGGGGAGAAGCGTGTGAGTGTGTGTGTGAGAGCAGGGTATAGGGGAGGCAAAATTCATCATTCGGCCATTGGGAGAATCGGAAACATCTTACGAGTCTGTTTCCCATCTTTGTCCTCATCTTTTCTCCACAGCCTGGTTCTCCTAAAGCAATTAGTACCAGAAAGTGTATCCTCAGAAGTTAAACTCAATTTCTCTCTGAAAAATAAGGCCAGGGCTGGCCTTTTTAGGATACCTGGGGACAGAAGCATTAGAAGGGCCACCATCCTTTAAATACTTCCTTTTTTTTTTTTTTTTTGACATAAGGTCTCACTCTGTCATCCAGGCTGGGGTGCACTGGTACAATCATGACTCACTGCAACCTCCACCCCCTGGGCTCAAGCAATCCTCCCAACTCAGCCTCCTGAGTAGCTTAGGATCATAGGCGTGAACCACCACACCTGACTGTCTTTTGTATTTTTAGTAGAGATGGGTTTTTGCCATGTTGCCCAGGCTGGTCTTGAACTCCTGAGCTCAAGCAATCCGCCCACATGGGCCTCCTCCCAAAAGTACTGGGATTACAGTGTGAGCCACCATGCCTGGCCACTTAAATACTTTTAAATAACGCTAGACTAGAAAAGGTGTCTTCATGTTCTAACATCTTAGAGGTTCTCAAACTGAGGGTTGCCATGCCTAGAATCCTACGTTCCTTCATTCTGAACTTTTTCTCTGTGTAATCTTTTTTACAAACACAAATCCTTGATAATGTCAGTTCATTGAGCCAGAAGCCCCTTGAAGAGATCAGTGGTCAACTCCTAGTTTCAGATCAGGTAGGAGTGGACATTACACAGAAGCAACTGAAGTACTGAGAGGCTTCCTGAAGACAATACAGTAGCTCAGCATGAATGAGTGGGTCTGGTTTTCCCCGCTAAGGCTGGAGCCAGCCAGCAGGTCTGGGGGCTGGGGCTGGAGCAGAGCAGGCTGAAATCAAGGCCAAAGGCTCTGATACTGGGGCGAGGAACAGCTGAAGACTCTGGGATAATAGGTAGTGAGGTGCAAAGCACAGAGCCCCAGACAGGCGGCGTGCCCCTGGGTTCTGTGCCCAGGAGCTCTGGTTGTGGCACATCTGGCTCAACTCTGCACGCTCTGCAGATCCTCCCCCCACCACCCCAAGCACCTGGTGCATAGAAGGGCTCAGCGGCCCTCAACCAGTGGTTGGATGAATGAGCAGTGGACAGTGAAGCATGTGAGCCGCCGCCCACCCATCTCTCCCCTCCCCTTCCTTCTCAGGGCTCTGCTGTGGCCAAATGCACTTACCCCACACTCTGAGCTGCCCTGAGTCAGGCAAAGGCTCTTCCTGGTGAGCGTATGTTATGCTTTCTGTCTGTGGCACGTCCAGGAGCTGAGCTACACCGGAAAGAGGAGGGCGGATGAGAGGCGCCCCTCAGTGCAGTTGCTTCTCAGCCTCCATCAAAGGCCACCGGCCCTAGCCCTTTAACCCTTTCCTGTTTGTCACCTTCCCCCAGAGGGCTGGGCTGGGGGTTTCCAGCTCTATACCCCAACTGTTCAGGGAGACTTTCCTGGCGTCTCCTACTCCTGAGACTCTGGCCAGGGAGAAAGACCCCGGGAAAGGTGAGGGCAGGTGCTGGGAGCTGATTGCTGGCTTTGGGTGTTGGTAAGCAGAGCCCAGGGAGGGCTTGTGGTTGGCCCATGGTGGCTCACCTCTATGCCACACACAGCGCTCTATGTGAGAGCACCACTGCCGACAAGCCCGCACCCCTGTGCCCGGCTGAGCTGCCCTGCAGCTACCCCTAGCCTGGCCCCCTCATTCCACCCCCGCCCCCCTCCACACGCTGCACACTCACCCCATCTCCACTGCAGGGGATGCAGGTTTGTGGGACTGGGTGGCACTCCCAGAACTTTCAGGGCTTGCTGTCATTCATGAGCAGTGTTCTCAGCCTCCTGGTGGCCAAAGGCCCTTAGGACCCACAGGCAGGGCCAGTTGCAATGGCCTGTGCCACCCCAGGAGCTAGGACTAGTGGGTTTCTTCCCTGCCTCCTTGTGGCGGTGGGACACCAAGCTCAGCACTGAGTCCTGGCTCTCAGCTCTCTCACACTTCCTGATTTCCGTCTCTTGCTCTCTTTCTCTCTTAAAGAGACAGAGGCAACTCGGTGCAGCCACCAGCTCAGCAAAGAGAAAGAGGATGCTCTGAGTTCCCAAGTGTAGGCGATAGGACCAGAGTCTGAGCCACAGAGAAGCCAGGAACTGGGGCCCTTCTGGTCATTGTGGTGGGCAGCTGGGTGCTGTTTTGGCATCTCGCACAATTCACTGGAGCAGGGAAGTTCAGGACTCTGCCCGGAGTCAACAGAGCAGGTTGGGCAAGTTAACTAAGTGGAAAGCTGCCTGGGAAGTCCACGCTCCCACACCCAGGAGCCCCAAGGAGGTGTAGGAGCTATGCCGACCCAGTCCTAGAAGCTGGATCTGAGTCACCTTCCAAGGAGGCCTGCAGAGGTCCGAGCAAGTGCGGGGACCCAGCTGATGCCCTCCAGTGTGACCTGAGCACAGCATGCAGCCCCTCCCAGCCAGCTCACTCACCTGCAGCAGGAGGACAGTAACAGCTACTCCATGGGTTGATTGGATGACATGGATATATTTGGAATTGTTTGGAGCTTGGAAAGTGTTTTACAGAAAGCCTTGAAGGTATGGAGGCCCACACACTTCAGGAATTTACCCATTCTCTTCAGAGACTGCTGGGGCTGGAACCCAGGTGCCAACTTCCCAGCCAGGACTCGATGCCCCGCATCAAATGTCCTAGGAGGCTGGAGGGGTCTGTGCTGCTCTGGTCAGCTCTGAGATGGCAGTTGGATGTGAAATGGTTAAAACCAGGAAATTCCATGTTTCTATAGAATGTTGGAGGGACTTTCCCATGGCCACACCTGGTGGTTTCCTCCGCCAGCGCCACCCCTCCCACAGTGACACTAGAACAGGAGCAGAGCCGAGAACCGCCTGGTGCTTTGTTAAAGAGACCTCCCCATAACACTGCCAGCTGGAGGAGCTGCTGCAGCTTCTCACGGCAGGACCTGGAGGAATGTGCCTGAGTGCCTGAGATCCTCATGTTCCACCCAGTCTTCCCAGCTTGCTTTTTTTTTTTTTTTTTTTTTTTTTAGATGGAGTCTTGCTCTGTCACCCAGGCTGGAGTGCAGCAGCACAATCTCGATCTCGGCTCACTGCAACCTCTGCCTCAGCCTCCCGAGTAGCTAGGACTACAGGCACACACCACTATGCCTGGCTAATTTCTTGTATTTTTAGAAGAGATGGGGTTTCACTGTGTGGTTGGTGAGGTGGATTGAGCAGGTTGGTCTCAATCTCCCAACTTCCTGATCCACCCGCCTCGGCCTCCCAAAGTGCTGGGATTACAGGCGTGAGCCACCACGCCCAGCCTAGTCTTCCCAGGTTTCTGCCAACCTGGCACATGGGAGAACTGCACATCCTAGTTACCTTGTGATGCGGGGAGCATGTGAGTTCCCCACCAAAGCGTTTAATTCCTGATGCAAGACCCTCCCAGAGCTCTGCTTTCTGGCAGTGTGATTCTGTTAGTCTGGGTCCTTGAGTGACTGTCCTGAGCAGAGTTCCCCTGCTGGTTCACAAGGGATATTGGCTTTGGTGAGAAATCAGCCTTTGTTGCTTTAGGGCACCGAGGTTTGCTACATAACTTAGACGATCCATAATGTTTACCCACTTTTTACCCTGATGAACCTGCTGGGTCCTCAGCAGCACTCTTACTTTCCTCTCTCCATCAATCTCTTTCCCAGTGTATTTAGCACGTTCAAAGGCAACTACCATGTGTCTAGCACCTTCTATGAGGCAGGCACTGTGTGCTGAGGACGTAAAGGCTGGGCATCCCACCAGGAGCCTGGAGGTCCAGGACGGCATGGTAGATGCTGAGTGGCAGGCAGGCAGCAGGGAGGAAGGTGATCAAGAAGGGCTTTCCAGAAGGGTGGCTCGGCCAGACTTTAGGAAGAGGGGAGTTAGGCAGAGGAGAGGGGGCTGGGGGAATGGAATTCCAGGCTGTGGGCACACATGCAGAGGTGCAGAAGCATGAGAAGAGCTGGACTGAGGCTGAGAAAAGGGGGAGAGGTAGAGGTGGCCTGGAGCCATGTGCCGTGACAGATCAAGTTTCCTTGGGCATCCTCTGTGAGGTCACATCCTCTGTGTGGACACAGTGAAGCAATGTCTTGCCTGTGCCCCAGTCGGGCAGCACAGCCAGTTGCATCCAGGAAGGTGCAGGGAGCTGGCGGGCTCCAGAAGGGAAGAGGAAGTCTGTAAGAGTCCCCACCACATGTTCCCAAGTGGCTCTGAGGAGTCCTAGAAATAGAAGTGGCAATCCAAGGGTAGTGCAAGGACCAGAGGCGGAAGAGGACGGCCCTTGACAGCAGCTGTCAGAAAGAAATCTCATGTGACTTCTACAAAGAGGCCGAAAGTATAGCGGGAAAGGCAGGGGCTAGCTCCATTGCCATGGAGGTTTGAGTTCAGATCTTACCACCTACTGTGGGTGAGCCTAGCACGTCACTCGACGTTCCTCATAGGGCCGGTTTGAAAGTAAAATGAGATGAAGCTCCTGGCACCTGGTCCACTCTGAAGAGATATTAATTTCTTTTTCCGCCCCTAAGGGGCCTGAGTCAGTTTTTCACAGCGGACTCACCTGCCCAGTGCCTTAAAGGGAAGGGGAAAGGGCTCGGGTGCTGGTGGGGTGCATATGGAAGAGACTGGAGGGCATTGCCAGGCAGTGTGTATTTGCTATGCTCAGTCTCAAGGGCGAAGGGCTGAGCCACGAGGTCTCGGAGCCCGACTTCTTGTCACCTACAGGGGTTAGCTCTGGCCAGGAGCTTTGGGTGTGGAAGGAGGGACAAACACTGCAGCCAGGCCTGCTGCTATGGCCCCAAGCAGTGGGACAAGCTGTGGGGCAGCATCCAGGCCACTGAAGGAAATCGGCGCCGGTGCCAGCGTCATCTCTCTTCGAGGAAAAGCAAGTGTTTCTCTCATTGTCTTCACTCTTCAAACCTCCTCCGCACCATTCCCTCCTACACTGTCAGCTAAGGACCTTGCCTTAAACTTCACTTAGATAAAAGAAGCAATCAGAAGGGAGCTCCCTCATTTCCTCCCCCACATCCACTGCCTGCCCTGTCTGTACTCACCTGCCTTCCCTCCCACGCGACAGCAGGAAGTGCCTCTTCTTGAGCCTCTTCTAGTGGCCATGGCCAACCCTCCCACTTGTGCCCTGCAGCTCACCCTCTCCTCTCCTGCACATTCATTCTTCCCGTTCTACTGCGTCCTGCCCACCCCACCAAACAAATGCAACTCTGCACTGCCCATCTTACCCTTGTCTCTTGATGCTCCCCATTCAACGAGCTGTCAAGTTACTGCCTCTTCCCTTCCCATTTGCCACCTAACCCACTCCAGTTGGACTCATTCCCCTCTGCTGAAAATGCTCTTGTCCAGGTCACCAATGATTCCCTTTCTACGCCAGCCTCACTTTACCCCATTGGCTTCAACAGCAGATTCCCCCTTTGCTGAAGCATTGTCCTCTCTTGCTGTCTGTGACCCTGTGCTCTCCCAGCCACCTACCTCACTGCCACTTGCTCATTCTGCCTTCTTTGCTGCCCCCCTTCCTCTGCTGCATTTTTTTCTTTTTTTATTGAGATGGAGTTCCACTCTTGTTGCCCAGGCTGGAGTGCAATGGCGCGATCTCGGCTCACCACAACCTCCACCTCCCGGGTTCAAGCGATTCTCCTGCCTCAGACTCCCGAGTAGCTGGGGTTACAGGCATGCGCCACCACACCAGGCTAATTTTTTTGTATTTTTAGTAGAGGCGGGGTTTCTCCATGTTGGTCAGGTTGGTCTCGAATTCTTGACCTCAGGTGCACCCGCCTAGGCCTCCCAAAGTGCTGGGATTATAGGTGTGAGCCACCGCACCCAGCCCCTCTGCTGCATTTCTAATGATCAGGACCTTCTCTTTTTTCCATCTCCACGCTCTTCCTGGGAATCTCTGTTTGAATACATCTATAATGTAACAGTTCCTAATAGGTTTTCAGGTATTATCTACCCCCAAATCTCCAAATTCGTACATCCAAGGGTCTACCTGGTATTTCCACTTAGATGTCTACTAGTCATGTCAGCCTTGCCAGGTCAAGCAGAATCCTTCATTTCCTGAACAACTCCTATCTTATTACAGTTTCGTTTTCAGAGTAATAGTCATTTTGCTTTTTCATCTGTCCTCCCTGACTAGAAAGCTCCATTACCTGTTTTTTTTTCTGTTCAGTACTATAGGATAGTGCTTGCACACAGAGAAGCTTAATGTTTGTTGACTGACTAAATGACTGTCTTTAGTATATGTAATATGCCAAGGTTGCTAACTCCTGAGTAAAAGGAAATGTCATATACCGATGAACATAAATCAGGAGTTTCCAATCTTTTGGTTTCTCTAGGCCACATTGGAAGAATTGTCTTGGGCCACACATAAAATACACGAACACTAATGATAGCTGATGAACTAAAAAAAAATTGCAAAAAAATCTCATAATGTTTTAGGAAAGTTTACGAATTTGTGTTGGGCTGCATTCAAAGCCATCCTGAGCTGTGGGTTGGACAAGTTTGATATAAACATTTAGGTTAGATAGTCTTAAAAGACTGTTTCCTAAGTTAACATACATCTGGTCTGCATTTTTGGTTTCTATCTGGATGGAATGGGCTTGTGTTTTGACAGTGTTCATTGCCACTAGTTTCCATCCAGCCCCCATCAGGACATATGAAATAAAAAGAACCATATATGGATAAAGAGGACCTAAAAAGCATAGCCTGCCTTTGCCTCGGGACCCTCTGAAAAGGGGCTCTTTTGTCCCCTGCTCACGGCCTACAAACTGGCTCCATGTCACAGCTATTATGGGGTGCTCCTGGCCATCCCCATTCTCCCTGCACTCAGGGAGAACTCATTCCTACCAGAGTGGCACAGTAGCCTTGGCCTTGACTTACCCGAGGCCAAGGGCCCAGCAAGAGAAGCTCAAGATGTAGCTATTCCTTGAAAACAGGGGAAAGGAAGAGACAGTAGGCTGGAAGGGCATAGCAAAGCTGAATAAAAGACATACGAATAACGGAAAGGGATGATAAACCTAAGAAGGGGTTGTAAAGTGTCCTGTCTAGAGCTGAGGGTAGGATTCCTTGCATTACCACTGAACACAGGGTACCTACTTGGAGAGATGTGATCCATCCCCAGGGGCAACTGGTATTAGAACAAGCCTGTTAAAAGTAAGTGTTGGCCCTAGGAGCTCTAGGATTTGTTTCAAGTTGTTACCTTTGAATAACTTCACCCTTGAACTTAAGCTGTGCTAGACTCACAATCTATCACCTGTATCCCCCACTCCCACCAACAGCACAAGCAAATTGGTCAGCTTTTCTCCCAGAGGCAGGGGGCTGTCAAGGGCAGAATGACTCAGGGCTTTGGTTGTGGAAGAAAGAGAACCTCTAGTCACCCTTGGTTGTAGTTTGCCAAGTTTCTAAGCAACTTCTTAGGCCCCACTCCCTGAAGTGGGGAAATCTGACTAGAGATAGAAAACAAGGTGGATTCTGTGAAGGCAATGGTTCTCATGGCAACAGGCGGTCCAATGATGAGCTGGAAGACACAAAACCTATGAGAATCCACACACAGGCTAAATGGAAATGCTAGGGAAAAAACCTCCCATTCTAAATGCAAGTGTGCTATGCCTTGGTGGGGAGGGAGAAGGTGGCTGGCTGTAAGGTCATCTCATTGCTCTCTCTGTTGCCAGGCAGGGCTCTGTTAGCACAGACGAATCAAAATCCCTCCTGGGCAGCTGGTGTCCTGAATCAGAGATTTCAAAGAGGAGAGAAGGGATATGAACTGCAGCATCGAAACCTAAAAATGTATTTTATTTTGAAGTTGTGCTTTGGATTTTCCCCAATCCAACATCTGTTGAGTGACAGTCTTAGGTTCACACAAAGCATCTCCAAGCATACATACAATATTCCAGTTATCAACACTATTTTAAAGAATATACCATTTTACACAAATGTGACATACAAGTCAGACGCCACCACATTGCAATTCCCTGGAAGATCTGACTTCTCTTCTGCACGGGAAGTAGATCTGCACCAGCCCTTCCAGTGCTCTGCGCATCCTGGTGCTGGCATCACTGCTCCTCATCTCCTTGGGGAGAAGCCAGGGCGCCCTGAGGAGGTTGGTTGAGACCAGTGTTTCCAGTTTACAGGCTTCTGGCTACAAACTCCTCTATTTTCTAAATTGGGATGCTAGTAGCCCCGCCCCACCTCTCTTCCCCAAAGACTGACCCTTCAGAGTCCACACCAGGAAAAGGATCCATGCCATGAGGGGCAGAGCAGGGCTCTTTGAAGCATCATGCTGGTTTCGGCAAGCATAGCTGAGGAAGGCTGGTCTCCCTAGGCCCTGGATGGCCAGCTCCTTTTGGCTTTTCGGTGTAAAAATCACAGTGTGCAACCTCAATTCCAGTTGTTTGCAGTGAGCTCTGCCGAGAAGGACTCTCCTCCTATCGGTTCCTAGTCCTCTCGACAGGACCATCTCACAGGTGTCAGGAGCACCAGAGATGGGGAAGACAGCTCTGCCCCCAGAGTTAGGTTTAGTAGGGGACCACTCACACACTGTTCAGTTCATGATGCAAATTAGCGCGGATGGACACTGATCAAGGGGATGGTGAACACGAGTTACATACAGGGTTGAAAGAGAAATAAGGCAGGAGCAACAGAACAGGCCCAAAGCATTGCCATTAAGAAAGCTTTGCTTTTACTTTCTTAGAGGGGAATGTGCTGGAGAGAGGGAGAAACGGCAAGTGTGGGCACCAGTTTTGATCAGTTGGACTGAAAGGAATGTAAAGTGAAAGATGGGGTTTCATTTTCAGCAAGGAAACAGATCCTTGGGTATGAAAGCCCCCTGTTGGCTCAGGACCTGTGTAGGCCCAGGTGACAGGCAAGAACAGGTCAGGAAACAGCAACAAACACCAAGACTGTGGGTTGCCTCTTCCAGGCTGACTCACTTCACTGCAGTTCTTTAGTTCTCCCTTCTAGCACCTGGAAAGGTTTCTCTGGTGCTGCAGGTTAGCCTTCTCATTAGTGATTTCCCATAAAGCACCTCTTTTCCTTTGCACAGGATTAAAAAAAAAAAATCCTACCACTTTCCATAGATGTAACCACCAATTTCACATGTTCGTCCAAAAATAATCTCTTCTAGGTCAAAGATAAGAAAACTCAGATTTTCCTACCTGAATGGCAACCCACCATCTCTCCTGAACTACAGAAAATAATAAGGCCAAAATGTAAGTGCAGCTTTTAAACCAGAAAACACAGAGAAGAAGGATGAGTTTCAGCTTTAACTCAAGTTGCTGTCTGAGAACTATGAGCCTGGCTGTGGATGTCTCCGGTCCTGGTACTCCTGGGATAGCATGATGCTAGGGGGCCAGGACCACGGACACCAGGTTTGGAGACTGGATTGGAGCAGACAAGGGTATATTTGTGCATTTTGGAAGGGAACCAGAAAAAAGGCCAGAGTAGAGCCAAAATATTCAGCATTCAAATTTTAACTTTCTTTAGATTCCGGCCTTGGGAAGACTTGAGAACCCGTGGGGTCAGAGTTCCCTTAATTGTCCTTGTTTGAATCAATGAAAACTGGTTTTAGGAGGCAGGGTCTCCCTTTAATCTAACTAAGGCTCTCTAAGCCCCTGTTGGTCCCTGAAGAGAGACCTTGTAAAATAACCAAACTAAGGGGTAGACTTAAAACAAGTTTTCATTTGGGAACAATTTCTGGATTAGCAAAGCTGAATTTAATTTTTTAATAGGATAATGAATTTTATGTTTTAAGTGCCAAAAACATTAGGAGGAAAAAGGACCCATTTCTTACCTTTTCCAAACCTGCCATAGACACAATAAAACTCTCTTAAGACTCTTTACCCTAAAACGAACCAGCTATAAAACTGTCTTATATAGGAAAATGTCTTAAATGGAAAATGGTCCATCAGAGACAAAGGTAGGAACCCGAGAAATGTCTATACATTCAGAAAAACTTTAAAAGCTCCTTAATAAGACTGGGGTGTACTTCTAGGGGATGGAGAAGAGCAAGAGCAAACACCAATGACCAATTCACATCAATGGAAAGAACAAAGAGAGAAAGCCCCCAACCCGAAACAGGTTACGGGATTGTCCCATCCCATGATATTTCATATGATGGAGAAATTTCAAAGGCTAGGTTCTCTGGCCCAGACAGAACGAAGTTTGTAACGGAAACAGAGACCCCTGGTGGCTACTGTGTGAACTGCCACAATAACTTACAAAGAGACTGGTCTATGACTAGGAGAGGCTACACATGCCAGAGACAAGAAAAACGTGTGTGTGTGTGTGTGTATGTATGTAAAATGTGTGTGTGTGTGTAAAATATGTGTGTGTGTGTAAAATGAAGACTAGACTACATATGATTCTCTATAATCAGTTCCCAAAACAAGATGCCACTGAAAGCTGGATGGCTGTAGCCAACCAACTGGTCAAGGCATCCCTGTGGTCTGAGGGGACTGAGACTTGAGCCCATGTCCTCGGGACTGCCTTACCAGATTTCACAGTGACCTGATAATGAAAACCTGTCTCTGGCTAACCTAAGAACGGTACAGACTGCAGCTGGCTGAATTACGACGACTGGGGGAAGCAGAGGGCAGTGGGAAGGGAGAGGCGATGCCAAGGGTTTCATTCTCAAGGTTTTGGGAGACGGGGAGGCTAATTCCTGCAAGAACAACTTAGAACCTAATTTTCAACTTAAGTCCCCAAGCTAGTTAAATAGGAAGATTTTAATAACAGTCAGTCCCTATAATCCCTTTGTCTAGAACAATTAAATTATATCTCTCAGACAGTACAAGACTTGTCAGTGGACTGTGGGGAAGTTGATGAGTTGACACCAGGGCTAGTGGCATTTGTTTTGGGGAAGACAGTGGGCTTGGGCCGTGTGGCTGGTGGTTTAACCGGGGCAGCCATCTTGACAGACTTGACAGGCCGGAAGGCGCAGGCGATGTCCCCAGCAGTACTGGCGCTGCGCTGGAAGGCGGGCTCGGGGTCCTTGAGGAGCTGGGTGTGCATGGGGCTGGAAGGTTCCGACGTGGGGGCCACCACTGGGGAGGTTTTGAGGGGCTCCAAGGTGTCCAGAACCACGTCGGGGGTGTGCTTGACGCTGCTCTGCCGTTCTAGCTCCCGTAGCTCATTCAGGGCTGAGTTCATTGTTGCCTCAATATCCTGCAAAACAGGAAAAAGGAGGAGGTGAGGCAAATAAGGGGAGAATTCCCTAAGGAGCCGGTTTCAACAACACAGGCCAAGGTATGAAGAAACCGACCATAAGATGTCCAGATTATTGTACTTGGCCCAAATCCTCCAACATATGAATGCTCAGAAAGTGGGGAAAGGGGGACAGAGGGATTTTCACTGTCATGAGTTTGTTTTTTTTTTCCTTTAGAAAAAGTAGTTGATTTTTTTTTAGAGACCCTGGATTTTAGAGACAGATATTGAAATACTTATTGATGAAGTGACATATAATCTAGCGGGGAGAAGAAACATGGACAAAGTAAGAAGGGCCAGGAATTTGGTGATGAGTACATGGGGATTTGTTATCCAGTTCTCTCTGCTTTTGGGTAGGTTTGAAATTGTACATAATAAACACTTTTTAAAAAAGTGGTAGAGATGATGTATGATCTTTATTCTCTTGGACTTCAAGGCCAAAGGTGAAGAGGGTTAGTCCTTCCTCCTCAGGGGCTGAGGAAAATTTCAGGAGCCCAAGACACCTCCCCCCGCCCCTCCTCTCCAGCTCAGGGCAGCGTCCAATTTGAAACCATTTCCTTCCAGCCATCACCACCGGGGGGACCAAAGAGTGACCAGGAGGGGGAGCCAAAGCCCACATAGGTGAATCAATTGCCTGCAAATCAATGGAACACTCTAGATCTTAGCCAACAGCAGTCCTAGCCCAGGGTCTCAAGGCAGAACCAAAGAACCTTTGTATGCAAGCCAGCTGCCTCCCAGCGAGACTTCCCAGCTACCCGCTCCCTCCCCATAAACCTGTGTCTGGCACCCCCAAACTACCACAGGATTTCTTCCTGGGATTAGGTTCACATGGAAAGATTTCACACATTCCAAGTGAAGGCCTCTAGTTAAGGTTTCTTTGTCCTACAGAGTGATGCATGCTTTGTGTTCACAGTGATTCAGTTTCACTCATCCCTGTGACATTCTCAAACCTTTAAAATGCTCAGGAAGAACTCCATCTCCCTCCTCAATCGTACTCTACAGCTAGTCTGTCCCAGCTGTCTACCTTTCCTGACATTCCTATTAACACCTGGCCAAGGAGGGAGCTGGGAGGATACCCACAGTGCAAGGCAGATTGCAGCCAAGAGCTTAAATAGAGGCACAGAATAGAAGGCTAGCAAAGCAAGACATCTCAGGCCCGTAGCTCAATACTGGGCTTGCCAGGTACATCTCTGTAAGCAGAGAACCACAATTAAGCCAAGAGAGACCATGCCCAGCCTCTATCACCCCCTGGAAGATGGCGTAAGGAGAATCTCAACTCAGGTGAGATAAGAAGGCAACAATGAGCCCTTAGTTCCTACCTGGTCTAATGAAAATTATATAGTTGGGAGAGACGTCTGAGTGAACTGCTTGGAGTGGCCCCGGTAGTCGGATTTTTAGAAGTGGGGTTGGATCTCTAATATTTCATGGAAAACAGAGAGTCATCAGTGTGGTGCTTACACAGAAGGAAGACCCTGCAACCAGGGAGCTCATCTCCACAGCCTCTGGAGGCTTGGGCTGCTGCAAATCCTTTTGGTTACCAGAGCTCTCTGCAGCCAGAGTATTTTTTAGGTCTTTAAGACCAGGTGCAGGTTGTTAATTGATCATACCCACTCGGTACCAGAGACTAGCCTTAGGAATCGTGATGATGGTGATGGGCACAGCAATATAAAAATGTGGCCAGGATTACACCTGAGCCTCAGGATTACACCTGAGCCTCAATAGTTGGGCAGTTTCACTAAAGTCTACCAAAGTCTTTAGACCCAAAACTTGGGCTATCAAAATACTCTTAATACTGGCTTTAAAAATTACAACAGCCTTCCTAATAGTCAGTGTATGAGCAAGAAGCTAGGCTTATTTTATTCTGTCTTTAGGTTCTTCCTGGGGAGAGAGGGACAGGCAGACTGCTTATTAAGCTGTCTTATCGGGTCCACAGGTCCAGAGTGGATATAGACTCAGTATATGACATACAAAATAATCGTTCTGTTTCAAGTTCTGTCATAATTAGGTGGGTGGCACTAAGTGGTAAATGAATGTAGACTCATGCTGTCTGTCCAGGAGCCCACAGTTACCTGAGCAATGACCTCAGGGTCCATGGGCCGATGGTTATTGAAGCTTTTTGACCTTCCTGCTGTGGCAGTCTTCCGGATCTGTGGACTGTCCAGCCGATTCTTGAGGGATGAGTGGCGGCTGATGGAGTTGAGGCTCCCGTGCCCACTGATGGAACACTTATCTGGCCCTTCCTTGGGGAGACTCTGGCTCATGATGGGCTGGGAGGATGGGCGGCAGCTAGCCCCCACCCCTGGGGAGGAGGAGTCAGTCAGGGAACTGCTCAGCCCATGGCTGTCACTCCGAAAAGTTTTCCGGATGCTCCCAGATTCTGGACGCTTCCTTTGCCTTCAATCACAAACAGAAAGGGCAGTGTGATCAGGGAGCCCTGGTTCCAAGGAAGCTAGGACAAGTAGGAGGGGGCAGATGTTGGCCCCCAGGGACTTCGGAAGGAGAGGGACACGAACACATTCTGTCCTCGGCTTCGTCTTCTCTTGCATTCTCCATGTCTTCATTCCCTTGCCACCCCCAAGCTGGGCAAAGGAGAAATGGATACTTACTTGGTGGTCACGGGCTTTGTGTTGTCAAGATGTAAGTTGCTGTCAGAAAAAATGTCTGATTAAGCGAAAGTTTCTAATGGGAAAGAGATTCATGGAAAGGCCCCTTCTGTGACCTGCCATGAACAGAAAAGGCCCCAGGTAGGAGAAGAAGTCTCACCATCACCAAAGAGGTCGGGAATTGCTGGTAAGAGGATAGTTAACTTTTCTAAATTTTAGCATGTCTCTTTTTCCAAAAAGTCTGTAACTGTTTTGGGCTCTGGCCAGAGGCTGTTGTTGCTTATTCTGTAGGCATGGAACAGAATAGTTTTCAAGAGGCAGCAATACTGCAGAGTTAGGGCCCAGTTTGTGCATTTTCTTAGTGTGGAAATACATGACTCTCAAGTCACCGAGCACTGGGCTGAACCCTGGATCTGGGCGAATTTGTTTCAGACCACTTAGGGCTCTCAAACAAAATGGCTTGGCAGAATCCTAGTGTTGCCTGCGGCTGGATTTCATTTTGTCTTGGAATCAGATCTGAAAAGGTCTAATCTAAGAGGCAATGAAACTTCTGATTTGGATGGCCGCTGAACAGCTCTGATCTTGAATCTAAGAGAAATGGGGGCCGAGGCAGGAGTTGAGGTGGAAGGAGGGAAGGGGTCAGACTCTGAAGATAAGGAACTGGTCTGTGAGGTGGGGACAGTGCTCTAAGTCAGTCCTAGTCCTGTTCACTGCTGAGGTCTTCCTCATCTTTCTGCCTGTAGCACCTGGCCCAGGACCTGGCATGTATCAGCCACTCCGTGAATCTGTCCACTTGGCAGTTTTAGGCTTGTGAGTCAGCCATTCTCGAGTAGAAAAAGGATGTTCTCCGAGTCTTCTAAAGCCCTGCTGAAATGACCCCCCTTTCTGCAAGGATTTCCCTGGCACCACTAACTCCAGCTGCACTGGCACCACTGCACCACTAACTCCAGTTGCAGGAAGAATGGACCCCTCCCTCCTCTGTACCTTCAGAGCACCTGATGCTACCTTTCAGTTACCTGTCCAAAGGGTCTTTACCTTGCCAGACTGTGAGCTCTGAGATCAGGGACCTTGTCTTTTTTTATCTCTGAATAACCACCAGCAGTGCTTGGCACAACAGTAGCTACTTAATAAATGTGTAGAATTAAATGGAAGTGCCACACCCTAATAGCTCTTTGCTGTTTTCCTTTTTCCGCTTGAGGATGGCTGACTCACAGGCTGAAACTGCTGAGAAGGCAGATTTATGGGGTGGCTGTGGTGTGCCATGTCCCGGGCCAGGCCCTGGGGATGTAAAGAAAAGGAAGATACAGTTCCTGGGTTCAAGGAGCTCAATCTGTTGGGGGATCTGAGTGCAGCGTGAGTGCCAAAAGGTACTCAAAATGCCTTTGGAATACAGCATAAGGGCACCTCACTCAGCCTGGGGAACTCAGGGATGTCAAAAGGGCTTCCCCAAAGAGCTAAGTCTTTGGGCTGAGTCTTGAAGGGAGAGGAGGAGGTGACCAGGGGAGGAGACATCAGGTGTGAGGGCCCAGGGGTGAGAGAGAACCTGGGCACTCAGGAAACTGAAGGAACTTCGGAGGAGGAGTGGTGTGGGGGACAGGAGGTAAGACTGAAAGGCCGGCCGGGCTCGGTGGCTCAAGCCTGTAATCCCAGCACTTTGGGAGGCCGAGACGGGCGGATCACGAGGTCAAGAGATCGAGACCATCCTGGATAATACGGTGAAACCCCGTCTCTACTAAAAAATACAAAAAAAGACTGAAAGGCCAACTCACTTCTAAGGGCCAGACATGCCCGGGGGCCGCCGCTCACCCACCCACCAGGTGATGAGGCTTGTCCTCCAAGAACCCCATCCCAAGACTCCTGACGCCAGCAAGCAAGGAGTTCAAGGGAACCACCTTAACTTTCCACCAGATATTCTTTTTTTTTTCTTTTTTTGTTTACCATTTCAGTTATTACTCTCTACAATTTCTATGCACAAATGGTATCAAATATATGATGGCTTAAAAATACGTACTTAACTAATTCTCTAACTCTTCCTCCACCAACCCCGCCTTGGTTTCTGGGTTAAGTATAGGATTACGGCCTTTTGATTGTAGGGTTATAATTAACATAGAATTGTAAATAAGAAAAAAAATGTGATTAGCCCACAGTTCCTTGATATTGGCTTGCCCTCCCAGCAGGGCAGTGTGCTGAAGGGAAACAGAAACTCCTCAATTTTTTTTTAACTGGTCTGAATTAAATTATAACTACACTCAGTAAGTGATCTGAATAAATGACTTTACTAACTTGAGGGTGAAAGAGATGGAAAAGAGCCACGTGCCCCAACCACTCCCCCTGCTACCGTCTGGGTGGAAAAAAGCCAAGAGATCTGGGAAACCTGGTATAGTTTAAAAACAACAAGCATCCTTTATTCTCCTTCCAGTCTCAGTGTCCAGAGGCTATGGTTAACAGGTTTTCAAAGTGCAAATCATTTCATTCCTCAAAAGCCAGAGGGGAATAAAAACTGTACATCATCTCCAATCCATATTCATCAGGAGCGCCCTGGGGCTTGTCATCCTGCTGGCACGGGGCCAGGTTTCAGGGTCTGGCAGAAAGAGGTCTGTAGGCTCTGGGACTTGGTGTCTGGCCCCTTGAGATGAGATTAGTTCTCCAATAACCCGAATGCCTCTTGGGGAGGCGGCAGCACGCAGGCGTAGAATCCCTCTAGACAGCCAGATTGGGCGTGGGTGGAGTTAAAACCCCAGGATGTTGCTAACAGCCACAATGAAAGCTGGGGGTCAGAGGTAAGAGCCTGCTGAGCAGGAGTGGGGATCTGCAAAGGGACTAAGGGGGTAGAATAGTACACAGGGCCAAAGCAATAGGAACAAAATGGAAAATTATTTCTCCCGGTGTGAAAGGGCAGAAGAAAAGGGAGCTAGGTAGGGGTTAGCCAATGAATGAAGAGCTCAGGACAAAGCTTTCTTTAGGGATATTGTGGCCTCCTTTCCTCCACAGGAGTGAATGCAGGACAGGGGGAGGAACAGACACATGATATCTCAATAAACCCACCTGGTGTAACATCAGTCTAGTAGAAGCCACACACAGACTTTGAATCTTTGCACGAACACGGGTCAAGGAAGACAGACATCAAAGACTATTATTTGAGTATGGATTGGAAAAAAGAAGGCACCTCTGAGAAACAGTACAAAACCAGGTTGCATAAAGTGACCAAAGCTTTGGTCAAAGTTTTAGCTGTAAGACTGCCACAAAGGTCTGGGTGGACAGACACTGCGGGAACGCACAGTAAAGCACCCTTCCACAGCACGAGGGCAGCTAGCTGGAGATCTGGGCCTGCCCCGAGGCTTGTAGCAGCATCCTCAGCCCTGTCCGCCTTGCAGCAGCAGTGACCACATGCAAACTGTTAGGCTGGGGGAGCTGGGAGCCCTACGTGCAGCACAGGAATGGAGATGGGGGGTTAGGCCAGAGGGTGAGGCTGGGTGTTGCAAGTCATTCAGGGGAGCAGAAAATGAAAAGCAGAGCTTACTTGTTGATGTTTGCAAGATAAATATCGGCTACATGACCCCCACTGGGACAGCTGGCCCCCGCTCTGGCTGTCACCTTTTCTTCAGGTGGCTCAGAAATGACCTCAATCTCAGACTTGGGGCTGGACCTCTCCACGACACCGTCCTCGCTGGGGGAGAAGGGGCAGGCAGGCAGGGAGGAGGGAAAACAACAACAACACAAAAAGCAGTGTTAAATCGGCAAGATGGCCCCCCGACACACACGCGACCCCACACAGCTCTGAGGCAGCAGCGACACCTGGCTGGGCTAGTTCTGTGAGCAGAGGCAAGGAAACCTAAGGGCCTTTGAAGGGTTGTTTAAATAAAAATAAATAATCCGCTGAGTTCTGCGGGCTCCTCAGCTCCTCAGGAAAGCGTGGCTAGGGGACACCTGGATTCGAGGCATCTGCCTTCTACCCCATGCTGCTTCCTGGGGAGGCCGTGCTGGGGCGGCCTCCTGGAGAAGGAGGCGGCAAGTCCAGGTTGTGGTTTATCGGTTGAGGTCCTGAGCACTGCCGGGTAAGGACAGTCAACTGTGTGGTGGCTCTGGAGATGGCGGCGTCGTGGCAGGACACCGCCACACACTGTCGTAGCGCCTCTAGCCCCGCTCAGAGCATCCAAGCTGGTCCCAGGTCTCTCCACTGCTCTCCTGGCCCCTCTGGCTACTGATGACAAAGAAAGCCCCTTCTCCCCCACAATTCATCTTCTCTTGATCCTGTAGTGAAGTCATAATGCTAAATTTGGGAGGGTCCTGTCCACGCACAGATTGCCACCAGGTTTGCGATGCTATCAACAGAGGGAGGATTTCCCTGCAGAACGAGCCGGGAAGAGGCTGGGAGGGTGCAGACTCACTCAGGATATCAACCTTTAAAAAATAATATTAAGGGAAGGACTAAAAACACTGACAGCATCGTATCCAAGGGAGGGGAGCTGGGGACAGAGGCAGGGCAAAGGGACAGGGGGCAGGCTTGGGTGGGCCCACGGGACAACTGCTTCAAAGTGTGAGAATCAACTAACAGCCTATCAGATGAGATCTCTCTGGGACCAGTTCAGGTTTCCTTTGTTCCTTGACATCCTTTTCCCTCCTTCCCCCATCTTACCCCAAATCAACCTCATCTTGGTTAAATGAACTAGGTCACTTCCATAAGACTGCTTAAGCCGAATTTCTCCCAAAAAACTAGTCATTTTAGTTTGCAAGTGGAAGAGTGGCTCAACAGGTTGGGGTGAGCATAGTTGTTAAAAAAAAAAAAAAAGGGGGGGAGGCAAAAATGTTTTCCCAGCCTGATCTTTCGAGAAAAGAAATATAGGTGGTCAAATAAAAACCCCTTGTTATCACTCATCAGGTATAAATATGGATGAGTGCTGGCTGGCTGGCAGGTTTCTAAAATGACTGGATTAGGGGGTGATTTGCAGGGGGCACAGATAGTGGAGAGATTTAAAAAAACTCTCCACTGAGTGCAGGGAGTGGGGTGGGGGGGCTCTTCAAGGAACTGTGTGAGCCTGAGGACTGCACCGGACCCCCCAGGGGTTGGCCTCCCTCATAGTCCTATGGCTCCAGAAATGAAGTCTCACTCTCATAGAGCAGCTGGGGACTACCCGCAAAGATGCCATGGGCCCAACGTACGTGTCTTGGACCACGATGTACTGATGGGGGATGAGTCCGTCGATGCCATTGTGCCGGCCTTCCCACCAGTCGTCGGAAGCCCGCTGGTAAAGCAGCAGGGATGCTCCCTTCTTAAAGGACAGCTCTCGGGCTGTCCGGCCCACGTAGTCAAACTTGGCAATGGCCTCGATGGGCTCACATTCTGAGAAGGGTGGAAAAGAAGTAAACACACGTTCTTGGGACCTGCAGACTCAGGAAACTGGGTGGAAAAGCTGAATTAGCTGAACTTACAGTGGTGGGAAGATAACTTAGAAAACGAACCCATGGAAGATAACTTAGAAAACGAACCCATGGATGATCTATAAAGCAAGTAATTCCCACACAGATTGTACCATTATCCTGAAAGCACTGGTATCATCTTTTACCTGCCTTTGCTCACACTGTTCCCTCTACCAGGAATCTTCTTCTCTCTTACCTGCCTGATGAAACATATCAAAACACAACTCAACATCCCCTGCTTTTTCTTTTTTTTTGAGACAGAGTCTTACTCTGTTGCTCAGGCTGGAGTGCAGTGGCTCGATCTTGGCTCACCGCAACCTCTGCCTCCCGGGTTTAAGTGATTCTCCTGCCTCAGCCTCCCGAGTAGCTGGGACTACAGACGTGTGCCACCACGCCCAGCTAATTTTTTGTATTATTAATAGAGATGGGTTTCACCATGTTAGCCAGGATGGTCTCAATCTCCTGACCTCGTGATCTGCCCGCCTCGGCCTCCCAAAGTGCTGGGATTACAGGCGTGAGCCACCCTGCCCGGCCGCATCCCCTGCTTTCCACAGTAACTTCTTTTAAAGCTCTTCATGCTTTTGACGTCTATCATCAAACTTGCCATACTATATTTTTAAGCTTTATTTCTTTTCTGATTATATAATAATTCCAATAATTGTAAAAAATGTATCATACTGTATTCTAAATATTTTATGTTATCCATTCCCCCTAGTAAGTAGAATGTGAACTTTTTGTCTCTATAAAGAGAAAATAACTTGCTCAATCAACTTTCCAAGGAGCAAAATATGGAAATATATTTTGTGACCAATCTATGAAAAAAATGCACATGAAAGTAACCTGAAAAAGAAAAAGGGGTTTACAAATGCAATGTATCTTCATTTTTGTATGGGCTTCTGTCTCCTCATCTGTAACATGGAGATAATGATAGTGTCTTTTTCATGAAGTTGTTATGAAGGTCAATGAATTACAATTTGTAAAAGTGCTTAGAACAGTGTCCGGCCCACAGTAAGTGGTATGTGTGCATGACTTATTGTTATCATTATCTTCATCTGTGTTAGGCTGCGGTAGAGATCAAAGAGCAAAGAGAAGGCTCCCAGAAAGCTGGAACCTGAGATGAAAGTCAGCTATTCTGGGAAGCAGAGAGAAAGGCTGCTTAAAAATAAGACCATGCCTAGACGGCCCTAGCTGGTAGGTCTGCTCCTGAACAGGAGGGGTTGGAGATTTTACTATAGGAGGCTGGTCAGAGAAGGCCTGTCTAAATATACCCATCTCAGTTCTCTATAGCCTCGGGAACGTTACTCGACCTCCCTGACCTGCATTTTCTCAACTGTAAAATAGCGGCCATATCAATTTCACTAGGGATTAAGGGATAACATACAGAAAGCCTCTAGCAGAGCTGGCCACAAGGTAGGCTCTAACCCACTACTCATTTTCCTAGTTCACCTACTCCCCTCCTCGAATGTAGCAAATGATCATATGGATCCTTATGACATCAGGATCTAAATAACCAGCCCTATTTTTTTTTCTCCTTTAAAAGCTGGCCAAGAATTGCAGAATTCCCAGCAAGGCAGGAACAGGGAAAGCTCCACAGACTGTGCCATTTCATTCTTGTGCCCAGAAAATTCTGAGGCCCCTTGTCAGCTGCTGAGACTTCCAGAGCCCATGTGATCCAGAAATGGAGGTGTGGAGCTGTGGGAAGCAGGGGAAATGTGCTGGCTGGACAGACCCTCACAAAGCATGGGCACTGCTGAGGGGCCTGAGGATGACAGCTGAGCATTCCTCCCCTTGATGCACGCCCACCAGGCTGCTCGGCACTCGCATGTCTGTACTTTGGAAAGGGTCAGTTTTTCCAGTCGGTAGGCGTGAAAGCATGTGGTTTCTACATCCTCATTCCCACTCTCTCTGGCTTGCTTCTATTGGGTTCAGGGCACTCAGCTCTGCTATTTCGCACCCCAGGCTTACTGTTTCTTTTTTTTTTTTTTTTTTGAGACAGGGTCTCACTGTCTCACCCAGGCTGGAATACTGTAGCACAATCATAGCCTGTTGCAGCCTTGAACTCCTGGGCTTAAGGGATCTTCCTACATCAGCCTCCCAAGTAGCTGGCACTACAGGGATGCTGCACACCACCATGCCAGACTATTTTTTTTTTATTTAAGAGACAGGGTCTGGCTATGTTGCCCAGGCTGGTCTTGAATTCTTGAACTCAAGTGATCCTCCCTCCTGGGCCTTCCAGTGCTGGGATTACAGGCGTGAGCCACCACACCCAATTGCTTACTGTTTTTCAAATGAACTTTCCTTCACTTTGTTCTCCTGCTGTCTGGCAGGAGTCTAGGCTATAAGGGACCAACATCATGCTGCACTCAGGCCAGACAAGGAGCTGGGAGGTGGGGCAAGAAGGCTGAAGGGCTATGGAAGGCCTGGTTCTTCACCTCTGGTTTAATACAGAGCAATTCTATTTGAGAAGGTGGGCTATCTCTCCAAGGAAGGAAGAGAATGAAATTGAGACATGGAGCTCACTGCCTGTCCTCAGGGGACCACTGGGCATACAGGTTCATTAGATGCACAGGATATATAATCACTTCCTTCTGCTTCACCCCTGGCATCCCCACTGACCAGGAAGCAGGGCCTCGTACCGTCATCACTTGTGTGGTGCTCTGCAGTAACATCCTGGGTTGAGTCTTCAACCGAGGTAGTCTCTCCATGAGGGCTATCACTGCAACAGAAGCAAGAGGGACCGGGACATTAACATTTGCTTATAAAATTCTCGTCTTCCCCTTCATACAGCCTCCCTGGCGCAAGGGCACTGAATCCATCTTACTCTCTCCATATCCTAACTACACACAATAGACAAATGCTTATAATGAAATACAAAGCTCTGGAGTTTTTCCAGTCTAGCTCCTGCTACAAAAACCACTTGAGACTACTTGGAACTTAGAATATCTCAAGACAAAGGGAAGCCCTTTCGAAGGTACAAGCTAAATTCTTTAGAAAATAGAGAACAACTCAACTCCTCAAGGGCTGATTCTCTACGTGAATTCATTCCTGGTTTTCAAGGGGGAAGCAGGGTGGAAGGGAAACACTGGGCTTTGGCATCAGATAAAACTGGATCCGAAAACCAGCTCTGATACTTGGTAGCTGTGTGATCCTGGGCAAGTTACTTAATCCCCTTAAGCCTCAGCTGCTTCATCTATAAACTGAAGATAATGATCTATATCCTCAGCTGTGTGAGGACTTAATAAAGTAATTTAGTAACAAGTTTGGCACAGAGCGGGTGCTTAATAAATAGTACTTGCTTCCCTTCTTTCTCATTTTGGCTGGTGCCTCTAGGTTGCTTTGTAGTTTAGACTGTGAACTGGTGAAAAAGTGGAAGGCGAGTCATAAGAGTGGCTGGGAAACAAAAGTAGGGGAGGAAGAATCTGCTATGGGCTAGAGGGCAGGAGTTTGCTTTGGACTAGAGGGCAGGGGATAGAAGCTGGGTCAAGTTCTTGAAATAATTCATGAAATTTAAAATCATTCAGGGTAGGTCAGGCACAGTGGCTCACGCTTGTAATCCCACCACTTTGGGAGGATCATTTGAGTCTAGGAGTTTGGGACCAGTCTGGGCAACTTAGTGAGATCCTGTCTCTACAAAAAAAGAAAAAAAAGAAAAAAAAAAAAAGTCAGTGTGCATGCTGTGGTTCTAGCTACTCTGGAGGCTGAGGTGGGAGGATTGCTTGAGTCTGGGAGGTCGAGGCTGCAGTGAGCCATGATCGTGCCACTGCACTCTGGCCTGGGTGACAGAGCAAGATCTTGTCTTTAAAAAAAAAAAAAAAAAAAAAATCATCCAGTGTAAGGAATCGAGAAAGGATAGGCAGGTTACTAGGAAAGTCATTTCTATTCCTGATCTCCTGGCTTGTGGACTTCAGAATTCATGAGGATGGGCACCAGGAAGTTCTTACTTCCTGAAAAGTACAGAAACTGTTCATTTCTAAAGTTCTTCCTCTGGTAGTAGGCAGTAACAGGTGAGGCTTTCCAGGCAGTTGTGTGAAAGCACCATCACCCATTCAGCCCCATAGCCTGGCCGCACAGTTTCCACCTTGGAACCCTCCAGCCTCTTTCCCCATGAGATGGATCCTACACTCCTGGGAAGTTCCTCAAAGACTGGGTGACCAGTTCAGAACTTGTCCTGTATAGAGCAACTCACTTCTAAGGAGGTTTCCCAGGCTCCAGAGAACATTCTAGAAGAATATAAATGGAGATTCCTCTTTGTCAAAAAATGCAGGCACAATTTCTCACTGGTTTCTAGGGCTAAAAACCATCTGATGAATCTGATGAATTTTGTGATGTTCTGGAAACCCTTGAGGTGCTAGGGGTGGCGGGGGAGAGGTTCAAAGGCAAACATTCCCTCAGGGCTTCAAGTTTATTTACATGGCCAGCCAGTAAGGCAATAGTTCTAAACTTCAGGGAGCCATGGAAGGCTTATTAAAAAACACTGCCCCATCCTCAGAGTTTCTGTGTCCCTGGGTCTTCGTGGAGCCAAATAATGTGCATTTCTAACCAGTCCTTTGTGACACAGACGCTGTTGGTCCAGGGACCTCACTTGGAAAACCACTGCTTTATGAGAAAGGCAAGAGGATGCTTTCTGAGGTCTCTTTTAGCCCTAAAATCCTATGCTTCTCTCGAAACACACCCCATCCCCAGCCTTTGCCCTTGTGCACCCACCCAGGCCCAAAAATACCTGAGGTCTCAGAAGCAGCCCACCATGCCACCCAACAGGTAGTCCTAGAAAACCGGGTTCGTTTCAGGACCGGAAAGCGTGGTGAAATGGATTTGTCTCTCCTCTCCACAGCTGTGGGGAGGCCATGTGGTCTGGTGCTCTCCTTTCCGTGGCTGTTTGGGTCTCCTGACCATTCCCCATTCTCTTCTCAGTGCTCTATCTCCCCTTCTACCACCCTCACTCACCTCCTTCACCGCCTTAGCTCCCAGGGCTGGCACTTCTCTCACTTCCCAAAGAAGGGAGAGGAGAGGCCATGAGCCTTCCAGGTGGGTGTGAATCCAGTGGTTGAAAGGTCCCTCTCAACCCAAGGTCGCCGACTCTTGTTCCTCAGGTGCTTCTGGCCTCCCACCCAGTCTGTGGTAGTAATGTTCCCTGACTAATCTTGTGGTTTTTCCAGAGGCTGCTAATAAATGTTGAGTGCACAAGAAACAGGTGGGTAGGATGGGAGACTAACTTGGAGGAAACTAGAGGAAGGCACCCGCCTGTCTGTGCCCGTGAGCCACACCCCTCCAGGACTCTGTCCCACTGGGCTGGGACTCAGGGGCCAGGGCTGTAGGGGTCTCTGTGCCCTGGGCACTGGAACACAGCCTGCAGTGGTTTGATGTTTGAGAAGTGAGGGCGGAGGTTCTGCCTGATTTTAGAAGGAAGGAAATGCTATTCTACAGCTTTCCACCACTCATGCAAGGGGAAAAACCAAAGCTCTAAGTCACATGCACAAGGACAGCTCCCTGGAGCTCATCATCCAGTAGGCTGAGACCTAAAGTGACCAACAACCTCCCCAGTCACCACCAACCATCTGTCGGTGACAAAAAGCTTTCTCTCCCAGCTGGCCAGCATAGGTTCCTCCAGCTCGGACCCAGACACTGAAATCTGCAGTACAGCAGAGAGGGATGAACCCAGGGATGTCACTGATATTACTATGTTCACAGAACACAAATGCCACGTTCTTCACTCTTTGGGCAAGAGGATGTTCTGTGGGGGTCAGGGAGAAGTGTGGCCCAATTGGCCTCTCATTAAGTAAACAACCTCCCCTGTCCTCCCCTACCTCAGTCGATAGCAATGGGGCTGGCCGAATTGGTTCCAGATGTTGAATTCAGACGGAATCCGATTTGGGCTGGCTTGTGCTTTCAGCTCAGGCTGAAACACTATTTAGGGGAAGAAAGGAGGGGGAGGAGGAGGGGGGAGGTAGGGACGTTAGGGATTAAAAGAGAGAGGCAGTTGTCTTTGTGTTTAGTAAAAAAATGACACTGTAAATGGTACCATGGCAGGTGGCATGGGGTAACGGACTGTATCCTGTACTAAGAGATGAGATTGGGATTAAATTCCCATCACTAGAGTGGCCTAAAATACTGTCACTGGGCTTTCTGGGTTGCAGCGACTTCATCCATAAAATGGAAATAGTGATTTGTTCTTTGTCTAACAGAGGGGTCTAACAAAGATATATCCCAGGGATTCCTTTTAGATCTCTGTTCCGAAGCTAGGTCATGGAAAACCTGGCCCCACAGAATCGAATGCTGCTTCAGGGGAGGACCATCCCTAACCTGCCAAAAACAAGGCTGACCCTTCTTTCTCTTCACAAATTTCTAAAATCATTCTGAAGTGCCAGCTTACAAAACTCAGTCAGGAATATATGCCTTTTATCTAAACTCTTCCCAATAAGAAGGCAATTCCCTGGGACCCAGAATGGTTTTTCTCACAATACAGAGCAGAGTAGAAGCCCGAGAGACACTGTTGATTAATAAAGATGCAACTTTATAAAAAGTCCTTTCTTAGAGATTAGTATCACAATTAATGTTGTCAGTATCTTTCAAAATAGTCCCTTGCCACTCAGAACTCATCAAAAAGGGAGGTGGCAAGAAGTGGGATTTAGTCTGTGGGTGGGGCCGAGGTGGGGGCTGCCTATACCATCCCCAGACCCTGGCAGCCTGGGAGTGAGGAGTTGGGAGGATCTGGGTGTTTCCCTTTGGTTTTCGTGTGGCCATCTGGCTCCCATGCCAGTGTGTGCTAGTGAATCCCTCCCCTCCTCCTGTCCTAAGCCCCCTACCAGTAATCCTCCATGCTTCCTCCTCTGCTGTAGACAGGGCCCTCCAGCTCCCTGGGGCTTGGGAAGATGTTCTCATGCTGGATGATGATGGTTTTGATCAGCTCATTCACGTGGGCTTGGCAGGACACCTGGTCGTGGCCCTCCGGCACTGACATCAGCGAGGGCCCGAAGCAGATGGCGAGGTTGTAGGGGTCCATCATGTTCTCTTCACTGAACTGTGATAAACTGGAGGAGAAGGGAAAGGGGGTAAGCTGGAAAGCTCTCGCATGAATGCCCAGAAAACACAATCACAGGAGGCGCTGCCAAGAGCAAAAGCAGAAGGTCCACAAATTGCCACCTGCCTTTCTGGGGTCAGAGCTTTCCAGAAAGTAAGCTGGGGAGAAGAGTAACCACCAGAATGGTCATTCAGGAGTTCAGGAAAAGCAAACTAGAGGTAGCTAGTTTGCAGCTCTGACCCATTCTCTCTTTCCAGCTCCCATTTCAAATTCTACTTACCACCCCATCCTCATCCCTATCTTCAGATCTTATCTACCAAAAGCCACATGACCTTGAGAACATGTCACTCTGCAGAGCTGAATATGGCTCCTACACACCAACGCACTAAGCTGCCAGGGCAGATAGGGACCCTCAGGCTGACCTGCTAAAGTTATGGTCAGAGGCACAGGCACTGTGCATTGTGTACCTTCTTGCATAACAAAATAATCAAATTATTAGGGATATTCCCTTCTAGCCTCTAGACTTACTAAAAAATAGCCAACTGATTAGCTGTTGTATTCCACCAAGCCAGTGAATTTCTTCCTAGAACAGCGAATGCAACTGTTTTTCATGTTCATAATCTCCTTCTATATTATTATATTCAGGATTTATTCAGGAAAAGGTCAGCGTGCCATTTGGCTTCTGCTTGGGCTTCCTCTGGATGCAGGCTGACTTCATTCTCGGGTATTTATTTATTCTGGGAACTCTCCCCTTCTCAGCCAGCAGCTGTTCCAGCCACACCTCCAACCTTGGCCAAGGACCCAAGGTCTTCAATGAGCCATTGCACCTGATGAGTCCCATTGGGTCTTGCCCATCCAGGCATTGAGGGCTGGGCCAGCTCTGGATACCTCCCCAACACAGTCTGCAGAGTTGTGAGCTCTGCTGAGGAGTCTCCCGTATGGGCATCGGCAGGATTTGATTCTGAGAAGGAATCAAAGGTCCTCTATTGGGAAACTAGAGGCCTGAGACTCAGCTGTCTCCATCTGGGTAGCTGTTCTTCAGAACTGATTGCAGAGTTTGTTTCTGTAGTGTACCCCTCATCCAGTCTCACATTACAAAGTCCATTTCCTCTGACTCAATGGTTCTCTCCCCTCCTGGAGATGTAGCCCCTGTCCATTTGTGAATCACTGAAGGACTTGAAGAGTGGTATTATGGATGTGATGGGAAGAAAGAGTTGGGAATCACTGTTTCTAGGGCCTAGAATCAAATGCAGGAGAGGCCAGCAATGGGGGAGGTTACAAATTTCATTGGACTGCTTCACAGGAGTTCTTAAAAGTGTATAATCCTTCCCTGGATCCTGAGTTCAAAGAGAGCAGAGATTTAGAAAAGACTGGGGGAAGTTCCTAAGTCTATTTCCTAGTCAAATTAAAACTGGGGAGAGACAGGAGCAATAATTACCTTGGTAACCTCAGCGCGCACAACTGAGGCGTGAGGTGCCACAGTCTTAAGCAGTAGCTAATCCAAGCCTGGCCAGTTCCTGGTGTCATGGAGGGACAAAGAGGAGGAAGGCCTTGATCCTTTAGAGTGATCTGATAATGTTTTGGTAACATAAAAGAAAACCAGTAGTGTCTGGGAAGCCTGATGGTCAAAGGGAAACAAACTCTAGTCCTGAGAGTCCTGAGTCAAAGCTCTGTGAAAGATCAAAAATGTTGGGAAGCCTGCTAAGGTAAGGACTGTTCAATTCATAGGTGGCTACAATGACCGGAAGCTTGAAGAGGAGACATATCTTCGTGGACTGTGATCTCATGAATCTAGGTCTATTTTCTTACTCCCATCAAAATATAGACTAAAATCCATTTTTCTTTTCCAATATACAGTGGTTCTAAGTTTAGGGGCTGAAGCAGTGGGTTTTTTTTTTTTTTTTTTTTTTTTGAGACAGAGTCTCACTCTGTCGCCAGGCTGGAGTGCAGTGGCACGATCTTGGCTCACTGCAGCCTCCGACTCCCGGGTTCAAGTGATTCTCCTGCCTCAGCGTGTGCCACTGCGCCTGGCTAATTTTTGTATTTTTAGTAGAGAGAGGGTTTCGCCATGTTGGCCAGGCTGGTCTAAACTCCTGACCTCAGGTGATCCCCCCACCTTGAACTCCCAATGTGCTGGGATTACAGGTGTGAGCTACTGCGCCCGGCCTAAAGCAGTGGTTCTTAACTATTTAGGGGACACAAGTTCCTTCAATAACTTGACAAAAACTAGGGATTCTCTCCCCAGAAAAATTCATATATGTGCACATATAAATCCACACAGTTTTGTGTAAAATGTCATGGTGTTAATAATCTTTGAAGTCCCTGAAGGCTGTGTCTAGTGTAAGAGTATAAAAAACTGGATTTTTATTTTTAAAGAAATATCTAGGCCAGGCATGGTGTAATTACAGGCTCACGCCTGTAATCCCAGCACTTTGGGAGGCCGAGGCAGGTGGATCATCTGAGGTCAGGAGTTTGAGACCACCTTGGCCAACATGGAGAAACCCTGTCTCTACTAAAAATACAAAAAAATTAGTCGGGCTTGGTGGTATGTGCCTGTAATCCCAGCTACTCAGGAGACTGAGGCAGGAGAATTGCTTGAACCCGGGAGGCAGAGGTTGCCACGAGCAGAGATTGCGCCATTGCACTCCAGCTTGGGGGACAAGAGCAAAACTCCATCTCAAAAACAAACAAACAAACAACAACAACAACAACAAAAATAAATATCTAAAATGGATAACATTAGTAACAACTCCCTGCTTTAAAATTTTTGGTGTCGACTTATATCTACTCATGTTATGTCCTCAAAGAGTTCTACTGTATTTCTACAGTTTCAGTTCATATTATTAGTGAATTCTCCTATTTGATTTGAAGTCATCTTTTATGCTTCATAAAAAGGTTCAGCATTGTGGTTAGGAACAGAGGCTTTTTGGGGGCGCCAGGATTAGTGTGGGAAACTTACTTTTTAGCATGTACTGTTCTGGATTTTTAACTCTTTTATGATATGCAATTACCTCTCCAGAGGGCCCCTGCCAAGCTATACTTGGATTCCAGACCCACAGAAACTGAGATATTAGTTTTTTTGGTTCCTTGAGATTGACAGTGTGTCCAATCCAAGAACAAACCATAGCCAGAAATAAAGTACACATACATCCAGGACTCACAGCAATGAAGAAAAAGGGTCCTGATGGTCTGGGCCATCAGGCAGAGTCTGCATCGGGAGCTACCTGCCAACTATTGCTATTCCTGTCCGGAAGTGCACACCTGTCGGCTGTTGTCTTCCTGTGGAGGTGGTCTGCTTTATCATTTATGTCCTGCATTCTATTTATTATTTTAGAAAACACTTTCATTATTAATGCTGCATTTTTAAAATGTTAACACTTTGATGAGCAAATCGATCTCGTTTCAATCAGGAAAAAACCCCAATAAAAGCAAAACAAAATGAATAATTTGAATTGGTGCAATTCCTATGCTGTCTTCAATAGTGACTGCCATCTCTGAAAGCAGCAACTCTGCATGGATGCTTATTCTATTGTTTCTCCCCCTTGTACTTTCACACACAGTCCCCCAGCCCTCCCTGTTTTCCCCTCATCACCATTTGCTCACCTAGCTCACGCTCCTCGCTCTGGGGGCATAGACTAGGCTCATGTTGAGGGCAGGTATTGGTCTCCGAGGGGAGACAATGACTGGTAGCCTTGAAGGGACTAACTCGAAAGTAATTAGCAGAGTTTCCAGGCTGCACATGAACACGCTGTGTGACTCTCATTGGGGTGTTCAACCCAAAGGCAGTGGTGGTGCTGAGTCAGGGCCTGGCCGATGAATGGAGCAGACACAACCACGTCGAAGAGATGCTGGGGAACAAAGACCCTCTGCAGCTCTGCAGGGCCAGCAAGGGGGCTACATGATAGTGTGGGTGCCCCAGAAAAGGTCTCAAGCTGGGGCCACTAACCCAGATACCTAGAAGGCCAGGTTGACCACGAACTTGGAAGCAAGCTGACACTTATGAAATGGTCTCTAAAGTTGTACTCCTTTTAAGCAGAGGCTAACTTTGTAGGAAGGCTCTTCATTAAAGAAATATATGCGAAAACACCTTGGCCCCTTGGTTTACCTTTTGTTTCTCCCACTTTGATAGATTCATGGATCCAGAGAAACATTTTTGTTCTCTATGAAAACCACAAAGCAAGAGTGATGATAAATAGCAACTGAATTCAGCCTTGGGACTGGGGGGCAATGGGGAGGGCTGGGGGTTGTGGTGAATTGGGGAGTGCCTGCCCCATCTAGGGGGCACAGCCCTTACTCCACAGGGAATTGCTGCCACCAGGGACTGCAGAGTCGGTATCGCCAGATCTAATAATTTTTCAAAAGAAGTTAGAAATCTGTGTCTTTAAAAAGTGAAATTTCCCCAAATGTAAGCACAATTTCATTGTTTTCAAGACACAATAGACACCTGAAAGGAACACATTTTTGGCTTTATCTGGCTCTCAAGGTGCCCATGTATAACCTTTGGTCTAGGCTGTTGAGGGCCAAACTGCACCAAAAGCAAAGTGAAAAGACAGAGGTACCTCAGAGGGGAAGAATCACATCCTCGCTTGGTGCCTTTCCTGTCATGTGGGGACTCCAAAGCTTGCTCCACACAAGGACATGCTGCTTGGACAAGAAATGCCCCATCCATGCCCACGGTCCCTTTGCTCCTCAGACCTTTGTTGTCGCCACATCTGTTCCCTGGGTGATTAGCTAAATACCACCAGTACATGGGCAACTCCCGCACTGGCAGCTCCACTCCTGGTTTCTCCCTTAGGGTTGGATTCCTAGGTCCAATTGTTCAAAATCTCCATTTGGACATCTCACAAGTGCCTCAAATGACCATGACCACATCAACACATTGTCTTGAGCCTTTTCTCCACACCTTGTCTTCTCCAACTCCATAAACAACCTCCCTATGTCCCTGTCGCTCATGCCAACAATTTAGGATTTCTCTCTTCATATTCTATGTATAATCCATGGGCAAATCCTGTTAATGCTATGCTCAAAATGTATCACAAACCTGACCCATTCTCACTAGTCTCCAGACTAAGCCACCAACACCTCTGGCCAGACCAGACGGTAACCTCGGAATAGGGTCTCCCTGTTTCTCTTCACGACCCTTTCCAGTAACTTCTCCACAAAACAGCTGGCAGGTTAAAAAAAAAAAAAATACACAAATCAGGTAATAACATGCCAGGCATGGTGGCTCATGCCTGTAATCCCAGCACTTTGGGAGGCTGAGGTGGGTGGATCACGAGGTCAAGAGATCAAGACCATCCTGGCCAACATGGTGAAACTCCGTGTCTACTAAAAATACAAAAGTTAGCTGGGCATGGTGGCACACGCCTGTGGTCCCAGCTACTCAGGAGGCTGAGGCAGAATCGCTTGAACCCAAGAGGCAGAGGTTGCAGCGAGCCAAGATCGCTCTACTGTACTCCAGTCTGGAGATGGAGCGAGACTTTGTCTCAAAAAAAAAAAAAAAAAATCTTCTAATTGCTTCCCAAATCTAAATCCAAACTTGCTACTACCATGACTCTGGGGTTTTAAATGGCCCCATGGCATGCTTTCCCCTCCTCTGGGTTGCTGCTTGTACACTGTCTTCTCAGACAGGTCTCTGCTGTCCACCTCAACTACAGTGCTTCTCCCTCCTTTCATTCAGATCCCTGCACTCTCCCCCGTTTCTTTACTCTTTTTTATTTTTCTTCTAAGCACTTATTCCACCTGATATATCTGTTATTGTCTGTTTCCTTCCCTGGAACAGGAGCTAAATGACATCAAGGCTTTCATCTTTTATTTAACAATGTATTAAATAAGTCTAGCACTGTGGCTAGCACACAGTAGGTGCTCAATAAATATTTTGTTGGGTTGGGTGAATAGGCATAGGTCCATAGAGGAACTTCCAGTAGCCCAAGCCAAAGCCTGATCCAGCTGTTCACTGGGAAGGTTACTCACTGATTGAGGAAGGCAAAGAGGTATCTCATGATGATCAGAGTGGTTTTGGGCAGGACCAGCAGGACTTTCCGGATGTGCAGAGCTCTCTCCTGCAGGTTGTCCATTGCTGAAAAGAAGAAAGCCATGTGTTATCCTCCACTATAACTGGGATCCCAGGGAGTAATGATCAGAAGTACCTACTACCAGCAGGGGCAACACGGACAGCATCAGATCAAGCCCACACACAACACTGGTGCAGTGACAGGAAGTCATCCCTGTTGCTCCTTGGGGTAGGGCTGTTAGAAGAGGGCACTTGCTGGGCTCTAGACATTTACCATTGCAGGATGTAAGGTGTATACTTCTTGGGCACAGGGAACTATGCCAAATCCAAACCCAAACTCATTATTACACATTATTAAAATTAAACTGAACTAGGGTTGTTGTAATTTTGTTATTAATAACAAGTTTGGATTTGGATTTGGACACAGGGAATGGGGTTAGAAATGTTCCCCACAGCATCTAACACCCTCTTATTCAAACAACCACAGAGAGCGAGCTGCCGCTAACCTGCTATAACTGCTCAACACAAAGCCTCAGAGGGCCTACATCTTGGTGGGAAGACAGGCTGTGCAAGTCCTGTCCTGCTCACTCCACACGTGCCATCTCATCCTCTGACAAGTGTGGCTTATCTTCCCCCTCCCTTATCTGCATTACGAATGAGTAAAAAGTGGTCTGAGGCAAGAGGTAGCAGGCCCCTGGGTATGTAGTGATATGGGGAAGGAGACCTGAAAGGCTTTCTTGCGCTGTGGAGAGGTTAATTACAGGTCAATTACAGGTCCTCCATCATAGGCAGCCTCTCACTTCCACAGTGTGCCATGTAAACACTGCCATTTTCTATGGGTGCCTTTATATGAAAAAGAGAAGTACTGGATTAGGAGGAAGAGTGTATCTCCAGGGAAGAACTGGGCAGCCAAGGGATCTTGAACTATCTTTACTATCTTGGCAATCCCAGTTCAGCTTAAGATACTTCACCTAGGCCCAGTCGGAAAAAGACACAAAGACATGACCCAAGGGAATCACATTCTTAATCACCCACATAACTCACTTCCACTAGACACTCATAAACAGAAGTCAACAAACCAACTAGAGAGCCAGCTTCCCAAATGCCCTGGAAATTTCTCAGGATAACAGAGAGGGACAAGTACTCAGGGCAGATACTGAGTGAAACTGGAAACTCAGTAGGTACGAAGATCTGGTCAACCTAGGAAGAAGGATCTTTTCTCCATTCAAAGGCACCACTCCCTCCAGCCTCTGCAGCCATCACTCAGACAGGGCCTGCTTCCAGGCTGACCTGTATTAATCCAAGTTTCCATTGATTGTTTTCCCTGGCAAACAAATGAGAGGGTGTTCCAGTACCACAAGCTAAACCAAATGGCTAGGAATAGCTTTTCAAGACCCAAATTTTAGAGTTAGAGGCAGAGAACTCCTAAGAGGATAAAGCAGAGAATATATCTTTCTCTTTGGGAAAATATCCTATTACTACTTTTAAATGTGCAGAGGGCTTTTGTTCCTAGAACACATATTAATACATTTAGCAGGTAAGCCACGTCTTGTTTAATGCAACAAGCATGAAATATTTGCAACGCTTATGCTTTTCCCCCTTGTACCATGAAAAGCACAAGCACTAATGTATAAGCTTCAAATACATAATTGAAAATATAGGTACTTTACTAAAAGAAGATAAAGCCCAGAGATGAATCAGAAGAAAAAAAAAAAAAAAGCCAGGAGTCCTGACTTGAGGGTCCTAGATTCTTACTGAAAAGTCTTTCCTCGCTCCCCTCCCACCAGGGGATGAAGGAGTGAGGATGAGGAGAAATTTCACTGGGGAAAAGAAAAACTTTATTGAAAAGCTTATGAGAACACACAGACCCTGTGGAAACTTTTTATCTCCTGCTACCGGTGCTGTGCCCCAGAAGCCAATCTGAAGCCAGAATCGTACTTACTGACGCAGGCCATCAGGTCATGAAAGATGTCCTTGGGGAAGAGAGGGTGTTCCAGCCCCCGGAAGTAAAGCTTCAGGACACCAGCTATGGAATCCATGTCATGGTCGTTCTGGTCCCCAGCCAGGGGGTCCTCTCCTGAGGATAAGCAACCCCCGCAAAAAGGAAAGAGAGTGAGAGAGGCAAAAACACACAGGACGAACAGAGGCGGTGGGGAGGGGGTGAACCATGTATGTCCTGGTCCCAATCCATCAGCTTTCTGCCCAGCATGGTGGCCATGAGTGGGACAGACCAGGGAACAGATAAAGCAAAGACTGCTCCATTTCAGGGGCTCCAGGACGAAAGCACGGCAGACGAGTCCATCAATATAAACTCTCTTGTGCCAGCCTGGCTCAGGGACATGGTCCCTATGGGCTGAGGATGGGACACAGCAACTGTCTCTCACAAGAATCATGAAACCAGGCTGGGACTGAGCTCCTGAGGGGAGAAAAATGAGGCCAAGGAGGCCAGCTCCTGAGACGGGCTCTCACGTCTCCTGGCCTGCAACCAAGAACACCTACTTACAGAACAATCATGCCAGAGCTCCCCATGGAAAATTTCATATCAGATGTAATTAGATTTAATGATAGGGCCAACCTCAAATTGAAACTATATATATCCATTACAGTGACGGAAATTGCCAAAGCTTGCCCATTACCTTAATAGCCCACAAAATAATAAATGGGCTACAATGAACAAGCGCATTAGCCTTGATATTAACTGCCGCCACCAAGGGTTCCAGATGAAGCCATAAACTGCCCAGATATCATAGTTAACTTCTTGGGTTTTGGCAGATCATCGGCATGAAAGAGGCAGGATGGGTAGGGCTGTGAAGGAAGAAGGAAACTGGGATGTGCCCTGGTATTTCCCTGCATATCTACAGGGGAATGTGTACAAGAGAGCAGGTACCCTCTGAAGAGACAGGTAAGCTGGCTTCCTGACCTCTGGGGACCTCTTAGGGAAGAAAGGGTGGAGCCAATACGCCAGGGGGCTGGCAAATATTTGGTTTTATCTTCAAGACTGTTTCCTTACCTCTCTCAAAGGCATTTTTGATGTCATTCACTTCCACCTGGGATCCTGACACCCGGAAAATTCCTTCATGCTGTAGTCCTGGTGATACACAGAAAAGTGATCAAGAAGAAAAAGCAAATTCACAAGCACAGTGGCAAGCTTAGCTGAATACCTATCTCCCCCAACCAGTGTGTGTTTAAGCACGCTGTCTCTCTTCTTTAGGCCAAAGGAGAAAAACATGTGCAAGGATGTTGGAAAGGTCACTGGAATAATTTCGAGGCATTCGTTTTCATTAGAAAGCACCAAGTTAGAGAGTCCTCTGACTCCAGGGCGACTATGAGGCAGATTCCTTTCCTTGTCTTTGCCTCTTTGTTCCCATCTGTAAAGCAAGGAAGTGACCCATTGGTACTTTTTAAAAATCATCTAGGGTCAAGAATAGAAAAATATACTCAGGAAGCTGAGGCAGGAGGACTGCTTGAGGCCGCAAGTTTGAGACTAGCCTGGGCAACATAATGAGACCCTGTCTCTAAAAAATGTTTGAAAGTAGCCAGGCACAGTGCTTGTAGCATGCCGGTAGTCCCAGCTACTCAAGAGGCTGAGGTAGGAGGTTCACTTGAACTTGGCAGTTAGAGGCTCCAATGAGCTATGATCATACACTGCCCTCCAGTCTGCGTGACAGAGTGGACCCTATCTCAAAGAAAAAAAAAAAAAAGAATGGGAAATGGGTCAAGGCATTAGTTCTCATCAGGAGTTTCATAAGGTCTGAGATTCTAATATTGCTTTAGCTGTTTTAACATGGTTTGATTGTTCAAGGGGGCAATGCTTTCAATACTTACGAAAAAGAGTGGACATGAAACTATAAGTCAGGAATGTCCAATCTTTTGGCTTCCCTGGACCACATTGGAAGAAAAACTGTCTTGGGCCACAGAGAAAATACTCTAACGATAGCTGATGAGAAAGAAAAAATCCCCCCAAAATCCCGTAATATTATAAGAAAGTTTACGAATTTGTGCTGCAGCCCATGGGCCACAGGTTGAACAAGCTTGCTATTAAGTGATCAGTCAATGGATAGTATTGCCAGACATTGTGCTAGGCACTGGTTCCTGACTACAGCTTTACTCTAAAGACAAACATGCATGAATGTTACACTACGATAATGTGCACAAGAACTTCTTGGTTTTGTTAGAGGAGAAAAACAAATCATGAAAAAAAAATGCTGGCATAGTAACTGCTGCTAATCAATGCTTTCACACAAATTACTTGGTCCTCACAAGTAATAATGTCACAACAAGGTAAAGGTTGGCAACAATCTCATTCTCTGGATGAGGGGACTGATGAGTGACAGCCAGCCTTAAGTTATACAGGAAGTAAGAACCAGGGCCAGGACTCAAACTCAGGCCTTGTGGCTGCAATCATACTCAGTCTTCAACACCAGGCTTGTGGAGCCTATCGGAGTGCAAGTGCAGAGGCTGGGAACCACATTGGTCAGTCTGAGCATGGACATGGCTTACAGACAGCACCACACACACAACTGCAAAACCGGTGAGAAATCCAGCAAGTGTGTCATCAGTGCCAGCCCCAGGGGTTGGACTAGACTAGCATCTCTGATTGCATCAGGACCGCTCAGCTTTTCTCAGGATCCCTGGGTCTCAATCTTAAGCATTTTGTCAAAATCCCTCTGTTATGGCACAATCCTTCAAAAACCTTGACAGGCTGGAGAAATCTCAAGTTTTATTTTAGGAAAACAAAATAGACTAATGCTCCATTTTGCCCACCGTTAGAGGGTTTCTTCAGTTAAGAAACCCTCTTGTGCTTCATCTGCTTTTATCTCTAAAGCAGATGAATTCTATCAGCTAGACCTCTGGAGGTAAACCACATAGGCCAGGACAGATTCTGAATCCAACTGAAACAACATTAAGAAGTAAGCAGAGGAAATGTAGTTACCTGGCTTGTAATAGGCCTTAAGTTGTCTGCTCCTGTAAAGGAATCTCCAGAATATTCCTCACAGAGTGGCAGGCAACGTTAAAACCTCATTAGTACCAGTGTAATAGGACTATAATACTAGTTACAAATGCGATGTAAAAGCCAGATAATGTTGTTTAAATATAGTATGTAAACAACAAGTGCTTTGAGAGAAACAGCCATGTCACAACATGGTATAAGCAAATGTCATCTCGGAAACCGGGCTACTCACTATGTTCTAGTTGGTGAAGCCATTGCACAAATTCCTGAAACAGCGTCATCATCTTGTTACTTTTTGGTAGGTTAGAACACCAAGGAAAAGTAGCCTTGGCCTGGGGGTCCAGGACAAGAAGAAATGAGAGGAGAGCTCATTGGAAATCAGGCAGCAGGCCTGGAACACAAGGAGCTCTCTTTAGGTCTGGTCTCTGTTTCCTCTTGAGAACTTACGTTTTGGAGGGACTACTATGTGTTCTTGCTCAACAGACAGAATCTCTAGATTCTGGAAGCAGAAACATTAATAAGTGGCTGGTTTCCAGAAAGTAAAGAGAAAAACCAGTTGGCTTTTTATTATACTGCAGGTGAATCCTTGCATAACCAAAGTGACACATCCATGATCTTTTAAATTTTTTCTCAGTTCACACGAACATGAAAGTATAAAACTCATCAGACTTGGATAAGTTATTTGGAAATGGCACAAAACCTTCCATTGTGCACAGAATCCAACCACTGCCAAAAGTTGTTCTCCTGGAGAATTCCTGAAATGATTTCTACAGCAGCCATCTCATGTTCACGTTACATTGCTCCCTTCCTCATGAAACTGTTTTTTTTTTTTTTCCCCATCATGACTCAGTTTCAATTGTTCCTCAAATCCCTTCTCTTCCTTTAAGCCTTCCTGAATCACCCTCACCCACCACTGAGCTTTCTCATCTACATAATGGGGACTATAATGTCTACCTCCCAAGGGATTTGAGGATAGTTAGGATGTGAAAATCCCCAGCATTCAGTGGGCCACAGACTCTTTCAAGACTGACACAGGTTATGAGCTCTATCCTCATTAAATGCCTACACACAAAAATTTTTACCGTGGTTTTTTAGGGAGTTCATGAATACCTTAGGTCCCTATTTGGGAAAAATCAATTTAGTGGAACAGATGTTTTTTGAGCAGCTACTATGTGCTCAATTTTTAAAAAATCCACAATATATTTATTTGCTTGATCCTAGAATATATATAAAATACTTTTAGAATTGCTAATCCATATCTGTGTAATTAAAAAACTACTAATTACTGTAAAATATTTGTTTAGAGATCTTTTTATCTTTAGATTTATATTATAGTCAAGACAAATTACTTAGGTTATTTTTTTCCTTATTCTCTTCATTGTGGTTATGTTATTCACTTGTAATACAGTTAGGTTTATATGTTACTGTCTGCATTATATTTTGGGTTGTACCCACATCCTGCCTTTATTTATTTATTTATCTTTTTTTTTTTTTTTTTTTTTTTTGAGACAGGGTCTTACCCTATCACTCAGGCTGGAGAGCAGTGGCGTGATCTCATCACAACCTCCACCTCTTGGGTTTGAGTGATTCTCAGGCCTCAGCCTCCTGAGTAGATGGGATTACAGGTGCCCAACACCACACCCAGCTAATATTTTTGTATTTTTAGTAGAGACAGGGTTTTGCCATGTTGGCTAGGCTGATCTTAAACTCCTGGCCTCAAGTGATCTGCCCACCTCAGCCTCCCAACGTGCCTGGATTACAGGTGTGAGCCACTGCGCCCGGCTTATTTATCTTTTGAGTACAGGAAACACTAATGTTGTTCTAAAAGTCAAAACTACACTAAGGTAAGAGAAACACCACTCCTTACCATTTCCCATTGCCCCATTCTTTTCACCTCTTTTCCATCCATTCCCTATAGGTAGCCAATTAAATATTAGTTCCTAGATTCATCCTTCCTGCATTTCTTTCTGCAGAAATGAGAAGATACACGGATATTCTTATATCTTCTTCTCTCTTACATAAAAGGTAATGAAATGCAAAAGAATATCCATATGTATAGTCCCTGACTTATAATAGTTTGACTTATGATTTCTTGACTTTATGATGGTACAAAAATGATATGCATTCAGGAGAAATACTTCCAATGTTGATCTTCTCTTGGGCTAGCAAAATGTAGTACGATATTCTCTTATAATGCTGGGCAGCAACAGAGAGCCACAGCTCCCAGTCAGCCATGTGATTACCAAGGTAAACCACCTGTACTCTACAGTATATAGTGTTGCCAGATGATTTTGCACAACTGTAGGCCAATGTAAGTGTTCTGAGTATATTTAAGGCAGGCTAGGCTAAGCTCTGATGTTCCCTAGGCTAGGTATATTGAGTACATTTTCAACTTTTTATGGGTTTATCTGTATGTAACCCCATCAGAGGCCGAGGAGCATCTGTGGTATTCTACACGATACAGACTCCTTCACATTTTGTTTTTTTCACTTAACAACATATCCTGGGAATCTCTCCATATCAGTTCATGTAAATCTTCCCCATTCTTGTATAGTACTCCACTGAATGAATGTCCCATAATTTTTTCAACCACTCCTCTATGTATGGGCATTTAGGTTCCTTCTAGTATTTTGCAATTACAAACAATGCTGTCACAAATAACCTTGTGCGCATGCATTTTTGTATTGCTGGAGATGTAACTTCACGGTAAATTCCTGGAATTCCTAGAATCTGCTGGATCGTAAGTGCATATGAAGTTTTGTTATATACTGCCAAATTCCCTTCCAAAAGAGTTGTATCAGTTTGCATTCCCATCAGCAACATATAAATGTGCCTGTTTCCCCAGAGCCTCACCACAGTAATGTGCTAAATTTTTGTCTCCTCATGCACTGTGCCTGTAACGGGTAGAAACAGGTACATTCACGCCACAATATCTGGAACCTGTCCACTTTTCAGCAAATACCACGGCCAACACCCTGGTCTAGGCCACCATTATGTCTTCCTCAGGCTACTGCAGTTGCTTCCTGTCTCCTTCTTACAGTCTTATCTCCAGAGAGCAGCCAAGGATCCTTTAAAAAGATGACTCCCTGTTCAAAATTCTCCAGTGGCTTCCCATCTCCCTCAGAATAAAATCCAATCCTAGCACATTAAGCCCTAAGAGTCTGGCTTCCAGCTTCATCTCCTGCCGCTTTCTTCTTCACTCACTCTGCTCCAGTTACGCTGGCTTCCTGCACGTGGCAAGGTTCTCTGCACTTGTTCCCGCTCCCCAAGATACTCTTCCCCAGATATCCACAAGGCTTACTCCCTCACAACTCTGCCCTAATGTCACTTTAGCAGAAGTCTTTTCTCTGAACCAGCTTCAAATAGTGTCTCCTCTTCCTTCTCCATCCCCTCACCTTGCTTTACTTATCTTCATGACATTCACCAATACCTGACATATTGTATTTACTGGCTGATCAATTGGTCATTTGCTTATCCACCTGTCAGTGGAATGTAAGGTTCATGAAGGCAGGATCTTTTTGTTGGGATATAATAAGCAACCAATATGTATTTGTTGAATGAATGAAATGTATGCTGAATGAGCAGTGGCTCAGACTTTCTTTCTCCTATTGTCTCTTAGGCACAAATAATTCATCCTCCCCTGAACTCAGTTTGGACTTATCTTTGCAAACTGTTTGACTATTAATCATTACTATCTTGTGAAATTTCTTATACTCCTATTCTGAATTACCACAGCTTATCTCTTTTTACTTAACTTATCACTTGCTTACTTATTTCTCCCAACTGCAAAATAAAACCACTTAAAGACAGGAACAGTATATTATTCCTGTTTCTGCTTTCCTACATGGCAAAGCATGGTACCCAGCATTGATCAGGGACTTGATAAATTTGTTGACTGTTCAATACTGATATACAATGCTGTTACTTTAAATGAATAGGGACAAGATTTTAAAATTATAGCTGATTAGGATGAGATCAATTGTAACCATGCTATAATAATTACTATCCCAAAAATGAACCTGAGCAATGCCCCAGTTTACAGGGAGAGAAAAAGGCAAGGAGAGGGAGAGAGAATAGCTGCCTCTGAATTTAGACAAGCAATATTTTATCTACCTCCTTAGCTCCAGAAAGGTCACTCTGCCCCTTTTCCTATCACAGAAAGAACAGCATCTAAAAACAATTTCTGATGCCCAGTTCCTAGAAATTTTCATAGCACTAGTTCTGTCTTTTCTAAACACTCTAATCCTTGGGAAATCAATTCTCTGGCAATTATTTCCATCGCTAAATTCCGTCCAATGAGACCAGTGCTGGTGGGGAATGGTGTTTATAAGATTCAGCTTCATCCAAGTAGAAGAGAGTATGATTTCACCTAGGTTGAGAAGCAGCCTGCCTCTGCAGATTCTCAAAAGTTGGATACAGCTTTAAGACCAGCTACTAACTCAGCTCTTGGCCATGCTGTATCCAGCAAGACCAAACCAGAACAAAAACTGATTATTAGGAATCACTGCAACATTGGGAAAGGAGATGTTTTCAAACTAGTCTGGTACAGAAAGTGACAAAATGGTCAGGCTGTACAGTGGGAGATACCCACACTTGCAAAGACTGTGAGTAATGGTGAAACTACTGTTACCACATAATAGCAGCTGTATTTACATAACAGCTGCAATTTCAAACTTACTCTCAAGCTAAAAAAATGCTGTGTGATAAGTGGCTGAGGCATTTTGCGTCAAAATACATGGTGCCTTTCTTTCAATGTCCAGGTGTGGCTATTCTGAGGTCGCAAAAGTTATGTGGACAAATAAGAACTTATTCCTTTTCTGAGAATGTCAGGATGGGAAGTCAATCTCTATTCTTACTCTACAAAGAATTCCTGGAAGTTCTTCCCAATCTTTGCACAAATATGGACAAGGCTGTCATCCTGCTTACCGTGTCTGCTGATAAACCGGATACAGCTTTCCACCACCAGAGGAATTGCCTGGCTGGAGTCCTGAAAAGCCAAAGGGAAACACAACATTAGAATCTTCAAACAGGGATAGCCCAGGGTCAGAGAAAATGGGCCAAATCGTGCAGAACTGTCTTAGTGGATCAGTGGCCGGTCTACAAAGAAGCACCTGGCCTGTCCTCCAAGTTCCACAGCACAAAAATACAACCACCTACAGAGAATGCTACACAGATGCCTTAAAGTCAGCATGTCCTAAATAAAACTGATCATCTTTTATCCCAAACCAGTTTCTCACCACCTTCTCCACCACCTAATTAATCAATACATTCTGTCATGTCTGCCTTCTAAATATCTCTCAAATCCATTTGCTTCTCTCTATCTCAGCTGCCATCAACCTAGTTCAATCCACCAATACCTCAATTCCCATCCTTGCCACCTTCTGACCCGCATTTCTCTTCCTTCACATAGTGATTAGGTAATCTTTAAAAGTGCACATTTCATTATTTAAACTCTTTCAAAGACCTCTCATTACTCTCTTACACAGCCTTGCATGCCAGGAATCCTGCCTGTGCCTCCAGTTCCACTGCTTGTTCTTTCCCCTGGCTTCTGCTACAGTCATGCTGGCCACGTTTCTGTTCTGCAAAGTCCTCCTTTGCCTCGTGGCTTTGCCTGAGCTGCTCCTGCTGGGGGCATGTTCTCCTTAACCCTGTGACTCCAATGTGTGGATGTGAATATTTGTTGGCACTTGTCACCACTACAGCTCAAACTTCACAAGGGCAGATTCTATGTCAATTCCTGGCTGTCCAGGGCTGGCCATGATGCTCTCACATAAGAGGTGCTCAATTATTCTCAGTTGAAGGTAGCAGAACGAACCAATGGGAGCTTCAGAAAAATGGTTTGTTTGGTATAAAGGTAAGAAAGAAAAGAAAAACTACCTCTAAATAGTGGGGACTAACAGGTACTAAGCAAAGAAGCAGGCCTCCCAGATGTCAATCTTTGCTCTGTTGTTTTGCTTCACAATCTGGCTCACGTCACTGAACTTTTTTGGGCCTCAATTTGCCTTCTACAGACTGGGGAGGGGACTGGAGGCAAGGAGAGTAATATTTCCTATTAGCACATGAACATTAGTGCCTACCACTTATAGAGGAATTTAAAGAGGTGTGAGACCATGTACTAAGTCTTTTAGATGGACTGGTGCTGGTAACAATCCTATGGAGTATATATTATTATTATTATACTCATTAAAATGAAAAAGTGAGGCCAGGTGTGGTGGCTCACACCTGTAATCCCAGCACTTTGGGAGGCCGAGGCCAGTAGATCACTTGAGATCAGGAGTGTGAGACCAGCCTGGGCAACAGACTCTGTCTCTACTAAAAATAGCCTGGCGTGGTGTTGCACACCTGTGGTCCCAGCTACTTGGGAGGCTGAGGTGGGAGGACTGCTTGATCCCAGAAGACAGAGGTTGCAGTGAGCCAAGATCAAGCCACTGCACTCCAGCCTGGGTGATAGAGCGGGACCCTGTCTCAAAAAAGAAAAAGAAAAGAAAAATGAAGAAATGAAGGCTTAGTGAGGTTAAGTAGCTGCTATGGTCACATAGCTGGCAAGTGGCAAAACCAGGATTCAAACCCAGGCAATCTCCCTCGGAGACCTAACACTTTACCACTACCCATACTGCACCCTAGCAGTTCAGCAAACATTGCCAGGTGTACATACCAAGTATTACTCAAAACTAGTAGGGTTTTATTTTATATTTTAAACGATTTTGTTGTTTTTAGAGACAGGGGTTCCCTCTGTAGCCTAGGTTGGAGTGCAGTGGTGTGATCATAGCTCAATGTAACCTTGAGCAAATAGTCTCAAGTGATCTTCCCGCCTCAGCCTCCTGAGTAGGTGGAACTACAGGTACCCACACCACACCCAGCACATTTTTATTTTTTCAGAGGGTCTCGCTATGTTGCCCAGACTGGTCTCAAACTCCTAGCCTCAAGTAATCCTCCTGCCTTAGCCTCCCAAAGTGCTGGGATTATAGGTATGAACCATGGTACCTGGCCTAAACCAGTAGGGTTTTATAATGCAGCTGAATGTACAATAATTCAGCTGTGTGGAAGAAAGAGATCAGGGAGAGGGGCCTGAACTTAACTAGAAAGGGCTTTAGATGTTCAGGACAGAGACTGAACTGTCAAGTGGGATGGCTCTGTGTAGCTTCTGCCCGTTTGACAGGTTTGCGTGGATCCCTCCCTGGCTCTGAATTTGCTACTGTAGCCATAGGGTTTGGCCACTATTAGGCAAGCAGCTGGGTCTCACAAAGAAGTCAGGCTGAGAGAAGAGCTGACTTAGCCTCTAGCTCTCAAGCTTTCTGGGAACCAGAGATGATGCCAAAGGGAGTACTGTATATGCCAAGGTGGAGCTGGTGTCAGGACAGTCTCAGCGACCCAAATGCTCATTTTCATGACCCCTAAACCCATCTGTTTCCTCCAGCTTTCCAACTACAGCAGCCAGCGTCTGCCCTCTTGTCAGCATCACTGACTGGCCAGTTAGGCTAGCGTGATCTCAGGGGAAGAATCCTTGTCTTCTCTTCCTTATTCTAAGGAAGAAACTGGGTTCCACAATAAAAATGCCAAAAAAAGCTCAATTTGGGGGAAGTCTTTTTATGTTTACAGACTTCTGTTATTACATTTCTCATTTATACATAATAGCAGCAGAAGAATGAAACTAGAGCCCTATCTCTCACCATATAGAAAAACAAATCAAAATGGATTAAAGACTTAAATGTAAGACCTGAACTATGAAATGACTTAAAAAAACCACTGGGGCAATGCTTCAAGGATACTGGTCTGAGCAAAGATTTTTTGAGTAAGACCTCAAAAGCATAGGCAACAAAAGCAAAAATAGACAAATGGGATTATCTCAAGCTACAAAGCTTTTGCATAGCAAAGGAAATGATTAACAGAGTGAAGAGACAACCTAAAGAATGGGAGAAAATATTTGCAAACTATCCATCTGATAAGGGATTAATAACCAGAATATATAAGGAACTCAAACAACTCAACAGCAAAAAAACAATCTATCTGATTTAAAAATGGGCAAATGGTTTGAATAGGCATTCTCAAAAGAAGACATACACATGGCCAACAGGTATGTGAAAAAATGCTCAATGTCACTAATCATGAAAAATGCAAATTTTTAAACAATCTCGCTCCAATTAAAATGGCAATTATCAAAAAGCCAAAAAATAACAAATGCTGGCAAGGATGCAGAGAAAAGGGAATGCTTGTACACTGCTGGCAGGAATATAAATTAGTATAGCCACCACGGAAAACAGTATGGAAGCTCCTTGAGAAACTAAAAATAGATCTACCATATGATCCAGCAGGCCCATTGCTGGTTATATATCCAAAAGAAAAGAAATCAGTATATTGAAGTATCAGTATAACTGTACTCTCACATTTATTGTGGCATTATTCACAATAGCCAAGATATGGAAGCAGCATAAGTGTCCATCAATGGATGAATGGGTAAAATGTGGTATATACACACAATGAAATATTATTCAGTCATAAAAAAGAATAAAATTCTGTCACTTGCAGCAACATAGATGGAACTGGAGGACATTGTGTTAAGTAAAACAAGTCAGGCACAGAAAGATAAATACTGCATATTCTCACTTGTATGCATGAGCTAAAAAAGTTGATTGCATGAAGGCAGAGAGTAGAACGATGGTTTCCAGAGACTGGGAAGGGTAGCGGGGAGTGGGGGGTTAAGAGGTGAGGTTGGGCCAGGTGAGGTGGCTCATGCCTGTAATCCCAGCACTTTTGGAGACTGAGGTGGGCGGATCACCTGAGGTCAGGAGTTCAAGACCAGCCTGGCCAACATGGTAAAACCTTGTCTCTACTAAAAATACAAAAATTAGCTGGGCACGGCAGCAGGTGCCTGTAATCCCAGCTACTTGGGAGGCTGAGGCAGGAGAATTGCTTAAACCCAGGAGGTGGAGGTTGCAGTGAGCCAAGATTGTGCCATTGTACCCTAGCCTGGGCAACAAGAGTGAAACTCCATCACAAAAAAAAAGAAAAAAGAAAAAAGCAACAAGAGCGAAACTCCATCACAAAAAAAAAGAAAAAAGAAAAAAGAAGTCAGGTTGGGCAGGGCACAGTGGTTCACGCCTGTAATCCCAGCACTTCGGGAGGCTGAGGCAGGCGGTTCACCTGAGGTCAGGAGTTCGAGACCAACATGGAGAAACCCTGTCTCTACTAAAAATACAAAAATTAGCCAGGTGTTGTGGTGCATGCCTGTAATCCCAGCTACTTGGGATTTTCAAGGCTCGAGAATCGCTTGAATCGGGGAGGCAGAGGTTGCAGTGAGCTGAGATCGCACCACTACAGTCCAGCCTGGGCAACAGAATGAGATCCTGTCTCAAAAAAAAAAAAAAAAAAAGTAAGGTTAATGGGTATAAAAATAGTTAGAATAAATAAGTTCTAATGTTTGATAGCACAGTAGGATGATAATAGGTAACAATATTTTATTGGATATTTCAAAATAGACAGAAGATTTGGAATGTTCCCAACACACACACACCAAAAAATGGTAAATATGTGAGGTGACAGATACCCTAATTACCCTGATTTGGTTATCATAAATTGTATGCATGTATCAAAATATTACATGTACCCCATAATTAGGTACAATTATGTATTAATAAAAATTATTTAAAAATACTAGCAGCAGAGATAATGAAGATAGTGATATGAGTGTTTGCATAGTTTTGTTGGTCCTACGTTTATTATGACCTCGAGGGAGAAAAGCTGGAAAGCTTACAGGCTACTGGCTTCAACAAATTGTGTGAGTACAAAATTTGGCTGGCATATGCAGGAAATGGAGTATCAGTGGTAAAGGTAAGTACGAAGGGTTGGCAGGAAACAGGGCAAGAAAAATATTAACCTGCATGTCTGTGGTTACCAGCAGCACTCACATGCAGTCCCCAGTGGATAATCTGTGGCAGACAAGGGTGGGCTACAGATGACCTGTCCTACTGCACAAGCATCTTCTAGTCCCCACTGCTCCAGTGGAATCTAAGAGTCCAGTAGGAGCACAAAATGGACAAAGTCACAAAGGCTTTGAACACTCCTGCCATCCTCCTCTCTCCTTGTAGTGTTTCTGAGCAATGAGTAATTTCCCTGGGACGTGCCTGTGCACTCCTGTGATGCCACGATGACCAGCACTTCACCATTGCCTTTGTATAGAGTTGACTGAGTTTATTTTATTTTATTTTATTTTGAGACAGAGTCTCACTCTTGTCACCCAGGTTGGAGTGCAACGGCACGATCTCGGCTCACTGCAACCTCCGCTTCCCAGGTTCAAGTGATTCTCCTGCCTCAGCCTCACGAGTAGCTGGGATTACAGGTGCCCACCACCACGGCTGGCTAATTTTTGTATTTTTAGTAGAGACGGGGTTTTACCATATTGGCCAGGCCAGTCTCGAACTCCTGACCTCAGGTGATCCGCCCATCTCAGCCTCCCAGAATGCTGGGATTATAGGTGTGAGCCCTGACTGAGCAGTTTCTATGTTTTTATGCACTATTTGTCTCCTCCTTTCTCCTTCTCTTCTTCCCTCCTCCGATGTTAGAAACCTTTGTCAGTTTAATTCCCTTATACACTTTTTTTTTTTTGGTCATGAAATCTTAGGGTTAGAAGGGGCCTTTAAGGAATCAGGCCAAATTCTCATCTAATCAGATTAAGGGAACTTTAAACCAAAAGCAGAGGGAGAAAAGTAGGGCCTAAGTTGGAAAACATAGTGAAGCAGTGGTCCAGTGATTTGCAGGAGAAAACAATCAGAAAGGGATGGGTGCAGTGCCTCATGCCTGTAATCCCAGCACTTTGGGAGGCCGAGGCAGGTGGATCACTTGAGCTCAGGAATTTGAGACCAGTCTGGGCAACATGGTGAAACCCGGTCTCTACAAAAAAAAGAAATACATAAATTAGCCAGGTGTGGTGGTGTGCACCTGTAGTCCCAGCTACTCAGGAGGCTGTGGTGGGTGCACTGCTTGAGCCCAGGAGGTGGAGGTTGCAGGGAGACAAGATCGTGCCACTGCACTCCAGCCTGGGTGACAAAGCCAGATCCTGTCTTGAAAAAAAAAAAAATCAGAAAGATGGCCAGAAAATCTGTGAATATGCATTATCTGGCATAATTTCACATGAGTAAGAGGGTTAGAGTTTTTGTTAGGTACTTATTTGTACTACATTTGTTAATTTTCATTTTTACCAAGGGAGAAAATACAAATCTTTACAACAGATTATATGTGAGTAATGAGGGAAAAAAGCATCAAAGATAAGATTTGGGGCCTCAGAGACTGTGAAGAATGGAGTCCCCCTGAACACAAACAGAGAAGTGAGGGGAGGGGCTACGCAAATCACAATGTGATGGGGGAGGGTAAGACTGATGCTGAAAGTAGAAGGTGCTATCACAACTTTCAAGCATAAATGTCTAGTCGATCACTGAGGAGTTACACTCAAAGACTCAAAAGGACAGCATTATAGAACAAAAATATGCTTAGGGAAGAAGAGAAAGATTCATCTAAGGGAACAAGAGTGACAAGGGAAAGAATATAGAGAGACATCATGAGAGGACAGAGCCCTGGAGAAATGCCTCAATTTAGAGGAATGGAGAAAGGCCAACAAAGAAGATAAGAAGTCATGGCCAGGAGAGAAATAATGCTGAGCTTACAGGGAGCAGGGAAGGCCTGGAAGCAGCAGTGGGACTGTCTCCTTTTTAAAAAAGGTCTGGGATGGTTTAAACCTAGTATTTGACAGGGTCAAAAACAACTGGAACACATTAGGGACCCTCAAAAACAAAAACTACTAGCTTCTTCCTCTTGTTTGCCTGATTTGCCATAAACAAATAATTACTTCCTTGTTACTTATACAAGATTACTCACCTTCCAAGTAACTTACTATCTATTTTACCTTTCTGACCATCTTAGGAAAACTTTTAGATGATCCACTAGTAGATTTGAACTGCTAGAAACTGGGGCAGCCAAATGAAAACAAGATCTTTATTTGATTGGGGATTTTGGTATATCCTGTAACTCCTATGCAAATCTAGCACCAGGCAAACACACTTTGCCTGCAACTACTTAGGTGCAGCAGGATGCAAACCAGAGGGGTGCTGTTCCCCTCCAACGGTGAGCCCAACCAAGGGCACAGATCACCTGTCAAACTGATGTGTCTGGCACTCCTGTAGCCACAGTGGAGGTTGCAAATCCCTTGCAAACATGCTCCAGCTATAAGCAAGATGCCTGGTTTCAACCCAGGAACAGAAAAGAACAAACTTCAAGTTCATTCCTTTTCTTAAAGAGAAAATGGCTTGCTCTCTCTGCAAGATATGCACTATTAATTTTAAATGCACTGAATTATCCCTAGGAGTCACTCCATTCCTCTCTAGTTTTAAATGAAATTATGGAAGAAAGAGGAGGAAGAAAGAAATAGAGGAAAAAAAGAGAGAGTTGCAATTAAATTTTTATAATTAAAAAAATCTGTAATTGCATCTGATGGCATTCTCATTAAGATGAGATCCCAAGTAGAGAAGGGAAAAACAGTGACAGCAAAGCTAAGACAAGCGAGGCCTGTATCATCCAAGTTCCCCAGCTTAATGGTCCACCCCGTCAGAGCAGTCAGATGAGCTGAAGAAATGCCGGGCCTGCCAACACCATAGAAACCACGCGCCCTCTTTATTCGATTATCTCCCTGTGGCTAGAGCCACTGAGAATTACCCAAAATGATTTTTTAAAGCCTGGATTAGCTTTCCCCTGAGCAGACACAAAGATATTTCTGAGCTCTCTCCACCCGCCCTCCCTGCTGTCTACTGCATAGCTGGTATGAGCTTAGGGGACATAAAATCATTTCAGTATTTGCCATAAAGTATAATTAGGAGTCAATTTTGCTACTGCGAAAAATATTTCAATTAATTTTTTTTAAACAAGCACAAGTGCTGTTTAGATTATCCATTGATGTGGATTATCCATGCCACTGCTCTCTAAGATCCCTCCTAATATGGGTAATGAGAGTTGGCTGCCCAGTGGCAGATTTTAATACAACACTGAAGATCATGCACCAAATTGCAGAGTCGAATGGCTCTTGCCTATCATTCCCAGACCAGACTTAATCTTTGCATTGTTAGCATGTCTTAGGAATCCATCTAGAATGACTACGCCACCAGAAACAATCAAACAAAATCTGCCAACTTAAAGCGAGATTGTCTGGTCTAGCTAATTAGGTGCTGTGAGTTACTGATATGCTAGCACATACGCAGGAAGTGTCAAGCCTCTTTTGTGGTCTTGGAAAAGGATGCCATGGGCAGTTCTGGAACAATCTGCACCAATCAAACCAAACCCCTAGTATCCAAGACGATAAATGACTAGAAAAGGAGAGGAACAAGTCAAAAAGACTATGGGCACTCCAACTAGTTAAATCAATGATATTGCCACAATATTAAACATACTATGACTAAATGATACATTCCAAATGCAGGCATGAAGTCAGAGGTGTCAGTCCTGCACACAGTGGGGTTCAATAAATGCCTGTGGGATGGACTGTATTTTCAGGCCAGACCAGCCTGGCCCTGGTTGGGCCTTACCTGTTTCCTCACAGTTGAGCTGCGCCTGTGACCAATCCCGCCAAATCAGAGTGGACCAATCCAGCAACAAGGAAGAAAAAGAGAAAATTGGGACGAATGAGATAAACAACCAGTCTTAAACCCAGAAGTAAAGTTTTTAATAATTAAAAACAATCTGTGTGGTGGCTAATGAAACATGTGGCATTACTCAGTTCAGTCCCAGAAATGGCTAAGAAACTTGATAAATAACTTCCACAATAAAGCCTACTAAAGCTCTTTTTTCCACAAAAGCACAGACGTTCCCTGGCTTTTAATATCTAGCACTACTCAAAATTGGAATAGGAGAGAACTGGTTCAATTTGTAGTAAAATATATTTGGGTTAGACAATAAGAAGATTTTTTTGTCTGCTAGGAGACACTAGGAAACACCAAAGGATGCTACAATTTTTGTGTTGTTTTGTTTCTCTAGGAAATCTTTAAAGATTGCTGTCTTTACAGGGAACAATTTTTCTGGATTTAGACTGCAGAACATCTAGTTTGGGAAGAACTTTGAGGATCCTCTCAGTCAATGTTTTCCAATCTGTGTTTAGCCTCAGAAGCCTTTTCTCAAAGGGAATCTGACTCAGAGGCACAACACCCAAACCAAGGAGGCAGGGCTGTCCTGTTCTGAGTGAAGGATGGGACCAGAGCCTGGTTGCTGGTCACTGCTCTGTTCCTGCCACCAGGCCACTAGAGCTCCTTGAATCTAGTGGAGTGCTCTGGTCTTACAGAAGAGGAAACCAGAATACAGAGAGGGGAAAAGCATGGCCCAAGGTCTCAGAGCAAAATAACTCAGCACCAGGAAATTCAATTCAGCTCTTTTCAGTCCTACAGAGCTTTCCACAGACTCAGGAGCTCAGGTGAACTTAAAGACTCTTAACACCAAAAAGATGTGTTCCAGAGAATCCCATTATCCTGGTTCCCTCCAGTCATCAAGACCGGTTTACTAATGGGATCTTTATTGTAATTCACAATGACAAAACAATGAAAGTCAAATGAAGCTATCTCTAAATAATGAGCCTATAATTGTAAATGGCCTCATGATTATTATGTGTTTTGGCAGATATAAGTGGTTGATATAATGGGTTAACCCAGGGTCTCTAAGGAGTCTAACCCATTAAAGCCCCTTCTCTAGTTAAATAAGCACGTTTCTAGGCATCTGAGAACTGTTGGATGAACGAATACCTTGCTCTCCAACAGCTCACAAATTTTCTCATAGCAGCACTGTGACTGAGGGAAAATATTTGGCTGGGGTGGAGGAGGAAGGGGAAGGTGGGGAAAGATTGGGAGGGGTACATACTTGTACATCAGGCAAATATTTCTACCAATGCTCTTTAGCAAGCCAATGCAATGTAATATTTCATTATCCAGCAACAGTCACTACTAATTAGGGGCTGCCTTCTTTTCTGGGCATAAAAAAAAAATCAAATGCCATCTCCTGATCTTTCTCTGGGTCAAAGACTCCCCAGAGCCCCTATGTTGAAGTCTGGCAGCTAAGGTTAGGTTACCAGAATCCTCTACAGTTGAATGTTTATGTTCCTTGCAATTCAGTGGCGTCTGGGGGTCTTTGGTACAATTTCAGCAAATGACAACCCCTTTCACTCAGTTCTGCTTAGCTCCTTCTTGAAGTCCCTGAAAACCCCATTTCTATCTGAGATCAGATGGGGTCAGCAAGGCAAAGAGAGGTAAACAAATCCCGCCCCAGGCCATTGCTCTGCAAAGTCATTCAATGCCTTTACAACTCAACTCCTTGGCTCTCTCCCAGACTAAGATTGCTCTACCCCCCAGGCCTCTATCCCTTCCCAGGCCTCTCCCAGGCCACACTCACCTGGCTAGACTGCAATCTGTCCGCTGACCTGTTGGAAAGACAAAGGCAAAAAGCATTATGTTAAAGGAGAAGGGAGGGAGGGAGACCCACTCCTAGTAACTACCATGCCTATCTCCCCTAGAAGCCACAGTACAACAGTGTGTAGCAAAAGAGGAGAGAGAGAGAGAGACAGAGACAGACAGAGAGAGAGAGAGAGAGAGAGAGAGAGAGAGAGAGAGAGAGAGAGACAGAGAGACAGAGAGACAGAGAGAAAGAAGAGAAAGCACCAAGACCCTCTTTATGGGCAAGAACTGTTTCTGATGCTGATTCCCAGTCCAGGTCGGTCTCCCTAAACCTTAGAGCCAACTCTGCTTCCCAATGGGAACATAGGGATGGATGTAGTGGAACAATAGCAACACAGATCATACTTAATAGAATAAATTATTAGAAGCCCTCCCAGGGATGAAATTCAGCTTCTCTTATGTTGGATGTGTGTGTGGTGGGGTGGAAGGCCAAGTTTACTTGCTCCTGAGTGTACATACACACACACACACACACACACACACACACACACAGAGTTGGAGGCTGGGAGAACAAGAGGAGCTGTTTGTGGGACAGAATAGAGAAGATATGGATATTCTAGCTTGAGATTCATAGTAAATTCTCCTGTGAGGTTTGACTGAGGTGGCAAGGGAGATGGGAGATACAATGTTGATACTACTAGTAAATCATGGTTCTCAATGCAATAGTGGGCCTTAGGAGTCCAATGGGTCATTGCTAGCTTTTAAAAAAATGAAACTGAAAATCTTCAAGTTCATGAGAAGTATTCTCATGTTTTAAAAAAATATACATGCATGTCTACACGGGAAATGATGTGATACATATTGCTTTCTTTGGGTCCATAGTTAATGAAGCTTGATCTGTTTTAGACCTGCATTATTTAAACCAGGGGCAAACCCTAGCAGGTGCTGAGCCGGGGAAGTAAAAATCAGCTCCCACACTCCTCCCCATCCAAGCTCTTGCAAAGGCGACTCCAAGGGCTGGGGGAGGGAGGGCAGGGCCTTTCCTTGCCGTTAAAGGTTGGTAATTGTTGCTTATAGTTCAGCTCATCTTAAGCAATGCCATCCCCCACCCCTAACTGTCTCTCGTTACCAAAGGCTCAGCTCTTATGTGCAAAAATATTATTCTGAGCCATTATTTTCAACATCTGTTCCATTTCCATTCTGGAATATTCATACACATCAATTATTCCTCTATGGCAAGAACAAGGGACTCCTGCATTCTGGTGACAAATACATTCAGAAGGCAGGGACGTGATGACTTGCACGCATAAAGATTTATAGTTTTGTTTTTTTCTTTATTGCTAGAACTTGTCATCTTTAGATTAAGGCAATTTGCAGCACTAATGAATGGTCAGCCTTCGTTCCTCCATAGTAGCACATTTAGTGCATAAATGTGTGAGTAAACCCATTCACTCACACACACAAGTATGAGCGCATATGCATTTGTATGACCCCAAGGCCCTGCTCTCTGTCTTACTTATGGACTATGCTTAGACTGTCTTGATTCTCCGTGGAGCAATCTGATAACCCTAGAGTAAAGATTTTCTATAAGCAAAGTTTGGTCCTCAGTGCCCGAACTTGTTTCGTCTGAGTCCTTTTGGTGGTGAGGAAGAGAGAACAGAAATTATCTAACAGGTTTTCTTCACATAAAAGAAAATGCCTTAAAAGTCGTAAGATTGGGCTGGGCACAGTGGCTTACACCTGTAATCCCAGCACTTTGGGAGGCTGAGGCAGGCAGATCACCTGATGTGAGGAGTTTGAGACCAGCCTGGCCAACATGGTGAAACCCCGTCTCTACTAAGAATACAAAAAAATTAGCCAGGCGTGGTGGTGGGCACCTGTAATCCCAGCTATTCGGGAGGCTGAGGCAGGAGAATTGCTTGAACCTGGGAGGCGGAGTTTGCAGTGAGCCGAGATCACACCATTGCACTCCTCTAGCCTGGGCGACAGAGCAAGACTCCATCTCAAAAAAAAAAAAAAAAAAAAAAAAAAAAAAAAAAAAAAAAAAAAAAAAGGTCGTAAGATCAGCCATGCATGGTGGCTCATGCCTGTAGTCCCAGCACTTTGGGAGGCTGAAGTAGGTGGATCACCTGAGGTCAGGAGTTTGAGACCAGCCCGGCCAAAATGGCAAAATTCCGTCTCTACTAAAAATACAAAACTTACCCAGGCGTGGTGGCACATGCCTATAATCCCAGCTACTCAGGAGGCTGAGGTGGGAGAATCGCTTTAATCCAGGAGGTGGAGTTGGCAGTGAGCCGAGATGGTGCCACTCCACTCCAGCCTGGGTGACACAGCGAGACTCCATCTCAAAAAAAAAAAAAAAAAAAAAATCATTAGATAAAAGATTAGAGAAAAAAAACTAATCATCTGGGAAATCATCCAAGGCAGGAAAAGGACAGGGCAAAAAAGGTGGGTAGGAGGCTCTGGTATAATAAGAAGTGAGGCTCCAATTCCTGGGGCCAATGAGCCAAGGAGTACTGCACACTTTCCTAAACTTTGCAGTTTGTCTGAAGAGTGCTCAATAATTTATTTTAAAATGTCAGATCTCTGTGTAAGTACAGGCTTGCCTGTAACTGAAGTTAGCCATATTCCCTGCAGCTTCTCCCTTCCTCTCCCCCCTATCTTTAAGTGAGGAGATTAGTGGGACAGGGAGGAGGGGTGGGGCATTTAGAGGCATCCCCAACTTGGGACTCCCATTAATCATAGGATGCTGAGAGCTAGGCAGGAAATCTGGGCAGGGTGCCAAAAAACCCTGGGGAAGCTTCTCTTTCAACCTCCACCTTCTGTTTGACAGTTGAGGAGAGAAAGTCCAGAGTGCCAGTCCAGTTCTCTGCCTTGCTACTTTCCAGGGTCTGGTTAAAATCATTCTATGAGACAAGACAGTCCATTCAGCACCATGGCCTCAGTATAGCCACAGGAGAGAGGGCTGCCACTTAAACAGCATTAAGAGCTTTCAAAGCAGAAAGAAACTGACGCTCTTTCTGGAAGCTATAGAAAGCGGCAGCCTGTCCATCTCCTGCATTTGAGAATTCTCTCCTCTCAGAGCAGCTGCGTATCTCATCTCATGGCTCCCTACCTTCTTGCTCCAGTCTCAGTGCTGCCACAGAGGAGCTAGAAGTTTTAACAAAGTGTCTGGAGAATAAATAACCCCTCAGCCTCTCTACCCTGAAGTGGCAGAGGAGGCAAGGGTGGGGGGACTGGGTGGAGAGCAGGCACGCTCCATTTAAACAAATAGATGATACACGTTAGTGCTTCATTAAGCATTGGCCTTTTCCCATTACTCAAGCAGTCATTTGGGGCGTGTGCTTCCACATCAAACAAGCCAGGAAAAGAAAGGCATTCATATAACAAGACCGGGTCCACTTGGCTGAGGATGGAGGCATGTGCTCAGCAAGAAAGCTCCAGCTGGCCTCACTGTCAAGCCTCCAGCAGAGGGTTCCCACACTCACTTTCTCCCAGGGTTTTCTGCAGAAGGTCATGCTTGGCTTGTAACTTGGTGATGAGGTTCCTGCCCTCCAGGTACTCTTTCATTTTCTGTAAGAGAGGAGGAGGAAAAAGAGCAATCAGACTCCTGAAGAAGAAAAAAAAAAATCACAGATGCTCAGCTGAACAATTCCCCTTTACAGAGGTCATTTGGTGTCTGACCCAATTTCTACCAGTCCATTTTTTAATTTCTTTAAGGCACTGATCATATGGGCAGCTGTTGATTTTCATGGTGGATTAATATCCTTCTCCATGTTTTTTCTAGGAGTTCCATGATGGCCAGTATAAAGAAACTGTTTCCTAGAGCCCCTCTCCCGCAGTTTCACTGAGGAAGAGCAGGGAGGGTGGATGAACTCCTTGAGCCCTGGTCTTCTTGGTGTGAGGACACACACCTGCTATCTGTCACCTCTACTGACATCCTGCCCTGCCCTGGCCTCTTGGCAGGAGGGGGAGGGCACTCCATCACACTAGGAGCAGTGCCAGTGGCAGGCTCAGTCCCTGCCTCAGCTGTAAGCCTGGGATGTGGAGCATCTTTGAGCCATATCCTCAACAGCTTCCTTCTCTATTCTGCATGGAGTCTTTATGGAAAGCTTTGGATTTCTGAGCACTCAGTGGAAGGGGCTGCCATCCCCCACTTGCATACACACATCCAGGTCCAAACACAAATGTGATCCCACCTGCTCTCACAGTCAAAATATGACTGCTGTGCTGCACTTTCAGATTTGTTCTCTCTCAACCCTCGTCTGCCCAGTGAGAGATCGTACGTCCCCAGACAATTCACTGAATCTTCAAAACAACCCTAGGCAACTATCATCATCATCATCATCATCATCATCTCCATTTTACACATGAGAGCACTGAGGTTTCGAGAGTTTAATTAAGTTGCTCAAGGTCAAACAGTTAGTGAGTGGTAAAGTCAGTATCCAAATACAGGCAGTTTGACAATGCAGCGTGTGCTCTTAACCATTATGACAAAATGTCCCATCCATCATGGTACAGAGCAGGAGAAGGAGAGAAGCAGAACTAAACTTCATAGTATTAACGCTCTATGCATGCAGCAACATAGCAGGTTTTAGAGCACTTTACCACATATTCTCTCATTTGACTCTTACGATAAATAACTGCACAGCATATAGGGAAGATATTACTTCCTTATTACAGACAAGATGATCTCAGGGGAGGTGAGGTATCAAATAAACTGCTGAGAGTTGCAAGCTAGCAAGTGGTAGTGTCAGGCCCAACCCAAGGCCTTTGGATTTTTAAAGTATCTTTTCCGCTCTCCTCCACAGCCATTCTTGGGGTCTTAGTTTGCCTTGATCGCCTCCTGCTGCAGTGGTTTATCCTCCAGATCAGGGGCTATCTGCCTACGTCTGAACTCAGAAGTCAAATGGCCAGGTTTCCCAAAGTGTGATCCGTGAATTACTGGTGACATGTGAGATCACTGAGGTAGTTAGGTGGATGCACCATTTTAAATGGTAATAGTTCTGTCTGTCTTTTAATGTATATTAAGTAAAACATATAATTATACATCAAACCTTTGATTTCACTTAGGATTAAGAGTGATAGAAAGAAAAGGTGAACAGGGCCAGGTGCGGTGGCTCAGGCCTATCATCGCAGTACTTTTGGAGGCTGAGGCAGATGGATCACTTGAGGACAGGAGTTTGAGACCAGCCTGGCCAACATGGTGAAACCCCATCCCTAACAAAAAACACAAAAATTAGCCGGGCGTGGTGGTGAGTGCCTGTAATCCCAGCTACCTGAGAGGCTGAGGCGGGAGAATTGCTTGAACCTGGGAGGCGGAGCTTGCAGTGAGCCAAGATCGCACCACTGCACTCCAGCCTGAGCAACAGAGCAAGACTCTGTCTCAAAAAACAAAAACCAAACAAAAAAAGAAAAGTGAACAAATGTGAGTTACTTTTACTCTATACTTTTCTGTACAATGTGAACTTTTAACTAAGAGCTTGCATCTGATTCTTTCTCTTGTTTAAAAACAAAAGAAAAATCTGCTTTCTCTGGGACACAGTGCCTAGCCCTCCCATGTTCACCCAGATGGTCCTGTGGGTACCATGCAAATCTCCATGACAGCACTTCTCATACAGCCCGGTCACAGAGGGTTTATTACTCATGTGTCTTTTTCTCCAGACTGCTTCCTCCCTATGGTCAGAGACCATGTCATTTATTATTCTTTGCACCCCTGATAGTACCACGCCTAGCAGATAGCAGATACTCAATAAATGCATGATGAATAAATGAATGAGCAGTCTCACTCTCCTCTGGGTAGACCCTTCCTCAGCAGTCACAAACCAAGCCCCTAGTGTGCCCGTACTCACTGAATTAAAAATAAAACAAGCCAAAACCAAATCTTACTCCAAATCATTTCTACTGCCTTATTCATGATCTGTTCTCTCTGTGCCTTTATGCTTTTGCACAAGAACATCTGCAAGGAGAGAGGCTCTGTTGTCACCTTCCCTTTTCCATCTGTTCCAGATGCCAGCTCACCTGCTATCATTCTACCCGGGGTAATATCCGAATCCCCAACCAATGCCTAATTGTGGATTTGAAACAGTACTTTAGGGCCCAGAGGTGGAAAGCCTTCAGGAAATATCTATTGCCAACAATGCAAGCCTCAAAAGCCTCTCTCTTTGGAAGGTTATCCCAGGAGACTCTAAAGGTTTCCTAATGAGGAAAATTCACCAATAAACTGTAACCCTCAAAACAAGACCAGACTGCTCAGATAAACAGCTAGAGTTCTCAAAGGAGATGGAGGCAAATTCCTTCTTCTCACTACTTGTGATTCCGGAAATCAATTTTTTAAATTCATGTTCACAATTCATTAGTTAACTCTGGCTGTCACTTGATGAACCATTAAAATAAATAACAATCTCGTCAAGATGTATGACAGATTACCTCTTCGGGTTCCATTAAATCCTGAAGGATCATAACTGTGTCAAGGTATGAACTGCATCCCTAATACTGGTGTGGAAACCATGGTTGGAGTTTTCCATCCAGGTAAGCCAGGTATGGAAAGGTAAAGGCATCTCAGAGTCTGCAGGCATGTTATTTTATTTATCACTCCTCCATACCACCCATAAGTCAGCATTTATCCATATGAGAGACTTGCTGGGGATAAGTGACCTTGTCTTTAATTCGTGGAAGTGAGTTAGAAGGCTTCTATTGCTGCTCGACAGACACACAGAGAAAGGAGCTGAGACCGCTGAAGAAGGCAAGGGAAGAATAGGTGGTTTTTAATGATTTCTGGAGATAAGGGGGGCCAGGAAAAGGGATGCTTATAATCTCCAATCTCAAAATTCCTTCTTTGGGCAACGAGGATCACTTTCCTTACTTAGGGCATGTTCCAATATTAGGTAATTCTTTTTCGTTCCTTCACCAAACACCCAAAATCAAAGTGGCTACCTGGGGTTTTCCTCAATGAAGGAGCAAAAGAACAGGTAATATTTTATTCTAGGTATCACCAAAATAAAATCAAGTTCCTAAAACACAATCTGACCAGTGCCCACCCCCAACAACTTTCACACTTTATCAAAACTGAGAATTTCTTCAAAAAGTAGGAAGGGCGGCAAAGAGTCTATTGGGCATTTTGTTTAGTGCCATTGTGAAACTTCAACTCAGTTTTTATGACTCATTAATTCATTTCCTAATAATTCCTAATTGGATATTAACTGTCAGCAGTGAGTTTTGTTTATTGAAAAGTATTAATATAATAACTTTTCTTTCTGCACTTTCCCTCCTTGATAGATGCTTTAGTTGCATTACAATGAAAAAGCATGAGTTGGAATATTCTAGTCCTACCACTTACTAACTCTTCTAACCTTGGGCAAATCATTTAACCCCCTGAGTCTTAGTTTTTCCATCTGAAAAATGAGAATATTTTTTTCACAAGGTTGGTGAGAATGAAATTGGATAATAAGCATTACTGTGATTAGCACAGGGCCTGGCTTCCTTATACCTGAATCACCTCCTCAGTGAGCCTAAAAGCATCCCTTCCCTAAGTGTCTTTGCTTTGTGCTAAAACAAAAGCAGAATGAAAGCAGAAGGTTTTGGGCCTTAAAAAAGTCGTAAGAGGCACTAGAATGCTTTTCAAATTTCATTTTTAAAAACCTCTTCCCTTTAAATACACTCTTACCATGGGGGTATAAAACTCACTGGATGTTGCTTATGCCTTGGATTTAATCTGTGTGAACCTAAGACCCTAAGTATCCACTGTAGCAAGGCAGGAAAAGTTAGTACACCTACCCAGCCCATGCTCAGAGATATCCAGATGTCATTATAGTGGCTGTTTCCCCACCATGCAGGCATGCTGACATTTCCCCTTCTCCCGGCAGTTTTTAAAATAGGAAACAGCTGTCAGATAGAATACATAATAGAGTAAACCTTAAATGGAGCATATCTCCCCAGTTTAATTGACAGCACAGGGGCATTCACTCATTTGTACTCGCCAGCACACGTTTACCAAGGGCCTGCAAGAAATACCAAGATAAAAAGATCTCAGACCACAAGTTCCAAGTCTAGTGGTCGCTCATTGCCCCAGTGGCCAAGGCATTGCCTCCTCTTCTATTACCTTCCCTAAACCTGTCCCTAAGAATTCAGACTGTTTAGCTTTGTTACCTTATCAGCCATGATCCTTAACCCCTTCACTGCTCTATCCCCATACAATAACCTAATTCTCCAACTCCCTATAAAAGGAAATACTTAGGCTGGGTGTGGTGGCTCATGCCTGTAATTCCAGCACTTTGGGAGGCTGAGGAGGGCGGATCACAAGGTCAGGAGTTCGAGACCAGCCTGGCCAACATAGTGAAACCTCGTCTCTACTAAAAATACAAAAAATTAGCTGGGTGTGGGGGTGGGTGCCTATAATCCCAGCTACTTGGGAGGCTGAGGCAGGAGAATCGCTTGAACCTGAGAGGCAGAGGTTGCAGCGAGCTCAGATTGCGCCATTGCACTCCAGCCTTGGGCTCTTGGGCAACAAGAGCGAGGCTCGGGCTCCAAAAAACAAAGGAAATACTTAGGAAAATGCCAGCCTTATAAAGCTTTGGTAAACCTTGGCTAAACAGCGAGCATCACTGCCTGTGAGGAGGGAATTTGCTAAACAAATGATGGCATATTCATACAGTGGAATTCTGTCCAGCTATTTAAAAAGGAGGCAGATCTTTTTGGACTAACATGAAAATAAGATCCAAGATAAATAATGTTAAAAAAGTGAAGAACGCTATAAGTGGTATACTTCTACATCTACTTCCATTTTCTTTCATTACATTTCTAATGTAATTTATTGCATTAAAGGGTATTTACAGATACGTCAGTTGTTGTCCATGCAGAGTATCTCTGGAAGGACACAGAAGAAAGTGGTTTCAACCACCAGCAGAGGGGAGGGGAAAGAGGAGTCAGGAATGAAAAGAAACTTTATAGTAGGTTTTCCTGTATACCCTTTTAAATCTTTGCATCCTTTAAAAATACTGATTTTTAACAATCACAATAAAAAAGGCTATGGGTAAAGAGTAGACATTGCTGAACTATGTGTTATAGAAGATAAGCAATAAACACAAAGCCAAGAAAATCAGGAAACATGTCACCACTGAGGGCAAATAAGAGGCGAAAGTTGCTGAGCTGTTCCTGAGCCCTTCCCTTCACCTCTGCTTCTTCCACAGCGTGTAGAGAAGCAGCCTGTGGCCAGAGACCCAGTAATCAGAGCAGTAGGTCCAGCTTTTGTGAGCTACCCATTCTCTCTGGATTTATTGATTGATTGACTGATTGATTGAGATGGAGTTCCGCTCTTGTTGCCCAGGCTGGAGTGTAATGGCGTGATCTTGGCTCACTGCAACCTCCGCTTCCCGGGTTCAAGCGATTCTCCTGCCTCAGTTTCCCAAGTAGCTGGGATTACAGGCATGTCCCACCATGCCCAGCTAATTTTTTGTATTTTTAGTAGAGACAGGGTTTTTCCATGTTGATCAGGCTGGTCTTAAACTCCCAACCTCAGGTGATCTGCCCACTTTGTCCTCCCAAAGTGCTGGGATTACAGGCGTGAGCCACCGCACCCGGCCAGATTTATTTATTTATTTATTTATTTTTATTTATTTATTTTGAGATAGAGTCTCGCTCTGTCGCCCAGGCTGGAGTGCAGTGGCCGGATCTCAGCTCATTGCAAGCTCCGCCTCCCAGGTTTACGCCATTCTCCTGCCTCAGCCTCCCAGGTAGCTGGGACTACAGGCGCCTGCCACCTCGCCTGGCTAGTTTTTTGTATTTTTTAGTAGAGACAGGGTTTCACCGTGTTAGCCAGGATGGTCTCGATCTCTTGACTTCGTGATCTGCCCGTCTCGGCCTCCCAAAGTGCTGGGATTACAGGCTCGAGCCACCGCACCTGGCCAGATTTATTTATTTTTTAATCTTTCTCTCTCTCTCTCTCTCTCTCTCTCTCTTTCTCTCTCTCCTCTCTCTCTCTCTCTCTCCTCTCTCTCTCTCCCCCCACTTTCTTTTAAGGCAGAGTCTTACTCTGTCACCCAGGTTGGAGTGCAGTGACATAATCCTGACTCAATGCAACCTCTGCCTCCTGGGTTCAAGTGGTCCTCCCACCTTAGCCTCCTGAGTAGTTGTGATACTGTCCTGTGATATGCGCCCATGACCACACCTGGCTAATTTTTGTATTTTTAGTAGAGACAGGGTTTCACTATGTTGTCCAGGCTAGTCTTGAACTCCTGACCTCAAGAGACCCACCTGCCTCAGGCTCCCACAGTGCTGGGATTACAGGCATGAGCCACCATGCCTGGCCTATTTAGTTTCTAATTTTTCAAATACGAAGGTTGGGTTAGGTAATTTTAAAAAATCACTTCAAGTTTCTTCACTCCACAATTATTTTCCTGAGACTCCTGCAAGAAACTCATCTTTACAGGTCATGCCTCACATTCCCAATTGATGTCATCTGGGCAAATCAGTCCAATGAGAGCCATAAGTGGTCAGAAAGCTTTCTTAGCAGCCCTCTTGGTCACTAGGCACACTACCCAGGAGTCAAGCGGTGACAAGAGACTGCTTCCTAACCTTCCAAAAGATAGGATCTTCCAGGATGTGCTGCTCTGATGTTTTTGAAGGGCATAGGGAAACACACAGGCAATGTTTGCAGAGGCAACAGACTAAAGAAAGCACATCTGTAGTTGTATTGGCTTTGTGTGGGTTGTATGGTCAAACAGGTAGTCACTCTGCTTAATGTGGGTATCCCATTTTCCATAAATGTCTATTTCACCACCCCAAAAAGCTCCTTTTATCATGAAATTAATCATCCGATGCAAAGTACCAGTCACAAAAATGATGAACTTGCACAGAATCCCACTGCTAGACAAGCCCAGACAAAAACTGTTCCTGTTAGCCAAGGAAATTTGCACACAATTTTGATAAGTGGCACTAGGGCCACCACATAAGACAGGAAATAGATTAGAGGACATCAGTGTATTGAGACAGAAAGTGAAAGGGTGGGCAGAATTTGCGAGGTCACCAGTTTGAATACGGCCATTCCTGCTTTTACTAAAGGTCAACTTAGAATACAAATGTTACAGAATTCATTTAAAGCCAAAAAGCAATTCTGACAACGACTGTCTTAAAATTCAAGATTTTTAGGTCCAAAATTTCTTACTTAACCTAAAAAATGGAAATCTTCACAATGTAATGAGATTGGGTCATTTAAATAGTGTTATATCTATGCAGTCCAGACAAACCAGCTAAACAATCCTATTATTAAAAGCCTCTAGAGAGTGTTCAACAAGCTCCTTAGATAATGAAGCTTGGGGCAGCGACACATCCCTCATTATAGTCAGAAAGTTATCTTAACGTGTGAGTCAGGTTATTGCGTGCATTTATGTTTTCCCACATGCTGCTCTTTCCTCAAGGAATGCGATTCTCCTCCCCGACTCCCTGCCTGGTTCGCTTATTCTTCAAGATCAAACACAAAAGTCACTTTGTGTGTGATGCTTCCCCAACTCCACTCATCCTGGCTGCCATTCATGCACTAGTGCATGTATGCATTTTTACATTTTTTAAACTACAAAAATCAACCTATTTTAACTGTTCAGATATATATGAAGTAAAAATGGAAGTTCTCCCTTTACATGACCCATCCCCCATCATTTCCCTCTTTATCTTATACTCTCAGCATTCCCAGCTTGTAGCACAGTGTCTGGCAATAGTAAATCCTCAAAAACTGATCAATGAATAATTTAATAATGATTAATAAATAAATTAATGATGATGGTGAAGATAAAGTTTTAGCATTTATTGAACGCTAACTACAAACCACAGAGTGTATTAAATATTTTACAAAAATCAATGAATGAGCTAAAATGCCATTCTATTATTTTTTTGTATTGGTTTTAATATTTTACTCAGAAGTGTGCTTAAAGAATATTATAATTATATGACTTAGATTGTAAAACAATATGTATAGCAGTATCCTATTTTTTAGAATAAAAGTATAAATATGTGCTCACATATGTGTTTGTGCACGTATAGGAAACAGATTAGAAAGGAATATATTCTAATACCATTATCTCTAGCTGGTAGAATTACGGACAATTTTTATTTCCTTTCTTTTGCTTCTAAATTTTATATAATGAGCATATGTGGCTTTGTATAATCATTTTTTAAAAGTTGTTTTAGAAGAATAGTACTGATACATCATTCCCTTTTAGCAGTTTTCTCTAGGATAAAAAATATGAGGAAGTCTGAGCTTAATTAAAAAAACAGATTTCTTTAAAAAAAAGTTAGCAAATCTTCAGTGTTCTTAATGCAGAAAAGGCAGTGTTCAAAGAAGAATTAAACAAATCACTCCCGTTGCAGGAAAAATTCAATTTACTGCATGCAGACTGTTTCTTGACTGAAAAAAAGTTAATTCCTTTCATTCAGAATCAGTATGCATATTCACTGGCTATATTTCATCTCACATCTGCAAACTTAATTTTTCCTTTCTTGGTCATCAGAAGATTAGGAAATAAATTTTAGCCCAGGCAATAGATCCTACTTGGCAAGCTCAAAATAACTCACTTATTAAATAGCAGCACCAAAGACCAGTAGCGGACTTCCAAAGGACTGTTAACAATACTTAAAAAAAAAAAAGGAATTAAAGGCTCCAACTGTCTAAAAGAAGACTAGAGATACATGAATAAGAAAATACGATGTTTTGGAATTATGTGCAAAATAGTAATGCTGCATATAACCCATCCTTTAAGTTTTAGCAATAATTAGAAAAAATAGTTTCCCAACATTGAAAGTTATAAAATAATGTTATCATATTGTCTAGAAAAGATTATAGATTTTTAAAAACAAAACATGTGTTATCATGAATATTTGTATGTACTTTCCAAGAACTAAAAGATGAAGTTCCCCTTTCAGGATCCCCTGTGCCTGAGAAGGAAACTTTCCAGTGAAAGCCTACTAGCTAGTTAAAAATTTCTTAAAAAAGGAAATCTTCTGAGTAGTATACTTGGGAGCATCCTTTTTCTTGGGGGGATCCCTGCTAGACATATACAACTTATAAATGCTTGCACCTTTAAGTGTAGGGATGGTCTCTGAGTATGCCCACATTCATATCTAAGATATTCAACGCCTATCCTTCGGACACTTAACAAGGACTCTGAGTTCCAAATCTCCCTGAGTGCTGCAGTGCATGCTGACGCTCTTTAAAAGCCATAGTGCTCCCTTACTGTGAAATAAAACTGCTCTGTCTCTTGCTGGTTGGCTCTCCTCTTAGCAATGCTGGGCTTGCTCATGAAGGTTTCGGACACTGTGGACTTGACGGACTCCATGGAGTTGCTGTACTGGAAGCAGTCAGACACATCAAAGTCCTCGACAGTCACAATGTCCTGGATGGTTTGCAGGGTGGCCTCCATTGTCTTCTTTACCTGCCACGACAAGGGTCAACAGGATGCATGAAGGGTGGGTTGTAAAACAGCAGGTGATGGAGAAGCTTGAAGGGAGTGGGCTGGGGAAGGCCAGAGGATGCCATCAGAATGTGCAGCTCTGCTTCCCACTGGACAGTGCTAAGTGAGAGGTAAACATCACATGGACTCTGTTACAGCATGATACTCTCTACGGTGAAAACCTAAAAGCCACTACAACTCTTCATGCTATGTACTTGACCCAGATCTTTTAATGTTTACTTTTAAAATTTAATATTAGCATTTTTATATCATATAGCAATATTATATTATATATTATATTTTAATGTTTACTTTTACAATTTAACATTAGCATTATTATAATATTATATAGCAATATTATAATAGAAGTGTTAAGGGAAAGAGGATAAATATATCTAAACCAACCCCCTCATACAAACAGCTAATTAAAATGTGTGATGGGCCTAGCACTGCAAAGCCCCAGGTTCTGTTTCATGACCTTCAACAAACTGATGAATTTGTTTGCTCATTTGCAAACTAAGTGACCTATCCCTACTTCTTCCTGATCTTCCTGCGAAAAGTAAGACTTACTGAGACACAAGGTAAGAAGCCATCTGAGCTCAATAGAAAGCTGGATCACCTGCCCTTTTGAACTGCTTTTTGAAAGCAAATACACTGAGCCCAGAAGAAACTCACCCTTTCCTAAGAGGATGGAGATGTTTGAAGTGTCAAAGTCAAAGGCCTCTGTTTGTTTGAACATGCTAGACAAAGCTAGGCATGAGGAGGTGGTTTCAGAGACACAATATTGTTCACACAGCTGCCAAGTGCCATTTTGATTAAATGTGTAGAGGGGAACAAAAAGCATTTCGCAAAAGCTCAAAATAGAGCACAACCTTTGGCAATGCAAGAGCAACTTCCTGGAGTTCAAGGGCAGGATGTAGCAGAGGGGGAAAGTCCAAGCCTACATTTGGCTAGGAAATGTTTGCGGCCGCCCGGACATTCTCTGCATGCTCCTTCCACCTGCTCCCAGACGGGCAGCAGCAAAAGTTTCAACAGGGAAACTCAGAGTGTGGCTTTGAGCCTCCTAAGGAGGAAACTCACCTCTTCGTTTTCAATCTTTAGAGTGGATAAGCGAGACTGCAGTTGTTGGCATCTCTGTACCAGCTCACTCTGGACAGGCTGCTGGGCACAGAGCTGGGAAGCCTAACAAAAGAAAGCAACACCAGGTCAGAAAGAGGATACAGTCCCCTTGGCAGTTCCAGAGTTCCCATTACTGGCAATGAAACTACCCATTTTCAAGGTATAAGGCTCGTGGTTTCTATGTTGAAGCAAAATCCAAAGCCAACTTGTGTGAGCCTCTTCCAGGACCAAACAGTACATGAAAGGAATGGGTAGGGGGATCTGTTTGGAGCCCGGCAGGGGTAGGTCTATGTAGGGTCTGCAGCTCCATGGAAGGCTGAGGAGGCTGGAGAAGAGTGCCTCAGGCAGCCCCAGCTCCAGAAACACAATGCTTTGGCACAGCGAATATTTCCTGCCGAAAGTCCAAGTGGCCACCTCTCTGGCCCCTCCCTCATCCCCCTTCATACATCAGAGTGAAAGCAGGAGAGAAGTGGGTCAGGAGGCTAACTTGCTGCTGCTGGCAGCCAGCATGTGTTTATAAATCCAGGCCATGCATGACAGCTCTGATTCAATGAGAAAGCGTGAAACCAGGAACAAGTTGGTCCCCTATGCTAGAGGGCCCGAGAGGGTATGGAATCTGAAGGAGCTTGGCATTTTCCAAAGAGCCAACATTTTACCCCAGGCCTTCCCTAGAGCTGTAAGAGAGGAGTCTGCCTTTCCCACAAGGATTATTACCAATTAGCTTTCCCTTGTGTGAAGGAATGGCTGCTCCACTGTCTCCTGTTGGGGATGTGGTTATGGGATGAGGTCATCCACAGTCCCCTGGATGACAGATGAGGAGCAGAAGGCTGAGAGAGTTGGGAGGCAGGACTCATGTGGAGACAGCTCCTGTCACCTTGTTACCGTTCGTCCTTTAGCCTCTTGTCTGCAGAGAGACATCTGGATAGAAATGGCCTCCTTCCTCCTCAGCAACGAGTGGGCACATTCACATGCCCACGGACCATTCCCTTGCTTGAAAAGACAAAACCTCTCTTCAAATGGAGGGGGCTGGGACTTGACCTTTTCCTCCATTGGCTTTTAAGCTCCCAACTGACTTGACCTCCTCCCCCAGCTGAGAGGCTGGTCTGAGCCAGCTCTCAGATCTGAAGAGAGCTGACTTCACTCTAACTCTTGGATAAGCAGACACAATGGAGAAAGCTCAGTGGCCAGAACCGGTTAGTGCCAAGAGGGAAATTCTCTGGCTGCCTGATGTCACCAGTCAGGCATCCAGAGTCCCACAGCCTCTGAGGGCACCAAAAATGGAGCCAAGTACCTCCTCCTAGTACATCTGAGAGCACTTGGCATCAATTCATATGCTGCGCACCCCAGAACACCAGTTAGTGTGGGGCCTTGGCCAATTTCAAGGCTTCTGGTCAAAATGCCACCCGATCTTTGGCCCTAATTCAACGACTTGCAGGCAGCTCCCTCCTGTTGCCTCCACAATCTGCAGACAACCCACACTGATGGGGACAGACTGGCTGCAGAGGCCAAGAATGACCCACCCTCTCATCTCTTTTTATTTTCACTCATATGAAGGCTAGGCTAGAATGCGGAACCTTCACAAGCTCCTGAACTGGTCCTGGCCCCTGCCTGGCTCAGCCACTGATCAGCTATATCACATAAAGAGAGCGCCCCAGCAGAAGAGTGAGCTATTGATTTTTAAAGTAACCCAGATCTAGCAGAGAGGAATCATGGAAGGAAAAACCACCTCCAAGCCTGTTCCTTTAAGAAGTAGCAGAGCTGATGATGATGCATGCTTTGGCAGTGGTCCGCTACCAGGGTGCAAGGTAATACACTTCAGCTGCGCTCTGGAGTATGGAAATAAGACACTGACAGGGGGAGGTGGGGGCCTGAGCACCCAGCATCTGGAATCCTCCTTTATGGAGACAAGCTGTTTGGCTCAGAAGGCAACTCAGTCACTAGCACCAGAAAATGTATCATTCCACTCAGCTGGTCCCCACGTTCCACTGATCCCTGGGAAGGAATCTCAGTGACAGCTGGAGAAGGGGCTTGGAAGGCAAGTTTGACCAGAAGCCAGGGCAGGTGAAGAATGGGACTTCCTGAGGCTTGGTGACACCCCTTCCCCCAATTCTAATTGCACATGCTATCATCTCACTTCTCCATCTGTTCAGACACTGACATTTCCTAAGTCACAGCAATGGAAATGAACTGTAAATGGTTTGATTTTCCCCAAGAAGGAAAGAAAGGAAATCAACTCCACATTTCTGTCTCTAGGACAGTGTCTCACTCTCCATAGAGGCCAACTGACGACAGCAAATCCTCTGGTTCCACTGCCACAGCTGTCATTCTGGAGCGGAGATTTCTAGAGTCTGGATGCTAATCTTGAGAGAAGCATCATTCCTGATGAGCACACATGTTGCTGTTATTTGGTCCCCTGGCGTCCACTCCTCCTTCTTTTGGTAGCTTTGGTCTGACTACCCTTAGCGAGGGGAACCTCCCACTCCACAACTCAGGCCATGTGCTTTGCATGGACCCAGGCATAATCACTTCACCCAATCAAAACCAGAGACACATGAAACTTTGTGGGGGCTTTGAGGAGGGAGGCAGAGACTCTTTCCACTAGATTTCAACCTACCAGGGAAGGCTGGAAATGCAGTCACCTTGCCTCCATGGGAGAATGACCTATCTGAGAATGGAGCTAACACACAGGAAGTAGTGCAGAGACAGCAAAACAGTGTCTTGGTAAAATTCCTCCTCCTAAAGCCAACTATACTCAAAGGTCCATCTTGATCTTTTCTATCACATAAGCCTATAAAACCTCCTTCTGATTTCACCAATAGGTGAAATGGTGGCTCCTACCCACAGGAATGAGGTTCACTCTGGCTCGTACACACAACAACACAAGTGGAACCAAAAGATTCAGAACGATGAAAACCCAGGAGCTTCTCTTGCCTCTCACTTTAGTGTATTTAGGCCCTTCTTATTCTAGTCACTGGAGGTGAAGAGTCCAAAACAAGGCCCCCATGTTCATGCTCCCCTGTCTGGGCAACCAGCATCAGGCCTTTGGGATGGCATCTTAGCTCCTTTCCTTCCTGCAGGTACCCATTCTTTTTTGTTCAATACTCAAGCAAAACTATACACTTCATCACAGTCTTCTAAGTTCAGGAGAATAAGATTATTCAGAACTCTGCCAAATGCCAAAAGATCACAACATTCCCTGCCTAGCTGTCGCTTCTCCACTAAAGCCTCTAGGATGTGGCCCCACTTCAGCTCTCATTTCTTCTAGCCTCACCACTGGGAGCACTCCCCTCCCTCACTTTCCTTTCACCATCCTGAACTGTTGGTAGTTTTTAGAATACACCTGCTGTTTTTCACCTTCTTTGATCCTGCTGGGCCCCTTTGGATGCCCCTCTCTGTGCATAGTTCTAACTCTCCCCTTAGTGACCTTATTCCCCAGACTGTAAGCTCCCCGAGGGCTTTAATCTCCCATGTCTGCAGCCAAGCCCGAGTGTCTGACAGCATGCACTCATTAAGTGTTTGCTGAGTAAGTGGAATATGCCTCACCCACCTGACAAGAAGCTGGGCCCAGGCCTCTCCCACCCCAAAATAATGTGGCTTCTGTATAATGAATCTAGACAAGTCCACTCAAGCCCATGGAGGGTGGAGGTAGAGGGAGAGGGCCTCACCATATCCCCCATGTGGGGCTGAAACTCAAACTTCATAGGGGGACAGAAGACGTTGTTGTACATCTCCATGAGGCGCTGCTTGTCACTGGTGGCATCCAGGTTTTCTACTGCATTCTCGATGGCATCCAGACCCTCATGCTTCGACTGTTCCAGGTTTAACTCAGCAGAGAGGAAGGTGCGTAGAGCCCGGTTCAGACTTGCATGGTAGCCTAAGTCACAACACTGCTGTGGGAAGGAGAAGGCACATGAGCACACCATGGACAGCCCCAAGGCTTGGCGGAAATGGAGCGTGGTCCTGAGGGCAGATCTGACCACATCAATAAGCCTGGCTGTGTAGTGGAAAGAGGGCTGACATTCTGACTTCCAAGGCCTGGGTGAGAGTTCTCAGTTCTTGATTCCCAATTCAATGGTTAAACACACCCTAGAGGGCTGTGAGGTGGTTGGGAGGAAGAAGATTCATAAGATTAAATGACATTATTTAATTAAGTGCTATTTCATAAACATGAGAAGAATTGAGAGTTAAAAAGAATCCTCTTTCATTTTTAGGTTTATCTGGGGTTGCCATTATAACAAAATTCAACAATAAAATACAACCTGCCACTCACTGAGGGTTACTGTGGTTAAATCACTATATAGCAACCAAGCAAGGCGATTTCAGGGTTCTGAAAGCAGAGTATTGCAACAGCAGCTAATGTATGCAAGCTCAACTCTAGATGGGAGAAGGACAGAATAGGGAGCTGACTCTGTGGGTCATCATTCCCACCAACTCCCAACATCCTAGGATAGGCCTTAGCTGCAGACTAAGGTTTACTGACATGCCTCCTCCTTCCTGGCATCTGACAACAGATGCCCCTGCACTACAGAAATAGCATTTACAAGACTAAAAAGCTCTACGCATAAGTGTTACTGGAAAAATTCATGCCATGTAAAGGATTCTGATTTTTTACAACAAAATGCAAAATGAAAATGGTATGAAAGAGGCAACTGTATAAAAAAAGCACTGGCGCAGAATCAAGCAACCTTGGAAAAGCCACTCCCCTTCTCTAAACCTGTTTCTTCCATAGTAAAATGAACAGATTTGGCCAGGCCAGTGGCTTTCAAGCAGTACACCAGAGCCGGCACTGAAGCTGCCCTTGAGAAGTGGGTAAAAGGACAACCCAACTACTAGGACTTGGAGTCTTCTATTCCTCCTTCAACCAAGCCAACTCTGCTCTTTTTTCTATTTAATATTTAGGGATTCTTTGTAAGGTCTGCTTTGAAGAAATAATTCTTCTGTTAGAGAAAAGTCTGAAAATCCTTGGACCAAATGTAATCCCTAAGGCCCTCTTCAGCAACGGCATTCTGTAACACTGTGATAATATTCCCCATCCCTCCCCAAGGACCCAGAGATCCCAATCCCTTGGTCATCCATCATCCTCCCTATTGCTTAAGCAACTTTGAGGTCCAGGTCCTGAGAAGAAACATCAGAGAAGAATCCATGCATAGAGTAAGGCCATCTGCCTGATTGCCATTTCATTGCACAAGCAAGCATCAAATTAACTCTCCCCACAGCCTTTTCCTTTCATCATGATCGCACTGGAAGCAGCTACTATTGGGGAAGAAAAGGCCTATGATGTGCTTCCTCTTTCCCAGCATCTGACAAGAAGCTCAGTGAGAGCATCAGTTGGGCTGGGCTCTGGGTTCAGTGCCAACAGGCCCTGGCAGCTGCCTGGCTGCAGTGGAATAACAGCAGTTACAGCTTAACTAGAGGCAGAGGATGGAAAGACATTAAATTCAGTTGGGAGGGAAGAGCAAATGGAAGCTAGACAAAAGCGGCTGATTAGGACGCTGCACGTGCACAGGCCCTCTGGGAGATGCTGCTGGTCTCACCAGGCTGCCCTTGAACCTGTAAACATTCCTGACTAGCTCTATGTAGACCCTGTTGATAAGCTCTGTGCCTATAAGTCTAATGAACAGAAGTAACACGGCCCACAGAGTGTATGTCTGTGGGTGGAGGGGGTGTGGGCAGGGGGTAAATGTGAGAGAGAAAAGTTACCCTTCAAAAAACCTTTACCCATTTTTGGTAACTTCCCTTTCCTCTCCATTCTCACTACCTCTACCCCTATTCATACCCTTACTGTCTTACACCAGTGCTGTCTGCTTCACTGTCCTAAAATGTGACTTTAATTATGGCACTTACCTGTTGAAGAACCTAAAATACCTCTCATTTTTTTCCCCAAGGTAAAATCCACCTTCCTCAGTTTTGAAATTTAAAAAATGCTACTATTTCACTAAGTATGCTTACTATACGTCAGCCCATGTGCTAAGTCCTTTATATACACTCTACATTTTAATCCTCATAATAACCCCAATGAGGTTGGTATTATCTTAATTTTCCAGGCTCCAAAGCTGAGGCTCAGTGAAGTTAAATAATTTGAGCAAGGTCCAACAGCCAGAACAAATTGTAATCTGTCTTCAATCTATCCATCCAACATCAACTCCCTTTATTTTCTTCTTCAGATTCATCTGCTCTAATCCAACGAAATACTCTCTGTTTAGGGTATAGTATTAAGCTTCAAATCAGCTATATGGCCATAAGCAAGCTACTTAATCCCTCTGGGCCTCAAATGAGGATAACACCAGCCTCACAGGTTGTTGTAGGCTAACAGGCAATATATTTACATATATTTAGTACCATGTAGACACTTTAAAAAAATACTAATATAGCTCCAAATCCACTGACCTCTGCCCTTTAGCTCCCAGAATGTCTTCTTCCTTAAAAGTTTCCTACGCCTCACCTGTTGGAATTGGACCAGATCTTCAAGATCCAAATTAAATTCTCAGCCTCTGGGAAGCCAGCCAACCCTGCAATCCTGGACGCTAATGACCCTAGCCTCTACTTAGAACCACACTAATCTGCAGCTTTCATATGACAAGGAATACACTTCTTCATTCTATGACTTGCCATGTCATATCACCCCAACCAGACTACCTTCACTCTTCTTTACATCCCTCAGCATTAGGCCTTGCTCACAGTAGGCACTTCATAAATTTCAGTTGACTGACTGATGCCACAAGTACAGATTCCAGCCTCTCAGGAAATAAAGCACTTAGGCTGAATACTGACCTAAGTCAAGTGGGTAGATGAGGCCAGTGAAGCCTTTGTTTTGCTCACTCTATGGCCAAAGGGAGGCTGGGAGTTTTCCCAGGTTGGTGCACTGTCTCTATTTATATAACTGTTCTGTAGGTTCTTTGTGCCAATGAGTGAGGGTCTGAGTCACAATATGCCCCTGGCTCCTCTACACCTCTAGCCAACCAGGCAGATTCAGAAGAGGTTTTCCAGAGTCTTGACTATCTACATACCTGTAGGGGAACAGCCAGAAACCAAGCAGTTAGCGAAGAAGCAATATCTGGCAAGGTTAGGTAAATGAGATTTGAATATTTCATCCTGTTCCAAGGAGAATACCAGTAAGTAGAGGAAGCACATTATTTTGCTCACAATGGGGACAAAGCAGGCTTTCCATGGCTTCTGATGAGTTCTGTGGCCACGCTGGGCTCCCCTGGCCATTTCTGGGTTATATAAATGTTTGATGAATAATCTCTCAGGGGAAATCAAATTTTTGTAAGAATTTAATGACAGCCCATCCAGATGTATGATGACTTGAGTTGATAGCTCATTAACCCTTTCCCAACTGATATCCTCACCCAGCGACTCCAGAAGGCCTGGAAAGGAAAAATGGCTGTTTCACAATACCCACTTCAAGTTCCCACAGAAGAGAAAAAGAACTGTCCTTAATGACATTTCTTACTGAAACAGCCAAGTTCCCTCATGTCTGATTTGGGTGCACATGGTGTCACAGACCTTCTATACATGTACACGGCACTTACAACACTCCAGCTATGCATGAAGACAATGCCCTGTTCTTCATTCATCCATCTGCTCTTGGGTTGAGAGAGCCAGAAGAATATGGGGGAGCAAAAGTACATTCCAGTGAGCCTACCATTCTTAAATGCTATCAATTGAGCTCAGAATGTCTTTTTGGCTTGAAGTCAAGGTTTCCCTAGTGTGGTAGAAGTCTCAACTGGATTCCTACAGTCTGAAGTTTAAATCTTACACTATACTATAAAAAGAATTCGGAGGCTAGTCCTTGGTCAATGTAATGGCATCGACAAAAATAACTTCTTTTCACTTATCCTCAATGCCTTATGCACATATTTGGCTTCAAAACCACTAGGAAGGAGGCAGAAGGGTGTACATGACACAGATGGCAATAGACTGAAACAGGATTCATCCCATGTCTTAAAGCAAGTAATGGATAATGTTAAGATCAGGATGCCAATATCCCAGGCTCCTCACTTAGTCCTGCTCTAACTGCATCCTTTTGGCCCTTTTTATTGCATAGATCAGCAAGAAAAAGTAAGAAATTACTGATACATGCAAAAACATGGATGAAATTAATCATGCTGGGCAAAAGATGCCAGACACAAAAAAGGATAATCCTATCTTTATGAAGTTCTACAATGGGCAAAACTAATTTATGGTGAAAGAAATCGTAACAGTGGTTGCCTTGGGGTGGGGGACTGACTGGGAAGAGACAAGAGAAACCTTCTGAGGCAATGGAAATATATCTATTATCAAAATATTTATTCTATATCTTGATGTAGGTCACAAAGATGTACAAATTTGTCAAAACTCTTGAAACCATAACACTTAAGTTTAGTTACTGTATGTAAATTATACTTCAAAACAATATTGAAAGGTACAAAAAGAAAAACCAATCTTAGCTTAGATGATCATCCTCCTCTTTCTATTCCTTTCTTCCTTCAGTAAACACACTATGTGCTCAGCTATATATTAAGCACTGGAGGCTACTAAGGTAAAGAAAACTCTTGGTTCCTGCTCTCACAGAACTTAACAGAGGAGACTGAGATCTTTCTCTGTTCATAGTACAATGGCTCACAAGCACGTTTTTGACTCCCAACTCACAATAAGAAACACATCATCTATTGTCACACCCCCCCATAGGATGTACAAGTGTGTACATACACATCTAACATAAAAGTTTCACATAATCTTACCAATGTGATGTACTCTAATATTTTCTTTCTTATTCTAGTCTCATCTATTCATTTGAAACCACAGATTAAACCAATAAAAGTGATTTCCTGATTTCCCTAAGGGATCTCACCGATGGTTTGAAAAATGCTGTCTTACAGTCTATGAATACTCTAGTGCAAGAACTACTATATTCCATTTTTGCCCCTGATACTGAGCACGTGGCTTCTCCCTAAATAAATATTTACTGAACGTTTATAGAGCAGAACAATACAACTTTAAAAGAAATAATGAATGTGTCCTCATCCCAGGAAAAACAACAAAAACCCAACCAACCAACAAAATAAAACAAGACACAACCAAAACAGCAGCAAAGAAACATGAGAAACTTTATTACTACCTATGTAGCCTCCTGATCCCGGTGATAGACCCACACCCTGCCAAGTACTAAGGCAGCCTCTTTTTCAATGGCATGTCACACCACATCCTGTGAAATCAGGCTCTTAACAGACTTTTTTTTTTTAATGATGAAAACAAGGTACAAAATACCTTGCTTCTTGGACTGATTTTAAAACACTTGCTTATACCTGATGGAGAATCTATGGATTGCAAAGGTTGTGGCTGATACAGCAGTAGCCCCTCCCTTCCCCTGAGATCAGCATTTTGGTGAAAAAGGTAGGGAAGTTGCCTTGAGTACAAAAAAAGAGAAGAGGGCTAACCAACAGTAGAGGTGTGGCAGACAACACAGTCTGAATTTTTACCAAATGCGAGATAAATAGCAGAAATTGTGCACAAGAAAGAATAGATTCTCTTCCTCATGCTGAGAACAGGCCTCTCTCCCAACAATGAGGAGCTCCAACCCTGAGGAGAAGAAAGGATCTTGTTTAGGGCTTTGACCTCCATTGAAGGACAGTGTTCAGATTGTCATCAACAAGCAGAGAGAGCAAAGAGGTACCAGAACAGGGAGCAAGGCTCCACTAACCCAGCGAGACAATGACACCTAGGGCATTAAGTGGCTGAAATCTACTGAACCAAAAATCCTCGGCTAAAGGGAGACAGGAATCTGTATTTCAGAGAAGTTCCCCAAGCAACTCTTACGTGAGGCCAGATTTCAATACCAGGGAATTAGTCCAGTTCTTCAGTTAGCTAGAGGAGGTTGGGAGTCGGGTAGGAAACAAAGCTGGGTTCCACAACAATTCAGTGACAAGCCTAGAATACCCAGGTAGTGATATAACAGCAAGACTTGGACCCAAACCCCATATGATGCTGTGAGGTATAGCAGGTTTGCTTGTGGAGAAACCAAGGCAGGAAAGCATGAGTGGTCTGGCCAAAGTTTTGCAAAGCCCAACTGCTGCCACCAAGACCCTGAAACAAATGGCAGGCCTCAAAGACGAGATACACTTGAAGCCCAGGACACTGGGTTGCTAAATTGGCTGGCTCCAGATGCCTCACTTTGATGACTGGAAGGAGAGGTGAGAAAGGGTGTAATTACAGAGCTTCACTTAGGTGTGGCTCAAGACCTGGGCCAGATTGGAGTCTGTAGGTGAGAAGGTTTATAAGACTCAACTGTAAGGGGAAGCAGCAAGAAAAACAAGGCCAAGAATAACTCACAGGCAAAAAACAAAAAGCTTATCCCTGGGCTTGCCCCTTGCAAAACACATGTGCCTATTAACCGCTTTCCTCAATCACCTTTGAAAAAATTTGCCAGATGTCAGGGGGAGCTGGATACCTTTCTGACAGGACCCTAATTTGCAGCATAACCTTGGACAGGTGAGTCTCGTAGTCCTCTGGACCCTGAGCTTCCCTATCCAGCAACTGGAGACAGCAACGCTTACCCATAATGGTGATGTGACAATCAAATGAGATAACACTGAGAAACCTTAAATGCAAATGTAAGGTATGGCATTGTAACTCTTTAGTTAAGTTCTTGCCACTCACTTCTCTGCAAGAGAAGCTGATGTAAGAAAGTATTTCCTAGGCCGGGTGCAGTGGCTCACAGCTGTAATCCCAGCACTTTGGGAAGCTGAGGCAGGTGGATTACCTGACGTCAGGTCACCTGAGGTGAGGAGTTCGAGATCAGCCTCGCCAACATGGTGAAATCCTGTCTCTACTAAAAATACAAAAATTAGCTGGGCATGGTGATGCATGCCTGTAGTCCCAGTTACTGGGGAGGCTGAGGTAGGAGAATAGCTTGAACCTGGGAGGCGGAGGTTGCAGTGAGCCAAGATTGGGCCACTGCGCTCCAGCCTGGAGGACAAAGCAAGACTCTATCTCAAAAAAAAAAAAAAAAAAAAAAAAAGGAAGAAAGTATTTCCTGGCAGATAGACGAGCGTAGTGGTTATGAGCCTGGGTTGAGTCATCAGGTCTAGGTGCAAATTTTGCCTCTGTCATTTGTTAACTGACTCTGAGTAAGTCATCTAAACTCTCTGTTAATCTGTAAAAATATAGATAATAATGCCTTCTTCCCAGAATTCCAGTTAGGATTGAATGAGATAAGTGTGAAGTATTTCACTTGGTGCTTGGCAAGCACCCTGATGGATCATGGCTGCTGTCTTCATAATTGTTCTCAAAATGCACCAGACTCCTGAACAATAGTATCAGGGAATGTCTGATGAGGATTCTGAAACCAGAAAAGAGGTGCCCTCAGGCCCTCAGCTTTAAGCACTTACATCAATAAGGTCAGATAGGTCATGGATGTAGTACTTGAAGACAGATGCATTGGTCGCTTCCAAAGCCAGTAAGTACTCATTCCGGGCTTTGATGGCCTTCAGCTTATTCTCCGTGTACTTGGCTTGGCGCTGAAAAGGAAACAGAAGTTCACTTTTACTTTTTTTTTTTTTAAGGGGGGATTGTTCTCTAAAAGATAAAAGTACAGTGTACTCAAGAACTACAATTGTGCTGCTACTCCCTATGCGCATCTGCCTTAAATTGGGTTCTAATTCTGTTTAATGAGATTCAAGGGCACAATGTAGATCAATTCAGGAAAGGTTAATGAGGCTCCCTACTTAAGATGCGTGCTCCACTTTGATTCTATCTTCAAATATCATTCCTCATTCTTGCAATGCCACTCTGAAGAAGGTACCACTACTCTTGCCCCTGAACACCTGATACCTGAAACCAAATCCTGGATCTAGTCACCCTCAACCCCTCCAAAGCAATAGGATATTGAGCTCTATTTGGAAAATGGATTGGGAAAGGTGACTACTGTTTCTTGCTGCTAGAGGCTAAAAACTTGGAGCCCACGTGCCCAGTTCTCCCAATACCTAGTATTCCCTCCAGGGCACAGAGCAAGGCCTCATTTTTAGTCACTAGGCACTAAAAGAACCCAGAGTTTCCTTGTCTGCTCTCCCCAGAGCCTATTTGGAAATTCCTATCATCCATACCTTACCGAATGTTGCTTCCCAGCATCTATAGCTGTGGGAGCATACGTACCTTCTCCTTCATCTTCTCAATCTTCTTCACTGAGCTCCTCCGGACATGTTTCTCCTCAATGCGAACGTTGGCCGTGGAGTCAGGGGAGCGTGGGGTCTGCCGGTCCTCCTGCTTTACCGATTTACCAATTTGCTTCTCCTCCTGCTTCTCCGCCTCCTTTAGTTTGCTCTGAGCACTGATGCTGTCGGCATTGTACATGTGATATGTCTTCATGACCTGCAAGACATCGCCCACCCCCACCCCCGAGGTCAAGCCAAGGGGGTCAATACTCTGCTTTACAGACTAACAGACTCAGCTGGAGCTCTCCCCATGAAGTAATATCCTCACACCCCTAAGGGAAAAATTCAGAAGTGTTTGGTTCAGCATATACAGATTAAAGACCACTCCAAAGCACAGGAAAGCAGTATGCGAACTGAGCCAACATTTCCTCTCATTGAAATAACTTCATGTCTATCCATCATGTATTATTTACTTCAATTCATTATCATTTGTAATCATTTCTCTTTAATATTGGCCAGGTGATTTCTATCACTTAGTCACCTCGTCATACCGAGTAGATGGGAAACACCACCACCCCTCTCAGGCCCCAAGGGCAAAGCCTTCCTGGGCTGGTCAGGAACCCTGAAGAGGGCAGTGCAGCCTACGGAGTACTGCCTATGCTTTCTGTTACCTTTCAGATATAAAATAGGGAAGAGGAAAAGCTTCCAAAAGCTCTTTCTACTGGCCTGGCATTCTGGGGATCTGTCTGTTCTGCTTTATCCAGATCAAACACCCTCTCACAGCAACTAGAGCAGCAGCAGCAATTACAATGCCAGTTATCGTTTACTGAACACTTAGTATATTCCTGGCTTTATACCAAGTACCACACACACATTTTCTCATTTCATCCTTAGGGCAATTCCACAATCTAGACAACAACCCTATGAAGACTGTAAGCCTTCATAACAATTCAGGTAAGAGTCTGGGAAGGAATAAAATCCATATGAAGTATAACTGGAATTGCCACAGGAAAGAAGTAGTATAAAAGGTGAAGGATGATTTTCCATCAAGGCAACCATTTAGGAGTTCAATCCTTTCTCTTAACAGGGAAGCCAGGAAGCCTAGAACTCAAGCTTGTTTCCAATCCTACTAAACATACTACTTTCAGCCACCCGGTACCTGCTGTACTCTGTGGGGAGCTTTCTGTTTCCATACAGGGAGTTCAACAGTGTTGAAAGTGTGATGCCCTAAGATTTCTTTGAGAGAGAATTAGAGTAGAAATTGGTGGGGGTGTGTGTGTGTGTGTGTGTGTGTGTGTGTGCGTGTGCATGTGTGTGTGTAACAGAGGAGTGCCAAAGTACAATATTATTATTAATATCTACCACTTAATAAACATTGTGTGCCATGGGCTTTAGGTATATTACCTCATTTAATCCTTACAATAACTCTGTGAAATAAAATGTTATTATTTCTATTTCTAAAGATAAGGAAATAAGGCTCAAAGAGATTAACTGTCACACCCAAGGTCATACAAAGAGAAAATGTCGGAATCAGGATTCAAACTCAGGTCTGTCAGACTCCAAAGACCACATTCTTAGCCACTAAGCAACACTGACTCTCCTCTGGATAGGACTGGACCTGAACCGGTTGGGAGGAAAGGTTAAGTATGGTCAAGATATTCTTGAAAAGAGAAATTGGTTCCATTTATGAACTTGAGTTAGAACAGTGTCTCAACCTGGGGCTATTTTGGCCTTCAGGGGAAATGTGGCAGTGTCTGGAAATATTTTTGATTGTCACAACTTGGGGATTACTACTGGCATCTACTAGGTAGAGGTCAGGGACGCTGCTGAACATCCCATGCACAGGACAGCCCCCACAACAACTAATTATCTGGCCCAAATGTCAATGGTGCTGAGGTTGAGAAAACCTAGCTTAGAAAGACTTTGTGGGTAGACTAATCTAGCCCCTACGATCAGCTGGAGGCAAACAAAGGAATAAAGAATATTGGGATACTGACAAAGTCAAAGTACATTAGAGTCTAAATTATGTCTCATTTTGAATGCAGAATGTTTTAAATTAGCTTCACCTTTTTCTGAACCTAACACTACTTCCCATAAATTTTACCAGGATAATATTCTTCATATTTTCTATACAGAAGAAATAATATTTAACAACCAATGGCATTTAAAAGCCTTTCTAAGTAATTCAAACAGACCCCCAGCTTTCCAGGTTAACTAAGAAGTGGAAATGAGGCATCTGTTATTCCAGATGAAGAAGTGTAGATAGGAGGCTCCTTTTTTTTTCCTCTTTTTCCACCTGAATCTGACCATGGGATTCAAAAGCTTAGTGAGCAGTTACAAAAGTGAGTGCTTTTTTTCTTTTTTAAAGTGATTTCCTATTTCATGAAGGTGCATGATAAAGAGAAAACGCTATGAATAAACATGAGATAAAAAAGAGGTCAAATAGCGCTACCAAGTCAACAAATGGAAGTAATAAAAATCAACAATTTACAATGTTCCTTAACCCTAAAAAACTTAAAGAACTTTCGTGTTAAAAGAGAGTAAAACACTACTTTGCCTGAGAAACTATACATTCTTCAGGGTAAGCTCTACTTCTTTTGTGTTTTCTTCTCACAGTGGAGAAATATGTCATATACACAATGGTGGTTTTACAAAGTGGTTGCCCAAATGACTGCATGACACAATCTCTCTTCTGGGTAAATACTGGAGAAGCTTTATTAGTGCCTTTCAACTCAAGAGAAAACTGAGGTACCCAGAAGCTGAAGCCAAAACAACTGAAAAAATAGGAAAGTCAAGACAGGACTTAGAAATTTATATAGATATAGATATACATATACATATTAAATATATGTTTATAAATATATATTTATAGTCAAGATAGGACTTAGAGAAAGTCAAGATAGGACTTATATTAGCTATATACATATACATATGTAAATATATGTATATCTATATATCTATGTCTTAGACATACAGCTACACATATGTATATATAGATATGTATACATATAGATATACATACTTCTATCTATATATAGTGAGGCAAATACAAACTATAGCAAAAAATTGAAAAGTCTACATTCTCAGTTCTGTGAGGAACATTCTACTTTACTTTGAAAAACTAAACACTGAAGTCATGTATTTAGCTCTGCTCCCTCTGACAGCCACACTAAAATAATAGGGAAAAAAAGGTTCTAAAATTATTATCATTTAGGTATAAATTGAGAAAAACAAAAAGAATGGAAGCAGAAGCTGAAAAACAGGCAGGCAAGCAGTAACTGATCTACTTGAGTCCTAAACCAAAACTAGAGTAAACCAGGAAGCACCCAGATTGATATCACAGAAGCCCGAAGAGAAATAAGTAGCAGTGGGATGAAGGTAGAGCTGAACACAAAATAAGCTATTGAAAATCTGAGAACAGTGAGATCCCAAGATCCCCTCTCCCACTGTAGCGGAATACTAGATGAGAGGTTTATTCTGTTAGAGAGGGTCCATGGACTAGGGGATACAAGGTTCAGCGGTGATAGGGGGATACTGAACTTCAACAGGAGGATTAGCTGAAGTCTATGTTAAATTTTGAGATGGTCCAGGCCTCTTCACAACTCAGCCCCCAGACATGAGTAGGAGATCAAAAGTGTGATCTCTTGGCAATCTGACCATCCAAGATAAGAGACATAGAAATACTAAAGTTGGGGCTTCCACAAGGACACAGCCCAGTTAGAACACCCTACTGTGAAGGCCACAGCTGACATAGAATCTTTTAGTACCTCACTTTAAAGTGTGAACAGGCAGCTAAGGATAACCAGGCATTTAAATGAAATGTCTAATATGAAAGACCAAGACCAAAACTAGCAATTTAGAAGAAATATTATACAACAAGAAGAAAAGTTTGAAAACAATATATCCATAATAGCCCTGGAGAGATAAATGAGAAATAAAATGATACTGCATCATGAAACAAAAGTTGGATGCAACAAAAAAGGGAACATGTAGAGAACAAGAAAAGAGTTCTTGGCAATTAAGATTCAACTCAAGTATCTCTTCAAGGAGCCTGACTTCATCCCTGTCCTCTGTGAAGACATGTAAATGAGTTCTTGTCACTTCATTTTCCACCTGATGCTTTACTTTTCTGTCTCTCCCAATTAAAACTAAACGCCTTGAGGTTAGAAACATCTTATTTGTTCTTGTCTCCCTAGTGCCTACTGCTAGGGTCAAATAGGCAAGCAGAGTTGAGGGACTATTAAGTGCCATGTTTCAAGGGAACAGGTGCTAAATACCAGTCTGAGGTAGCTCTGCCAGCACACAGCTGCTGCTCCAAGCCAAGGGGATATATATTTAGGGGGAGTATAGAAGCATAAGGCCTCTGGGATAATAACAGCCCCAGAGTGTCCTAAAGCCTCTTCTTTCTCAATTCTAGAGCCTCCTTGACTCTTCATACTCAGCCAATCCACACTGGCTTCAGTGCCTCCATGTATGCTCCTTCCTGTGGGGGTTTGCTGGGTTTTTCCAGACACGACCTCTGAGTACAACTGAGGCAAAGAATCCCAGAGTTCTTTGGGAAGCAGTGTGTTCTGACTTCAAAGGCATTCCCGGTGCATCCGTCAGAAAATGAAAACCATTTATGCCATGGTTTATATACTAGCCAGCTCATTATCAGGGGAAAAACACGTGGAGAAGAATGCTTGCTAGGATTGCTCTCTGAATAGCAGCTGTGGGAAGCAGGCCCCGGCACAGAATGCCAAGTCAGGGAAATCAAAGGCCCTTCAAGCAGAAAACAGGAAGGTGCAGAGGGGCAGCTGGCCACTTACAGTGGTATTCTGGGCCCCCTGCCCAAAGGCATCTTTCTTTGGGAATACCTGGGTCCTGCTCCTTGGATCATCAAGGTACAAAGTTACTAAAATTACCAACCCTTGGATAACTAGTCCCCTAAAAAAGGGTATTAACGGGTATTAGGGGCAGATGTGAAGAAGAGCACTGAAAAAACTGGATGGGTTTCTTATATGCTTGGTTTCCTTTTTCCAAGGATCCCAAATAAGTTCTATTACCTACAATGTCATTGAAACAAGAGGCCCTTCCCTGCCTTCCTGACAAGAAAATAATGGGAAAGCTCCTTACAAGAAACTCTCCCTTGTTCTCTTCTTGACTCCTCAAGAGTGTGCACACAGCAAGCAGCTTCCCAAAGCTAGCTTGTAACGGTCCCAGCTTCCCACCTGATAAAACCACTCTACCATGCAAGGTGACCAATTAACCTTTTTTAACCTAGAACTTTTCCAGTTTCAGTACTGACAATTTTATGTCCCAGGAAACTCTTCAGTACTAGGTGAAGAGGGACAGTTAGTCACCATAATCCCACGGTGCCTTATTCAGACCAGTCCTAAACTTATCTTAATCTCCAGAAGATAAAATTCTATTCTCTGAACTTTCTTTTTTCTTTCTTTCTTTCTTTTTTTTTTTTTTTGAGACGGAGTCTTGCTCTGTCGCCCAGGCTGGAGGGCAGTGGTGCAATCTTGGCTCACTGCAAGCTCCGCCTCCCGGGTTCATGCCATTCTCCTGCCTCAGCCTCCTCAGTAGCTGGGACTATAGGCGCCCGCCACCACGCCCAGCTAATTTTTTTTGTATTTTTAGTAGAGATGGGGTTTCACCGTGTTAGCCAGGATGGTCTCGATCTCCTGACCTCGTGATCCACCTGCCTCAGCCTCCTAAAGTGCTGGGATTACAGGCACGAGCCCAGCTCACTGAACTTTCTAATGGCCTACAGAATCTGGAAACCTATTTGATCCTTAGCTATAGTCTAATATTTCAGGAAGTATAACTCACCCAACTACTCCACCCCCTAGGATATAGAAATACCAGTGCATGGAGAGTATGCAGACACCAAGGTCATAGAGGTTTGGGGTATCCCTCAAGTTCATGCAGCTAGTAGTCAAGACAGGGTAGAATCTAGCTTGCTTAATTCAGGAGACTCTAGTCACTAGACCAGCATTTCTCAATCTTGGTATATTGACATTGTGGGCCAGATAATTCTTTTTTGTGGGGGCTGCCCTGTACACTGTAGGATTTCAGCTGCATCCCTGGCCTCTAGATCATTAGATGCCAGTAGCACCTTCTACTCCTCCAGTTGTAACAATCAAAAATGGCTGCAGACATTGCCAAATGTCCCCTTGGGGTAAAACTCCCTCTGCTTAAAACTCCATTTGGACCAGAATGTTTTAACTTCTCTGAAACTTTCTAGTGCCTCTACTCTTTTTTCCCTCTTTCCATTGCCTACTAGAGGAAAACATCACATTTTAATTTTGGCCTTTCACAGATTATGAAGGTATATTCCAGCTCACCTTATGACAGGGGATACCACACTCAGGCAATTCTCAGTTTGAACATCAATGGGAAGATGTTATGCTCTACATTGACTGTGGCCTCACAATGGCCAGTAAAGTAGTTGGCCAATATTGGGCTGTCTTAAGTCTGCAGTCAGAGGTAGCAGCTCAGCCCTCTGCAGACCAGAGAAATAAGTTTCAAGGTTTTCTTCATCACTCGAACACAGCTTATGCCCTTTCACTTATTTTTTTCTTAAAGCACAGCATATGAAGAGATATGGGACTCTGGGTAAAAGCTAATAGATCCTTAGACATTAGTCTTCTTCTGCTGCCTTGAGTCCCACTAAAGAAGTGGCAAGGTTTGTTGGTTATCCAAACTACTCCTTCCCAGAAACAGCTGCAAATAGTAGAGGGTCAAAATGCTTACAGGAAAATAAAAGAATTTATATAATGACTACATGGGTCATTTTCTATCTTAGGGAATTCTCTGGCAAGAGAAAGGAGTGATAGCTCTTCTTGGTGTTTAGAAAATGCTCTAAAAGAGCAGAAGTAAAGCATTAAAAAGACAAGGTTCAGGAAACCCATCCAGTCTGAAAATGGTTCACATCGATGTGTTTCTATTTTTAAAAACTCTTAACTTCATTTGAGAGAAATGAAAAGTTGGGAGCTGAACCAAAGGTACCATCTATCTATGCTTGGCCTCAGAGCAGAAGAGTCACAGAGTAGAAATTCAAAACAAACTGAACATCACTGGAGATAAGTCAGATGACTACTCTACCCTATTTACTTGCTTAACAGTTGCTATGACAAAATGGTCACACCTAGGTTTCTGGATCAGCAACATCTGATCCCAAATGCCTGTCATGCATGTCACCACTGCCTGTTCTGTGAATAAAAAAAAAAAAAAAAAGAAAGAAAGGAAAGGAAGAAATGAAAAGAAAAATGCAGCAAATAAGCAAGGAAACATTAGAAATCAGTATCACCTTCAAATAGGATGGAGAAACGCTGGAGAATGACACAGTAGGCTGGCACATCCAAGCTGGAGAAGGGGCCCCTGAAAGGCATTAGCTGTACAACTTAAGTATTCCCTGTATAACAACACGAATTTCCTTGGTGTGTATGTGAGTGTGTGTTTGTTTTCATTATAATTAGAAAAACATGGCTGGGGAACAACCACCACCACCACCACCACCTCTCTGCGCATGAATTAACACGCACCAGCCACAGGCATCATGTGCCTGAAGCGCCAGTCATCTCAGAACAGATTGTGTTCTCTTCTCTAAGCCCGCAGCCTGCCTCGTCACTGAGGTTTGGCTTTATAAAACTCCAGGAAGTCAGTGCAAAGCTCTCTCTGCCCGAACTGGTCCCTCTTGTTGGGGGAATTTAGGACTCTGTGCTGCCCTCTAGAGCATTTGTTCTAGTCTCAAATCTGTAGATCAATCCAAGATCTGATGCAAAACCTAGAACAATAAAGCCTTTCCAACAGGCACATATTAATAGTGCAATGCAGGCTACGTTCCTTGCCGTTAGGTTCTGTTTGCTGCTAATGGGGTCCATTGTGCCAATGACCTAGACTCTGGCTGGTCTCTAGCAATTATGCCCCAAATAAAGCCAGGGTGAGCTTGCACAGCTGAGGAGAAAACTTATTTTGAGGAAGTATTTTTTGACTCATTCTGTTTTGAAAAGACGAGTGTGAAAAAAGAGATGGGTGGGGTCCCCCCCAGTGGGGACCATGCACTTGTCCTCAACCTCACTTCAGTTCTGTTGCTGACGTACTATGGCTGCAAGCTGCCAAATGCTGCTTCCCTCTGCTTATTTAAGAGTCAAGCAACCCATCTGATTTACCGAGTAGAGCTCGTTCAAGACCTTCATCAAATCATCTTGGAGCTGCTGGCCGACTTCTTTACTCTGCAAGGAAAGAGGAATGAAGGTTAATTGGGAAACAGAAGAGAGAGGAGGGAGCAATGAAGGCAAAAGCCGCACTGGCTCTACAAATAACCCAGACTCAATTAAGGCCCATTATTTAACCCAGCAAATCAGATAACCACTCCAATCAGACCCAATTATGGTCAGATTACTCAAAGAGTTTTAATAAAATGAAATGTGCCCTTTCTGTAGCCCAGCAAAGGCAACTGCATGGAAGGAAAAAGGGTGGTAGCCTTTGATTTTTCTATTGGTCCCCGAAGAGCAGGACTGAAAGCCACATCCTACCTAGCAACTGTTGTTAGGTGGAACACGGTTTCTCAGATACTTGCAGTCAAGCATTCCAGAAGATTTCAAAGGAAAATAAGATGTGTAATGGGATGAAATAGGAAAAAGTATATAAACATCCAGGGACTTCAAAGTCCCTAACTAAATAGAAAACTCCAAACAGGATGGAACTTGCTTTATTTCTACCCGAAACTCACAAGGCAGCGATATCTCAATATTGACTGCCTGCGAGATTAGCTGTTACTAGATGCTGAAAATCTATGTTAAGGGGTCTCCAACTAGTTAATCTTGAGCAGTGATGGCTCCTGGGTTCTTTGCTGCTGCCACCCAGGGCTGACATCTAACTACATAGAGCAGTAGAAATAAAGAATAGGGCTGGGCACGGTGGCTCACACCTGTAATCCCAGCACTTTGAGAGGCCGAGGTGGGTGGATCACCTGAGGTCGGGAATTTGAGACCGGCCTGGCCAACATAGTGAAACCCCGTCTCTACTAAAAATACAAAAACTAGCCAGGCGTGATGGCACATGCCTGTAATCCCAGCTACTCAGGAGGCTGAGGCAGGGGAATCACTTGAACTCAGGAGGCGGAGGTTGCAAGGAGCCAAGATTGCGCCATTGCACTCCAGCCTGGGCGACAAGAGTGAGACGGTCTCAAAAAAAAAAAAAAAAAAAAGAAAAGAAAAGAAAAGAAAAGAAAGAATGAGGAAGCAGGAAGGAAACTGTCACAACTCCTATACTAAGTGTTATATGCCAAACCTAAGAGGGGCTAAAACTGATTGGCAGCATGGGTCATTGAGAGGGAAACCCCTTGTTTTATCTTTTGCCAGCTCCTTCTGGATCTTCCCTACTAGAAATTTGGATATCAAATGCCATCCTAACAGAAGTTATAATACTGTCTCCCATCCCTCCCACCATGGCTGCTAGCTCCCAGACAAAAAAAGGAAGGTCTTTCATGTCAGATACACAATCATTTAAAATCTTGCTTTTTTTCAAGATACATATATCTCTACTTAAAAAATACTTTTTTTCTGATTACAAAAGTAATGTATGTTTATTATAATAAGGAAACTAGGAAACCTCAAAAAAGAAAACAAAAGTAACTCTTAAATGCCTACCACTAAGAAATCATCACTCCAAGGGTTGTTATGTACTTTTCTAATCTTCTCTATTTTTACAAAATTGGGATTGCATTATAAATCCTGTTTTGTAACTTATTCACTTAAACATATGTTGTAAACATTTCCACATGTATTATTCTTCTATAACATTATAATATATTATATTGATGCAGCTCCCATTCTTGGACATGTACTTTGCTTCTAAATTTTTGTGATAAAAAATGCCATATCACATTACTTTGTATATGATCTAATGCACACACCTTTCATTATTTTCTCCTAGAAATAACATTGCCGGGTCAAAGACTACCATTTATACCACTAAAATGCCTTTGAGAAAAACGGTACCAATTTAAAATAACACCAATAGCATATATGAATGTTTATTTCACATTTTATTGTCTTGACAATTTCATGTGGTATCCTCCTGTAATTTGCAGTCCTTTGATTCTAGTGAGCCTGAGCATTTTTAAAAATGTTTATCAGTCATTTTCATTTTTCTTTTATAATCTGTCATTTTCCTATTAAGATGTTCTCTGCCCATTTTTTCTATTAAGGTATTCATTATGGAATATAACCTATGTGTGGCCTCTGTCATGAGTAGGCATGAATTTTTACATCTGATAGTGGGGAAAGGGGTGGAAGGAGCCCTAAATTTGCAATCATAAGATTCTCTTTCTATTCCTGGCTCCTGCATTACCAAAGAGATAACTCTGGACAACCTGGTTAACCTCTTTGGCCCTCTGTTTCCCTTCTATAAAATGAAAAGCTTCAGCTAAAACATTTCTAAGGTCTTTTCCAACCTCTGCCATTCTATGATTCTACATGATCTTCTGCCTGGCTTCTAGAGTCCATATTAGCTTCAAACATCACTCCCTTTAGTGTACCGCTGGTTGGCTTAGAAGATAATGAGCAAGTTCTCCTAGGGGACCCAGATGCTCTACAAAATGGACGGGTTCAGGGGCATCTTGCCAGTCTTAAATTTACCATTCCCAGGGTCTCTCATCCAATGACCTCAACTGCTGGAAGAAGTCACAAGAGAGAATGCCCTTCGTCTGTGATCTCACATACCAGCCTCTCCTTTCCATTGAGAGAAAAGCTGAGCTCCACTGAAGCAAGAGGCCCAAGGAGGTGAAGTGAGGCAACATGACTCACTCCAAGCCCCAGAGTCAGCAACAGGGTCAGGAAGTGACCATGAGTATCACTTCCCACTGCCCTGCCCTCCTGCCTCCGGGCCAGCTCCCCCCGCCAGCCTCCTATCCTTTCTTAACTCCTCCTTCTGTTTGAATGGCAGAGGTTAAAGGAGAAAGCTCCTATTCCTCTACCCTGTTGCTTACCCATGACTTAAATAACCTAGCCCCAGAATGGGGGATGGGGGAAGAAGAAGAGGGAAAAGAGTAACCAAAAAAACAGCAATTAAGCCCAGGCAGATGTTTCCTTTCATGTACTGATTAGTTGGGAGGACCACTCAGCGATTATCCCTGTTTATTTGAACAGGCTGCTGAAGTGATCTGACTTACCACTCCCTCTGGCTGAGGGTTGGGCTGGGAATACATGTGTAGCGAGCCCACTTAAAATGTACAATACAGCCTCTAGCAATCAGGAGAAATTCTGACACTAGGCCAGAGGCAGGAAATTGCCAGTGTCTCTCCTTTCACAGATGATAAAAGGCTATTCGTTCTCTGTTTCAGAAACCTTAACTGTGTGCCTTTGGGGGAAAGCGCGGTCCCAGGAAGGGCTTCCGTGCTGGCCACTGCAGCGGGGTTGACAGAGCTGGTTAGCCACAAGGGGGCCCCACCCAAAGACAAGGGGGACATTTATTCCTGGGAACAACAAAACCTGATGAGGCCGAGTACATGACAATGAAGACTGTAGAGCTTTTCTGTTCTCTATTAAAAGGCAAGGGGTTTCTAGACAGGGAAGAAAAAGAGAATTTACAGAGCAGTCTTTGTGTACTAACATACAGCCTGCATCTCTTTTCTTTAAAATTTCTTGGAAGAGAATGAGTCATCTAAACATTGCAGGAAACCAAATAGAAGTTGGGGGAAAAAATTACTTTGGACAAAGTTTTTCTCTTAAATGTTTGCATAGTAATCTTTGCCTGGAAAAAAAAAAAAAAGATGCCTAAATTTAGAATAGAGATGTGGCACAGTTAACAATGCTGGTTCTATGGGATGGGAAGTGTGATGGTGTGCCCAGGCTGGGATCTCTTATTTTGAAACTCACCACAACCGTTTGGCCAGAGTGTGTTTCACGGGGCGTCCACTCTGACTGCTGCCAAGGAGGGGCTGATCAGAAGACAATGAGATTGCAACAGCTCCTACCAGTTTTATGCTGACAAAATGGGTAGGAAAGCTTCATTTTCCAACAGATAACAGCATTGGAAACAGAACTGAAACGCACAGTGTCATTTCATCTCCCCAAGACAAGACTGTAATGTTCTAAAGCCTCCTTGCTCACAGAAAGGATGTAACAGCAGATATGTACGGAAACATGAGAATCCTAGGCATCTGGGATGCCTGGCCACTGGGCTGGTCACTCTTCCTTGGACCTCTTTAAATCAGCATGTTTCCTGAGCTTGGATGGGTTTGTCTTTCAGCATTTCCCAAAGAACACCAACTATGAAAGAGATTTCAGACCTGTTCTCAACAGGGAGGTTACTTGTTACCGATTCTCTAGTTATTTAGATCAGCATTCATGTGCTTTCCAAGTTGGGGGTGGGACTGTTGTTTATTGGTTATCTACATCTCAAAGCTGTATTTTTTGACAGGCACAAAATTACCTCCTATTTGTATGAAAGAAGAAGAAAAAGAGGAAGGCATGTCTCTGCCATGTGGCAAGAGCTCATTTCAGCCCCATCCCAAGGCTGAGCCTGTCAGCAGGTAGGAACAGTAGGGTCATTTAGTTCTCTGCCATTTAGCCTGTATCAGCAGTTTTCCAAAAAAGAATCTAGTTTTCAAGGGCACATATCTGCCCCACAACCACTAGTATCCCCTCCTCACCCTAAAGATTGTTCAGAGACCAACTGTTAAAAAAAAATCCAGTTTAAAACTGAATTTATGTTACAGATTTCAGAGGAAAGGAACACGACCCTGTATTAAGCTCTGGCAGCAGAAGCACCACCATACATAAGGTAGTGGTTTCAGAAGCATTCACTCACCACTTCAAAGAGGCCACATTTCAGGAGCTGGCGCTTTGCCTGAAATGCTTTTGGTGGGGAGGAGAGCGCTAAAAGGAATGACTGTTTAGTAGCACGGCCAGTGCTAGGTGATGGTGGGCACTGTGTCTGGTCCTCTCCCTCACCTAACTTGGACCACCAAAATAGGTGGTACAGTGTGAGGCTGTATGCCGGTGTGAGGCTGTATGCCGAGGCTCTGGGGGTTCAAGGGGTGATGATCCAGCAGGTCAGAGCTGAGAAATGACTTCTAGATTTCCCCTCCACCACACTACCTGCATATATGCAAGCAGAGCTCTTTCTATTCAGCATTCATTAATTGGTTAGGATACCACGAGTTGGCTCTGAGAAAGATCAAACTCCAGTTAGGAACTTAAACTACGTGAAGCCCAAGGATGTATAA